GGAGGGTGGATTGGGAGGAGGGAGGTTTTAAGCACAGAACACAGAAAAAGGTTAGAAGGGCCTTGTAGGCGGGGCAGGGGCGCCACAGTTGTGTGAGCAAATGCTCATAACTTGGCCAAAGCTTAGTTCTTAGTTTGCGTCGTTACTCTTGGGTGTGAGCGCTGATTGTTTCGATTTTTTGTTGTCGCGTCGTTGGATTGGTTATTATCTATTAGGTGGAAGTGTAGTGTGGGCGAGCCGGCGACATCGGTTCCCGAACAAACGGTCAATGATCACTCTTCTAACCTTTTTCTGTGCACTGTGGTTTTATGATCCAGACGACTGCCTACATCATTTCAGCATTGATTTGATTACTTTACTTAGAAATTGTATAGCATTTTTAGTACCTAAATGATATGTGTTAGTTATTATTTCTTATAACTTGCAGAATTAATTCTATACAACTTTTTTTAATAAACCTGTTGGAAAGTTGAGAAAGAAAAGTGCAAAAATCTTCTTCAGTTTCAAGTTTATTTATTCATTGTTATGGTCATGGCCGTAGCGAGAGTTGTATTTAACATAGGACAGCGGAAATTATATGTAGCACATAAGCAGGGGAGTACCGTCTCGCCCTTCGCAGCCTGCCGCCACGTTTTAGGGTAGTGCAATGTTATTTTAAGGTATAACCCATAATTCTCTTTTAAAGGATGGAGGAGAAGGGAACACGTGAGCTGGTAAAGTATTCCACTTGCGGATAGTGCGACAAAGAAATGAGTCAGCATTTGTCTTTGTTCGCTGGAGAATGGTGACCACAGTAAGTCGGTGACAACGTAGGGTATATTCCGAAATATAAACCAGTACGCTGGCCAGCGGTAATGATGTCATGATTTCGACGCCATATTGCACTGGTGTAGTAGTAGTGTTGTCAATATGGCGTCTAAATCATGACGTCATTACCACTGGCCAGCGTACTGGTGTTTGATTCGGAATACACCCCTAGGCTAGCGCGCGTGGTTCTATAGGCGTCATTAAACGTAATGACGTATCATTATCACGGCGTAAGTAAAGGGGATCGAGGTGTTTAGAATTATGATTGATGTCGCATTGCAACCAAATTTAAAAGTTGTGTCGCACTTATCATGTGACCATGAATCGCGTCCTCACTATACAGTTGCCGTGGTAACGGTTTAGTTTGTTATTGTAATTTCGGCTAAAATACCTACATTAAAATTCAGCTTCACTTCGGCTTTATCGACAGTTTGGGTAGGCATAAAGAAATTTTATGAGTACACGTCCGTTCAGGAACGACCATGTCTGGGGTGATACGAGTTAGGAACAAAAAACTGCTACCTGATCTAAGTAAGGAGGGGGAGCTTACAAAAGATATTGTTCTCACCACTAAAGAGAAACATGGAGTTCCAACGGGATCCCGGTTATTTTCGCATCACACTTTGGCTAGTGTTAGAAAAATGAGCTTTTTCCGACCATTCTTGTAAGTACTGTTATTAACTTTGGCTAAACTGTATTTCCAGGACCCAAGTGGTGATACTTCACACTAGGTTAGGCTAGGTTAGTGTTGTAACCATAACGCGCGAGCCGAGCGAGCGAAGCGCCAGTTTTTTTTAAAGTGACCTTTTCTACATAACAAAAGAAAACAAGTATCACTTCTTGGGCCCTGGAAGTACAGTTTTTCCCCTCAATTTAACACCAAGTTATTTTGTATTCACAGAAATGAGCTAGTACCGACTTTTCTGTGCCCTCCAGCCAAGTCCCCAATTCCTGTGTGACGCGGTTTTCCTTCCACCCTTGTATTTAGCACCTAAGCTAAACTAGCGCTCCAATTAGTAGTTCCCGTTCCCCGTGCCCGTCGGTGCCCGTGCACGGATTTTAGTGCCAATAGTAACACAGCAGTTTCTGCCCAAGAGTTCACCCTTAGTAGCTAACCTACCCATGTGTTTACGTCACAAGGCATAGGTAGCAGGCACTAGGGTAGGCAGGTATTTTAATTCCACAGCATCGGTTTATATCGTTAACACCACAGATATCTAAAATGCTTGTTGAAGATCCGATTTGAATAGGTATGTCGAATTTATTCCTGGCAGGGTCAGAGACGTACGAACGAGATATATGCTAAGAGTAGCATCACACGAACACAGCGTTATGATCGGACATAATATCTGTAATCATAATATCTGTAATGTTTGATCGATAGGTTTACCGCTCGAATTGGAGCGCCCGTCTGGAGAAGTAAACCACCTTATACGAGTAGAAGATCACAGTAAAATAATACTAGGTTCCTTTTGCTGGTGTTGTTTTTGTCGGTCGTCAGTAAGGTTTCAGGGATTCACGGGTAAGGGGCAGGGCATGTAATATTGGAAGGTTTTTAGTTCCGATATTATATCTTACTCGTAATATCGGAATTGGGCATCTTTGTTATAATTTCAAGAAACTCGAAATCGATATCAGGTATAAGGAATTGTCAGTTTCATAAAAATACTGGTATCGATTCTGGCGTGATTCTCTAAACTTAAAACTAAATTTAACATCAGCCTCTCTTTTTCATTCTGTATAGAGAATGATAGGGATGCACTGTTGTCAAATTTAAGTTTAGCTTTAGAGAATCATGCCAGAATCGACATCACTCTCGATATAAACACAACACCACCTAAAGGTACATAGTTTAATTTCACTGCTTCGAGACCAATTACCACTTTCTGAGACCAATTTACTAAGAGCTAAGATAGACGCTCTTTCGCAAAAAAATCCGTTTTGCATGAGTACATACGCTTACATTTTTAATTTCGTTGCACCTTTTGTATATAAAAAAAGAGTAGGCCACATGTTTTGTAATATAATTTCACATTTTAGGTTGCCCAATGATAGTTTGGACCTAATACTCGCGGCCACCTACAAACAGTCTACGGAGGTGTTCGCCGACAAGGAGGACCTGTACCTGCAGCGCGAGACGATAGGCTGCGAAACGTGGCGGCGACTCCGAAACACCCTCGACAAGATTCCACCAGAATATATACCTTCAGTGAGTTACCATATGTTTATGAACTTATGATAATGTGTGCCCACCGCAGCATTGTGCTTCTTTAAAACTTACGCCGCATTATGTTTAATGCCGCGTGAGTGCCTTTCGTTTTGATTTAGACAAGTTAGAATTTAAGCAAGGTATGAATTTATCTGAAATTTAATATAAAACAACGATTCTACCTAAATTCATTCCGTGCTAGCACAGTCCATGAACGATGGCTGCACGTAGCCACGTTTGTGAATAAACTTTGGCGTCAATTGCGCTACTTTTACTAACCGGAAATGAGGTCTCAGGTATGAATAGCAATAAGAGAAAGATTCACGCCATATGGCGATGGAAGCGCTGGGTGCAAACGACAGTGGGAGAAGCCGGATCCAACACGACTAAATATGGCATGGAATTATAGAAACATAATTATATGAAGAACCCAAGCTTGACAAGGTTGCTCAACTTACTGTGATGATTGTAGTAAAATTTATGACTTATACTTATCCTTATAGGGCCACCCACTCAGGCGCGGCGGCATCAAGGAGCACCGGTCTCCATTTAGCGTGAAGCTCATGAACTCAGGAGTCCACTCATCGCAGACCAACCCTGGTTACAGCAGGCAGCCAGCTGGCGGCGCCATATTTTTTTACTAACTGTCGCATTTCAAAGAAAAACCCAACGTTTTCATTCCACGTGTTGTTTTTTGTATTGATGGGACATTCTTTTTGTATATATTTGTCAGTGTTAGTATTACTATTGTTTATCTATCTGTTCAGATTTTTTGCTCAAATACTCAATGCTAGGTTATTGTTTCGTGTAAATAATTAGTTCGTTTGTTGTCTTAAATCGTGTTGCTCTGAGTTCGATTCTAGGTAATTTTGTGTCTTGTTGAATTTATTGGCGTATGTCATTCATTAATAAGGAAAATATATTTTTTTTATACATCGTATTGCGCCTTTTATTAATCTTATTTTTTTTACAAGATGCAGCAAATTACCCATACCCAACTGTTTTAATTCAATGTAATGTAATTGCTTTACATACAAAATATAAACGTGGCATAAAAATAAGGAACAAATACATAGGTGCCAAAAAATTTCAAAGTTCCATCGAGAATAAGTACCTAACCTACCTACGCGCATTGCTGAAAAAAACCACGCGGCGGACGGCGGAGCCAGAACGCAATCTTCGCAATCTTGCTGTTTGTTGTATAATTGTGCTTGTACCAAGACTAGGAAATGGATGATGACCTCTAGGTCAATTCAACTGTCTAGGTTAAAATTAAATATTTTATACCTTAAATTGTTTAAAAATATGAAAAATTGCTTGATAAAAGCAAAAAAATCAAATGTGCGTTAGGTGTAAAGACACTATTCACCTAATCACTGTAAAGGAAACATTAATAAACTATTTAATTTATTCACTAGAGAGCAATGAATCCGGGTCACTTAAAGAATCCTAAAAATCTCGCATACTAAGAATTCTAGCTAAATGATATAAACTCTAATTAAATACTCATTAAATTAAGATATTAAAACTTCTTAGTTACTGTAAAGTTATATCATAATAAAATTTAAAAAGGGAGACTTTCGAAGATGAAAAAACGAAATTACTACATTATTTACATATTTTACAAAGATCAGATAGAAGCTATGTAGCGATTAACGAGCAAGAAATAAACTGTAATAAACATATCGGACGATATCCATTAAATAAATATTGTACACCATCATATACATAATATTACTATTACAAATTAGTTAATTGAAGCTTATGTATTAAGGGAATCAGCCCCCGTAGCATGAGAACAATTTGCATTATATCGCGTTTTTATCGCGTCTAACCGGAAACTTGAGCGTGATAAAAACGCGTTTTAAATCATATCGCAGTGGTCATGCTAGGGGGGCAGAAAAAACTACGGTAAAATAATCAGCTAGACAAACAAGGGTTTAAAAGACTACTTGCTCAGTGCTCGGGGTATGGATCTCTATAGTCGGTATCATTAATATCTACAGTCGGGATAAACTGGCTTGTAACAATGTATCTTCTTTTTATAGCAACTTCAACTAACTTCAAATCATGAATGATCTCTTTGTGTCAACTTACTTCTATAAAATTTACTTTTAGCTGTCAACATAAATTGCTAACAACGGGATTTTATTTTGGCATAAAAAGTTCTTAAAGTCCCGACGGTAAATGTTTTAAAATTTTACTAAACATTTTGCTCCATTATGTAAAGTTCGGCTATTTATATCAGTTACATCAAAAAACTTGAAAATTTACTTCTATTTTTTGTTTACGTAAGTTACTTGTTGTTGAATGGATTTTTTGGACTTCCTTAGTAAGGCAAGTCATATTTTTATTGAGAGGAACAGATACCATTTTACATTTATGCCATGTTTATAAACGACTCTATAGATGTAGAAACAAAAGAAAAAAAGTCTCATCGCATACGGTCGTGGTACTTATACGAACAATACAAATCTCTGGAGAGAAATCAGTTAGACGCGGCCCAAAAGTTAAAGGAGAGATCTTATCAAGATAATATCTTGCGTCAAGAATTACGAGAGAGAAGAAGTAGGAGGAAGCTGTATGACGGGTTTGACCTCTCTTGTGAGCGCGAATGTCATGTGCAAGGCAGCACGAGTGACGACGTCAAAGCAACGCTAAGCAGAAGTTCCGAAGATTTCTTTGAAAGTTTTTGCGAGTTGCAAGAAGACAAATCCAACAAGGACTCCGAACTTGACTCTTCTATAGAAGAAACTTTTAGCCAAGATGATTCGCAGATAGGTAAACGTTATTTGGATGCATACAAAGACTTAGAAGATATAAAAGATGATCAGAGTTATGAAGAAAGTATCCATAGCGTAGTAGAAAATTACAAATCCGACGAAGATTTCTTGGCTGCAGACTTGCAAGAAAAGCTCATGGTGGTCCAAAAGAATATTACGGCACAATTGGATCAACAGAAAGCCAATAATTTTGAGAAGTACGCTAAAACATGTGATGATTATAAAATTTCAGAGGTTAAAAGTACAGATTCTCTTGAAGATCTTGAATCACCAAATAAGGCTAAATGCCGACGTCACTCAGAAAGCAATATTAATATTCGGAATTTCTGGTCTAAATTAGTCTCATTCGCCTACCAAGTTATACAGCTCAATCACGGTAAGTATTCAAAAATACCTAATTTTACTACAAATCTTGCGAGTTGTAAATCCTTTTAAAGTGCTAGCCAACAACTAAGTTACCTACTCAACGATACGGCTTCATATTTATCATTGATCACTTGTTTGTTAGTTTCAATCAAATAGCAACTGTTTGGTAGCCTACAACTAGTGTTGCCAGGTCCGATTTGTTTTAAATCGGTACATGAATTCAAAACAATCGGGATTTAGGGTTGCAGATCGGGATAGTAAAAAGTGGTATTTAAGTCTGGGTTTAATGTATTGCGTTTTAAACTACTAGTGTAAGTATTGCATTATATTAATTACCTAAATTTCATTTTTTGATTAATCGGGACATTTAGCGTCCCGATCAGGTACAAATCGGGACGCGTCCCCAGACCCCTGAAAGTCGGGACACCTGATAACAAAAGTTTACTTAAGATATACCTTGCCCTACTCGGTGATAAAACATACTTTTTAGTCATTTTAGTAATTTGATCAATAACACGAACTCATTAGAAGTGGTCGTGAGAATTTTATAGCGCGATTACACTTGGTCGTTAGCCCGATTGCGAGTGTCAATGGAATGCGGGTAAACGACTAAGTGTAAATGACCGGAGTTGAGTAAACCCATATTTGGGTAGTTTTCGTTTTAGTTACCCGACACCGTCTTCCAGCCCGAAACCGAATGTGTAAATATTGCTCCGGGTGCCCGAATTAGAGTACGTAGAGTACTAATGTCTCTCGTAACCCGAATACGGGCTAACGACTAAGTGTAATCGAGCCATTTGTCGAAAAATATATTATTTCAACAAATTTGCTCAAAAACTGCATTTTGTTTAAATTGTTCGAAAGTTCAAAATTACGGGTCCGTTGTATAGAGCATGCGGTAAAACGTTTTACCGCACGCTCATACATGGCACAGTGCGTATCCGTTGCAGTTTTTACACCTTTGCCTCACTTTAATACTTAAAATAAAAAGAGACGAAAGATGTACTTCTAATTTTCACAATCCGCACGTGGCACCAGTTTCTCATTAGAAAAAAATTGCTTCATTAGGTACTTAAATTAGGTATAGGTGCTGTTTTCTCGCAAATGTGTTGGAAAAAGTTGTGACATTTGTGCGGACTTGGTATTTACAAACTCTTGCCTATGGTAAGCCCTCGACTTTCTACTCAATTGTTATAACAAAATTACCGCACTAATATCATAAAAAAACTATTATTTTTTACAGGTAACTGCTATTATGACTATGGATCGCAATTTCTGACGGCTGTTTTGGCTTGCGATGTTTTACGCCGAGGAGTCAATTGCATGTGTGAGTAACGGATTTAACAGATCTGGTTTAACTCGATTATAATGAAACCAAAAATGAGTTTAGGATAAAGGCTAGCCAGTCGAGCAATATTTGAGTTATTGATATTGAAATATTGAAAACTTTTTGATGTGTAACATCTTTCCTCTCGCTTTCCTGCAATTTGTAGGAGTGATTTCGTGAAATGGGACGGAAGTGTGTAACAGAAAGTCGCGAAAGCGCGCTATTTGATTTGATTTTAGAACATAATGTTCAAATGGCTTATTCTTTTTGTAGTAGGTTTTATTTCTTTTTTTACTAATAAAAGTTGAGGTCTCAAATGTGACACATCATACGCGACTACTGTAAGGCTTACTCGTTTTTTTTTGGAAAAACAGCCTGTTGACTTGTCCGGGTTCTGGGCTCCAAAATCCGGGTTTTCACGCGTTTTGTCCTGGTAGCCAAATTTAAGAGTTGGCAATCCTTACTGTAACACGAATTTATTGCGACCGAACCAAAAATCAGCGGCAGAACATATCTACCATCGACTTATTTGTTTATAGTTAATACGCCTACCTTTTTTTTAATGTCTGGGAAATGTCCTCTTTCGCATCCTTCAGCCAACGAGGAGCAAGAAGATAGTATCTGCGGACTCATCCCTGTCCGCTTCATCCAGCGTTCAGCTCTCGCTGAAGCGGAACAAGGCCCTACGCAGTAATAACCAGACAATACTCCTACTCCGTTCATCCGACATGCATTCTGAGTAGGAAAAAATGGGAACTTGGTATTAGGAAACCGTTCTTTTGGTTGTTTCATACCAGTAATTTAATTCTAGGTCATATTTTGCAGCCTTACGTTTCTCCAATAAAGTATGCTACTGATGTATCCGACAACGACGACTCCACAACTAGCTACAAGAGTAAAAAAAGAAAAATATTGCACATAAATAAAAAAAATCAAAACAAGGTAATTTGTTAATACTGATTTTAAGAAGTACCAATTACCAGTAGTACCTAGCAGTGTCTCGTTAGTAAAAACGTCTGCAATAGATTCCACATCACAACAATCCATAATCTATTTTGGCCCTTTCTTTTAGCTTAAGAGACTAGCTAATCGGTGAAATTTGTGGTAAACAAAGTAAATAGATATAGTACAGTCAATCTGTTGAAAAAAATACGTTTCAGTGAAAAAAAAACCTAAAGGGTAAGTCTTGTTTTTTCTGTTGCCAAATGACGTCAGTAAGCCACCTTGGCGATGGGCATGTTCAACTCGTAGGCGTTTTTTGAAAAACTCAAAAAACCGTCAAAAATTTTTTGAAACGCATTTTTCTTGTTTTGTATGCATTTTAGAAACTCTTTTATTTGACCATAATTGTAGAGGGCGTTGAGTACTACAATTTATGTATGTCATTGTTGCAATCTCGTACAACAAAAAATGCGCATTATAGGTGGCGCTAAAGTCTCAAAAAAGTGTTTTTTCACTTTTTCACCCTCAAAATATCATTTTAATGGAAAACTTTAAATGGAAAAGTTGTTCCGTACATAATTACCAACAAGTTTTGTATAAACAATTTTTTTGTATTACTTACCGTTTTCAAGTTATAAATTGCGCAGGTATGAAAAAACCAATAGAGCGGTTTTGGGCAGTTCACGTACACATTTGCAGTGCACATTTCAATGTACGTTTTACTATTTTTTATTTTTTTTCATGATTGAAAAACAAAAAAAAATGAAAAAAAATAAAAAATAGCTTTATTTTTATTTTTTTTCATGATTGAAAAAAAATAGTAAAAACGTACATTGAAATGTGCACTGCAAATGTGTACTTGAACTGCCCAAAACCGCTCTATTGGTTTTTTCATACCTGCGCAATTTATAACTTCAAAACGGTAAGTAATACAAAAAAATTGTTTATACAAAAGTTGTTGGTAATTATGTACGGAACAACTTTTCCATTTAAAGTTTTCCATTAAAATGATATTTTCAGGGTGAAAAAGTGAAAAAACACTTTTTTGAGACTTTAGCGCCACCTACAATGCGCATTTTTTGTTGTACGAGATTGCAACAATGACATAAATTGTAGTACTCAACGCCCTCTACAATTATGGTCAAATAAAAAAGTTTCTAAAATGCATACAAAACAAGAAAAATGCGTTTCAAAAATTTTTTTACGGTTTTTTTGAATTTTTAAAAAAACGCCTACGAGTTGAACATGCCCATCGCCAAGGTGGCTTACTGACGTCATTTGGCAACAGAAAAAACAAGACTTACCCTTTAGGTTTTTTTTTCACCACTCAACCTACAGATTGACTGTACTAATACCGATTAGTAGCGGCTGCATTTTTTTTATAGCGAGGTAGACAAATGATTCTACCCCACCTGATGTTAAGTGGTGATAAATGGTGTATTCCGAAATATACACCAGTACGCTGGCCAGCGGTAATGACGTCATGATTTCGACGCCATATTGACAACACTACTACTACTTACACCAGTGCAATATGGCATCGAAATCATGACGTCATTACCGCTGGCCAGCGTACTGGTGAATATAACGGAATATACCTATAGTCCAAACGCACATGCACGGGGATATTAGCTAATCTCTGGAGAATTCAGTAGATTTTAATGAGGAAATTTGCGTACTTTATGACTTTATACGTGCTCGCGCGTTTAGTTTTCTGTGTATTTATTTTGTGCCGTCTTACCTTGTCATTGGAAATAGAAACTTAAGTATTGCTATTTTTTCTGTCAAAGGCAAAACAGATGCAACTACACAGCCCATATCGCAGAACAAAACAAACTCATCACTCGGACGAGTATTGGCGCAAATTGTCAAAATATACGTTCGGCTACAAAACTAACAAGAGATATAGAGCGAGCGAACCGTGTCCCAGTATTGAGAAATTATCATCTTATTACACACAGACGAGCGGTAAACCGTCCAGCAGCTTTTTAAGCCCCTCCTATTCTAAGCAAAATTCCATTTCTGTTTGTCCATGTTCCTGTCACGGGAAGATTGCCAACCCAATGTTGAAAATCGGGCAATACATCGATAGATTACTTAAAGATGTAGACGACTGTCAGCGATTATGAAAATTGTTTATGTTATATGTTTAATAAAACCACATCTAGAAATCATGCCTTTTCTTCAGCTCCTGTAATCATGGGCCCAATAATGTTATACATGGTATTGTTTCATTACGACGACCTCCGTGGCCGAGAGGTTTGCACGCCGGGTTTCATGGTGTCACCGACTCGAGAGGTCCTGGGTTCGAATCCCGGTGGGGGCAGATGTTTGTGTGATGAATACGAGCATTTCTACTCCAGCCATGGATGTTTAATATGTATTTCTATATAAATGTGCTTATATATGTATCAGTATATGTATTCTATCCGCTATCCTGGTATCCCATAACACAGGCCTTGCAGTGCTTACTCTGGGGCTAGGCTAATTGGTGTGAGTGTTGGAAATATTTATTACAATATTTCACCTCACTTTTGCAACATTTGTTCGCACTTGGTGGAATTTGCAAAAGGTCTCATTTCGCCGGATCCAATACATTGATCGCACTTAATCGGATTCGCAAAAGGACGGATTCTCATTTTGCCAGATCCAGTGTAGTTATATGGAGAAATACATATTATTAATAATAATAACAATTATTTTTTCCAGTCATGTCAGGTTTTAAAACATACTTGCAATGTTTTTACTTGTTATCAAGAAAAACAGCGTACTACAAATTGCATCAAAGGTTGACTTCATTGGATCATTATAAGAATTCCGAAAAAGCTTTGCATTAATTTTTGAGGTTACTGAACAAGGAGAGGTACTGTTACCCCTTGCACGAACCATTATCGAATTTGAATAGTTTGCAAACCGGAACGTCAATGTCAAATTTTGTATGGAAACTTGAACAGCAGCGGCATAAGGTACGTAACGAGAACTAAAAATCAGTACACACAATGACATTTCGGACTCGCAAACGTTACGAATTCGATATTGGTTCGTGCTAAGGGTACTGATTTTTAGTTCTCGTTACGTACTTTATGCCGCTGCTGTTCATGTTTCCATACAAAATTTGACAATGTCATTTCGGTTTGCAAACTATTCTATTTCGATAATGGTTCGTGCATTACTATTAATAGAATGGTACAGTACACATTTGACAATGACATTTCGGACTCGCAAACGTTACGAATTCGATATTGGTTTGTGCTAAGTGTACTGTACCCTGAGCACGGACCAATATCGAATTCGAATAGTGGACTTTACTTGGATATACTGACCCAATCTCCGTTTAGGGAAATTATAATATACCTACAGTCATTTTGAAAAACTAGTTTTTTTTCCCAAAGATATGGGAAGCGTACAGCGAACTACAACGTCCCTCTGTGTGATTGCATAAGCAATAATATTTCTGCAATCGTTTGTTTAAAGCTATTGTATATGTAAGTTTTATTTTTACCAATGTTAGATTGGTTTGGTGTTTTTTAGTATTTATTTTTCAAATAAACCTATAGCAGATTAAACGTGGTGTTTTTCTCGTAAGCGTTTTTCTTGTTAACTGTATTCAGGCGAAATGAAAATCCGTGCTTTTGCGAATCCGACCAAGTACGAACAAATGATTTACAATGATTGATGTCCCTCAAAATCGACCTCAAATTAGTTTTTAATTTAATACAAGTTCGGTTAGCTTAGGTACGTTTGAACGCAAATATTCGCGTAATTATATTGAGTAAAAATAAAGATGCTTTTAAGGAAAAATGAAAAAGAAAACAAACCTTTAACAAATATGTAACACTTTAATACACGCGTCGTCTTACAACAGCGAATTTAAATAAGTTACAATATTTATCATTTTTATAATATTGTTTTTCACGTCGAATAATAATATCTCGTAAGAATGCTTCCCCTCACCTAAAAGTTCTTGTTTATCAATAAATACATACAACATAAGTGTCGCGCCTCTAGACCCACATACACATCATCTCTTCATCCGGCTGTGTGATTCAATTAACAATGTACCCCTGTGTCATTAATCACTATTGATGTTTGATTATATCTTTGATTACTACACTAATATTTTATTTCAAGCGATACTTCTTATTTCCGTCTGAGGCATTGACGCCAGAAGAAGGGATAATGTGTCCGTGACTTACTTTTCTTTCTGTCGCGAATGTTTAGTCTAGGTTCACATGATTCGCACAGCGAGAGTCGCGCGCATCATCTATTCTAAACACAGAAACGCACTAAGGCCTTAATCAAACGGAATGGCGGTCGTCGACAGCGATACATTCGCACTGAAAGCAGTGAGAAATAATTTTAAACTTTATCTACACACTTAAGAGACCAGAATCCTTTGAAATGGTTCCGCGGTGTCGCGAGCGAGCGGCATTGCACGCGGCCGCTCGACTTCTTCGAGATTTTCAAATGATGCTTACTGATTGTATGTTGACAAATCCACATACTTAATTGTGAAGAAAAAAGATATTCACTGCTTTTGGTGTGAAAGTATTCGCCGCGACGCTGCCTTTCCAGTGTGAATCAGTCCTAAGGCGCGTCCATGCATGCTTTACATATAAACCTAGACTTGCAGCAGTTTTGCTAATTTAATATGGTTAACTTAACATTCATAACGGATTAAAATGAACACATCAATAAAGGCCAATTATAATTCTTATTCTTGAGTTAATTTTTTTTGTATTTTTTTTGTGATAGGTCATATATATACTGATTGTTATGTTTAAAACTGAGCAATATAATTGTTTCTTTTCGTTCAGTAGTCCTCACATCAGGAATAAAAATGGTGAAAGAAATTCAAATGTATACAAAAAATTGAGGCCGCTTTACACAAAATAATTACAAAAAGAATGTCACGATTTTTATCCGTCTAATGCGAAGCTGAAACAAGGGGATGCTCAGCACCAATTAAAGGACTTTACAATATCAATAATTCAACACAGTTCAAAAAATATTTGACAAGTTTACAACAAAGAATTCAAAATGGCTGGGTACATTATCTAAAGCAACAGTCAATACCAGTGATATTTCATGCGATCTTTAGAAATAATTACTTACACATGTGAAGATTATATTATAATGTTTTATATTTTTGATGATATTAATATTATGACATACTTTAGCCTTCACTGTACGATAATTTAAAACTAAAAAAAATATTAATCACAATAATACATAAAATATATAATAATTCTTTACCTATTGTATCTTGGAGGCTGTTATCATTTTGTGTCATATTATAATAACAAAAAAAAGGATAATTCCTATTAATTTTATTTCTGCACTTTATTTAAACAAAACAACGAGAATCATAATGCCTCGAACTGCGAAGACTGCGAACGTAACTGTCTGTCTGTACGATTAATGTCTATGGCGCCGAATATTTTTTCATGAATTGTGTCGCAGAGATAAAGGAGATCATAACGAAGGAAATATGGTACGTTTTTAAAAGTTTGTATGGGAAACCAAATTGTTCTATGCAGGTATTTCGAGTAAATATATTAAGATTGGTAAATTATGTGTGTTAGTCTGTCATCAACGACGATATGTCGCTGTTGCCCGAACAACAACGGGGAATAAGGGATTATTTTGTACTCCAGAGACGATTAGATTGAGTTTATTGTTATTAAATCATATCTGTTTACGTAGGTAGCTATTTTTAGAATTTCAACAGCAGTGTGAATAAATTAATTGTGCGTATATAAATGGACGTGCGCTTGATTGAGCTAATCTGCAAATCGATCTAAGAATCAAAGTGTTTGGAAAATCTGATATAAATTTTATTATGTTTAAATTCGTTCCCTACCCTTGACATTCTTATTTAGTTAATATCTCAACAAATTGTAGGAGACTTTGGTATAGTCTCGAGCAACATGAGTTTCAGAGAGAAAACCAACGCCATCTACTGCCAAATCTATATTAATGAAAATTACTGCTAACATAATGGGTTAAACAAAATACATACATCAATGACCCTCACATTCGAATAAAACTATAATAACAGGGAGAACCAGCATCCACTATTATTTTAATAACTACATACCTTCAATAATAATAAGAGATTAAGTATATGCAGTTCATTAATTAATGGCCTCTCAGTTACAATTAAATAAGAATATTTTTTTGTTACTTGAGTATGTATGTACAATAAATCCATACAAATCATAAATAAGTTTCGAAAAGAGGAATACGTAACTCTTAATATATTTCGTGTAAAATATTATGATTGAGTGTTTATAAAAATGAACACTACCTATATTATTAACACTCACCGATAAACCCAATGCGTTTAGTAATCACACTATTGCTGTATCGTTTGTGAACAGTTATTTTGCATATCATTTGAGTAATCGAAAAGAAAAAGCGAATTCTTATTATATCAATATTCTCTTTTAATTTTGTCCAATTCTGATATTTTATGATTCAATTATTTCTACAACTGAACACCGTGATATGAAATTATCAACGCGATGCCAAACACAACGGTTGAACTGAGTGGTCGTGATAATGATAATAAACAATTTAGTTATGCTTCGTAAAATGATCTCATTATAGATATATAGACAGCTCCCAAGATCCTACAACCAGTAAGAGATATTGACTGCATAAGTATTGGTGCTCCATCTCTAATCGCGTTTGGACTAAGTTCACACTTATAATCTGAATGGGCGCAGTTATATATTAACTAGAGCTTATCGTCGTAAAAAGATACTCGTAGTTTTATTAGCTCAGAAAGTAGATATAATGTAACTTTGAATGAAAAGAATGAACCAGAAAAAAACATGTTATTTGATTTGTAAAATCTATTCTTTCATAATTGAACCATTAAATAATGTGCCAAAATGGTATTCAATAGTATTACTTATTTCTAATAAGGCTATCAGCTAATTAGTTTATGTAATATTAACACTGGAAGTATGTAATTTAGTCAGGGTGACCCTCATACTTTTTAATTAGAATTAAAATGCCACAACTTTCCTCTCATTGGTCGAATTGTATTGTTATCGTTACTCTGACAAATGGCAGCTCCCTTTCTCGTGTGACGTTATTTTCATTATTGCCATTTGAAAGCGATCAAGAAAGCGCTTTTTCGTAAATAGAGTAGGTATTATAAGGATATCTCTTACTGGACACAGGGTAAAAGGAACGGTTGTGAACTTTTAAAGATTGTGTTCGTTTCGCAATGTAAAATACATGAAAAGTGTCTAGGATCAAGTATTTACGCAATTGATGTCGCTGTTAACTTAGGTTAGTTTCCCAAAATTAGATAAATCCGATCTCTTTCTTTACTTTTACAAAATAGATAGCGGTAAGTTGAGAGTTTATATTTAAGAAAGCACAAAAGTCAATCTGCACCCTTAGTACGAGTTTTACAATTACGAAAACTATGATAGTTTTCGTGAGCTCGCAATCGTACTAAGGGTACTGATTTTATTGTTTTAGTTTCAATACAAAGAAACAGGTGTTTAAATTCTGTCATTAAATCATTTGCGTCTTCTTAAAATTTAAGTATATTCGGTTACTTTTCACCAAAATGGGCGTAGAAACAAAATTTACAATTACGAAAACTATGATAGTTTTCGTGAGCTCAAACTCGTACTAAGGGTACTGAAATATTGGATTTGGTAAATAATGATTAGCATTTTTTAAATTTACGCTTACCCTAGGCACTTTTCACGAGTATACATAATAATAATAATAAAAAAGTCGTACTGAAGCGTTATACCGATAAGTGTTGCTGATGCGACGCATCGTCCGACTAGTTGTCCGGCGGGTTGTCGAAGTAGTCGATCTTTTCTACGGGCGGCGCGGGGTTACGGGAGGGGCTTGATGTTACAGCGTTAGCGGAAGCGGAAGCAGACGCGGTTGCAGATTGTCGCGCCGCCCACGCGTTCGATGATGTAAGCGTTGCCCATCCCGACCTGTAGTCGAAGATCAAAAAAGAAAAGCCATTTCTATTAGCCCTTAAAAACGGTTGTAGTCTAAACATATAATAAAATGGTAGGAAATTCGAAACTGTACATTGAATGCTTTTTTTAAAGAATAATTGGGGTCCGCTTCTCTGGCTACCTCTAATATACTCATCGCCGGCAGCCAAGAATGCATCCGTAGAAAAAACAAACATTGCCTCGGTATTTACTTGGTTTGAGCGGGCCCGTTGTTGGAAGCGCAGCACCGGCCCCGGTACGCGTCTCTTGCCCGCTTCTCTGGCTACCTCTAATCTACTCATCGCTAGCAGCCAAGACTGCATCCGTAGAAAAAAACAAACATTGTTGCGGTACTGACTCGGTTCAAACCAAACTGCCTGCAACAACGGGCCGGCTCGTTGTTGGAAGCGGAGGCCGCAGAAGCAGTAGGTGGCCGTAGCACCGGCCCCGGGACGCGTCTCTTGCCCGCTTATCTGGCTACCTCTAATATACTCATCGCCGGCAGCCAAGACTGCATCCGTAGAAAAAAACAAACATTGTTGCGGTACTGACTTGGTTCAAACCAAGCTGCCTGCTGCTTGAGCAGGCTCTTTGTTGGAAGCGGAAGCTTAAGAAGCAGTAGGTGGCCGCAGCACCAGCCCCGGGACGCGTCTCTTGCCCGCTTCTCTGGCTACCTCTAATATACTCATCACTGGCAGCCAAGACTGCATCCGTAGAAAAAAACAAACATTGCTACCGTACTGACTTGGTTTGAGCGGGCCCGTTGTTGGAAGCAGAGGCCGCAGAAGCAGTGGGTGGCCGCAGCACCGGCCCCGGGACGCGTCTCTTGCCCGCTTCTCTGGCTACCACCTCTAATATGCTCATCGCCGGCAGCCAAGACTGCAGCCATGGAAAAAAACATAATTTAATTCAGTGTTCAGTTGGGCCTCTGCACGAATTTTGAGAGCTTCGTAATTTTATCACGTCATAAAATTTTCTATGAAAACTAAGCAGCGCCCCTTATCCTTATCGGACTTAAGAACAAACTAGCGTTTTTCATACAAATTTGACGTTGACGATACGATAACGGAGCTATCGAAATTCATCCTTGGGCCTCGGGAAATATTTCATATAAGTAAGAATACAAGCAATATATTTAGGGTCACTTTCATCAAAGTTGTTAACGGTAAAGTGGTGTGTTAGATTGAAGTAATGAGTTTAATGCTAATTTATATCGAGCTCGAAGGATCAGTATTCTTTTCTACACACATCATGGTTGCATTACATATCCACACTCCAGGTGCAACTTACGACAATTTTTAGAAATGTCTGTTTTTCAAAAAATTTCTTCATGTAATACTACCGATGGAATATAGCCTTCTAATTAGCGCGTTTTTTATATATTCTATTTCCTTTTTTTTCTCGATGTTTCGGTCAATTATTATTATCATTTGATTGATGTGCGGAAAAATCCTAACTAACAGTATAAATAGGAATTTGAGTTTATTTGTTAATCAATCACGCAAAAACTAGTGAACGGGTTAGGGCCTGGATTGAGCCATACGATACTGTAACGTGTTAGATATCGCTTTGAAACTTCAAACGTCAATCGTCGCATTCCATAAAAATCCAGTTCAATTGAGAGTTAAGTAAGCACACGTATCTATTTATACGTAGGTAAAGCGCATGAGTTGTAAACAAGTGCAGTTGTCGTTGCACTGTCAACCTTACGCTGCACTTCATACGGCTCATATTAGAATTTACAGTACCACTTGACCTTTATCGAGATTATTCACGTCGCAACCCGCGTTGTTTCGGTCAAATCTGTTTCCCGTATTTCGTGATTTGGTTTGAGAGCGTATGTGACAATACTTCTTATACCGGAAGTGTTACGTTTCTGAGATTTTCAAATAACTAAAGATCTTGGGGGTCGAAGTCGCGGGCGGCTGCTAGTAAGAAATAAATATGTGAACGTTACCTTCTCCTTATCAGCGGTGGCGACAACGTTGCGATTTGGCTCAGCGTCGTAGGCTACACTCTCGCAGCCGAAGTGCTCGCACAGCTCGTGTATGAACTGTCGCTTCTGCCAGTTCATCGACGGGAACGAGTGCGAACGGGTCTTCTGTTTCGACTGTGAAACAAAAATGTTCCTCATAGTTTACAGAAGCAGACATTATAGGTTTCTGAAAGAATAAAGCACGAGTCGTTAAGCAGTAAGCCTGCCCGCCCATAGGTGCGTTATTATCCGTCGATAACAACGGTTGCATTATTGTGATATTTCGTCATACAACAGTTCCGTCGTTATTATCGCAGAAGTGTGTAAATTTGTAGCCGTTGTCATACATAATGTATTAAAAATAAAATCACAAAACGACGACCAATAAAAACGCGCCTATGGGGAAGGATTTCAACGAAATGTAAGGTGATGTAGGTGCACGCCATAAGCAGAGTATGGGCTGCGCGTTCCCTTACCTACTGTCAAGTAATGCTAGGCAGATAGGTGTGAGGGAGACGAAGCGATAAGGGTGGTGAATAGTTCGTCTATGTAATAGCTCTTTTTTGTCTTATCTAGAGAGTTTTCCATTTCCTGAGAGTATGTCTCAGTTAATTCTCAATATCTTTGGTGCGGGCGGGGTGTCACTGAACTGAAACTAGCGATTGAGATAGCTGCTAACTGTACAGCTGCCATATAGTTTGAATTTCACTATATTTAAACTTTTTGCTGTGTATCTGTGGTACTAGCGGTCTAGTATCGGGTGTGTTTTACGCGACCCTCGTCATCGCATTTAAATCTAATGTAAGTGGGGTTGCTATTATGAAACTTAAACTAGAACTAACCTTCTTGGGCAAGTGCACGAGCTCTGTAAGTTTGTCATGGATCTGCTGCGCAAACGCTGGTTCCTTGACGGCGGCATGTCTGGGTTACGTATCTGTAGCGCTAACGTATTTCAATCTAATGTAACTTTCACTATAACAAACCTTGTAACTAACACTGTAAGTTTATCGTGTATTTGCTGCGCGAACGCCGGTTCTTTAACTGCGGTGGCTCGCAGCCCGTCGGTGTATCGCGGCGCCAGCTTCGACGATACGTCTGGGTTACAGGTCTGTAGCGCTAGCGTATTCCAATCTAATGTAACTTTCACTATAACTAACCTAAATTAAACAAGTTTCAACGGGTTATCAACAAATATTCTGACGACGCATTCCTGCAAAGGATGCGAAACGTCAATAAATAAATAAAATCAGTGCATCTAACCCGTTGGAACTTGTTTTATTTAATGAGTGATGTGCGTGAAAACCTAAGAAACAAATATACAACGAACCTTCTTGGTCAAGTGTACGAGCTCTGTCAGTTTGTCATGGATCTGTCGCGCAAACGCCGGTTCCTTGACGGCGCTACGTCTGGGTTACGAATCTGTAGCACTAGCATATTTCAATCTAATGTAACTGCACTATAACTCACCTTCTTGGCCAAGTGCACGAACTCTGTAAGTTTGTCGTGTATCTGCTGCGCGAACGCCGGTTCCTTAACGGCGGCATGTCTGGGTTACGTATCTGTAGCGCTAGCGTATTTCAATCTAATGTAACTTTCACTATAACTAACCTTCTTGGCCAAGTGCACGAGCTCCGTAAGTTTATCGTGTATCTGCTGCGCGAACGCCGGTTCCTTAACGGCGGCATGTCTGGGTTACGTATCTGTAGCGCTAGCGTATTTCAATCTAATGTAACTTTCACTATAACTAACCTTCTTGGCCAAGTGCACGAGCTCCGTAAGTTTATCGTGTATCTGCTGCGCGAACGCCGGTTCCTTAACGGCGGCATATCTGGGTTACGTATCTGTAGCGCTAGCGTATTTCAATCTAATGTAACTTTCACTATAACTAACCTTCTTGGCCAAGTGCACGAGCTCCGTAAGTTTATCGTGTATCTGCTGCGCGAACGCCGGTTCCTTAACGGCGGCATGTCTGGGTTACGTATCTGTAGCGCTAGCGTATTTCAATCTAATGTAACTTTCACTATAACTAACCTTCTTGGCCAAGTGCACGAGCTCCGTAAGTTTATCGTGTATCTGCTGCGCGAACGCCGGTTCCTTAACGGCGGCATGTCTGGGTTACGTATCTGTAGCGCTAGCGTATTTCAATCTAATGTAACTTTCACTATAACTAACCTTCTTGGCCAAGTGCACGAGCTCCGTAAGTTTATCGTGTATCTGCTGCGCGAACGCCGGTTCCTTGACGGCGGTGGCTCGCAGCCCGTCGCTGTAGCGCGGCGCCAGCTTCGACGATACGTCAGGGTTACGGATCTGTAGTGCCAATGCCATCTGTCGGGTACGCTGTTCGACGCGACACTCGTCGTCGCATTCCAATCTGTTGTACATACCATATATCTTGTTTATTTTGAATTAGCTGCCCGGCCTCACTTCACTTCAGTGAAGAATTTAGATTTTGTTCTAATACCATAGCCTATGACACTCACAATTATGTAGCTTTCTAATACTAAAAACAATTTAAAATAGGTTCAGTAAATCCAGAGATTACTCCCTACAACTTCACAAATCACAAACTTTACCTCTTCATATAATAGTATAGACTAGTAGCCCGCCCTCGCTTCGCTTCGGTGTAGACTATAGTTTTTGTTCTCAGGCTTGTATTGTATATATTATATAAACCTTCCGTGAAAAAATGTCTAACTAATAGTAGATATTGATGTCTTCTATAAAACTGTAGCATATCACTATGCTCTATTAGCAATCATCTCATAAAAAAAAGCCTGATATCACGTACGCTGCAACGTGACATTGGTGTTTTTGGTATTTTTTTCACAAGTTGGGTTACATTATCGAGGATGCTATACGGATCCCTAACTTTAAAAAAAAAAATTTAGCTTATATTCATCAGGGACAACATAGGACTCTTAATGTGAAACACTGAAACAAAGCGATTCAGTAGTTTCGGAGACTATTCAATGCAAACAAACCAACAATCAGATCATTCCTCTATAATATTAGTTTAGATGTAGATCTGGCTTAAAAAAAAAAAAAAAAAAATATTTGAGACATGTGTAAGTAAGGTGTTATGATTTTAGGGGTGCATAACATGTCGTGCCGATATAGGCATACAAATTCAGCAGGTTATTTAAATATCAAGTCAAAAATCTTAATATTCAATAATAAAACATGTCAAATTCAAATGATTCCAATTCAATATAAAAATGTTAAAATTAATCAAAAAAATAGAAATAATAATAATCAATACATAATTACAATTCAAAATTTGTCAAAATACGTCAATAATAAAACATGTTAAATTCAAATGATTTCAATTCAATAATAAAATGTCAAAATTAATCAAAAAAATAGAAATAATAATAATGGCTTAGTCCAAAACTCAGTTATAAATTAATTTAGCTACCGGTTAATCTAATATAAAGTAAATAAGTGGGAATATAAACAAGTGAAATATACGAACTCAAACATAAAATAGAATAAATGTTTGTCTTAACTACTATAATATTTAAGGGCATCTCACAACCATATTTAATACCCTAGATACAACATCACGACTAAAATCGTGGCCGAAACCTGTCAAACGGTACATTGAACAATCGACGGAGTTTGGTAAAATGATCGCGTACACAAAAACAATATAAGGCATTATTTGAACATTCAGTCACCATTAATGTATATTAAATAAGGTCTTAATTTAAACACATGCGTCAAACAGTTATGACAGTTCGAAATGCAAGTTGGTAAAATTTTACGACTTGTTGCTATAGGCGGAAGAATTTAGACTTTATTTCTATGAACCTAAAAACATGATTCTATATCGTAATTCTGAATGCGCTGTTAGCAATATAGCAGGTACGGAGCGCGAGAAAAAGAGACGGCTATACAACCGACCATGCATTTGAATATAACAAATATTTTCTATTAAATCAGTTTTTTTTTATAGATAGTTCCGACAAATGACTTCACCCCACCTGATGTTAAGTGAAGGTGAAGTCCAGACGCGAAGATAGTAAGTATTAGAACAAACTTTTGAAGCAAAGTTTGTTCGTTAAATTAACAAACATCGATAAGATATCCGTTAAAAACGACATTACGTACTATAAGTAGTTTTTTCGCTTTTTTTTCCGAGCTCTGAGGCATGTTGACTTTTCAACGGTCGACACGTCACTTTGAACCAATAAGTGCTTGAGTCGTGTTCAAGCACTTCTTGATTGGGACACATTTTAGCGCACGTGGTGTAAAAGGGTATTAAATATCGTTGGCATCTCACTTACGTTTTCAACATGTTGGCCGGGCGTTGGACCTCGGATAAATCGACGGAGCCATTTTCTTGTATCTTAGTTGCAGCTAGTGCGCTCATCATTCTGTAAATGAACATAATATTTTAATTAAAAATTTGACAACTTTAAAATAGACTCATTAAGTGATCGCCGATTTATTTTGGATAATGTTTTCTTAGTTTAAGCTTGTTAATGGTATTATGGACTGTCCCGTTTTGCTCTCAAGAGTATATTTTAATATCCCCTTAAAACTGCCAAAAGGGTCATGATATAATTTGTTTGCCACGACAAGCTCCAGAACGAACCTAGGCTTATATTCTCCTATAAATAGAATGCTCTCTCAGTACAATTCACTGTCAAAGTCGACCGATATGGACATCTTCGCGGATATACTGAAGAGAATAAAATCTTTATGTTTGGTTGTGCCCACATAGTTTTTTTCATTAATTTATTTCTCATTAAATTTATTTTTCATTAATTTATTATCATTTATTTATTTTTCATAAATTTATTTAACTGTTGTTGTTCAATTATTAACAATTTAAATTTTATTTTTATCCATAATTGTTTTTGTATTGAAAATTAAGTAATTATCAAAATTTTATAAGATTTAATTGCTAGTTAAGGGTAAATTGCATGTCGTAATCGCCTATAATTAAAGTTCTACTAATAAAGTGCCGTACTATAAATGTGTAAATAAGAAATGTCTAAGTGTAACTTTGTTGGTGATCAAATAAATAAATAAACTTGTATTTTCTGAGTTATTAATGTTGTTAAACAACATTAATAATTAACAACATTAACAACTGACGGCCGATGGAGCCGTAAAGTTCTTGACTGGAGACCGCGACTCGGTAAACGTAGTGTGGGACGCCCTGAGACAAGATGGGATGATGACATTCGTAGGCTGGCTGGCGTGAGCTGGATGAGAGTGGCAGAAAATCGGGAGCAGTGGCGTGCATTACGGGAGACCTATGTCCAGCAGTGGACGAGCATGGGTCGATGATGATGATGATGAAACATCATTATGGTAAGGCAGGGCAAGTGGCGGGGGCATTACTTGGCGGTGTCGCGCGCGTTGTCGGCGCAGGCGCGCTCCTGTGCGCGGCGGCCGCAGGGGCAGGTGGCGCGCACGGGGCGGCGGCACGGCGCGCTGGAGGGGCAGGGGGTGCCGCTACTCGAGTGGCACGCGGCGGAGCAAGGGTGTCCGCAGCTGGGGCGCTTCTCGTTGCAAGGCTGGGTACACCTACATTTAAACAAACAAATAAATTTTAGGTTTTATAGTCTACTTTAGAATAGGTGAGAATCACAGAACACAGAAAGAGGTTAGAAAAATGATCGTAGATCGTTTTTACGGAAACCGATGTCACCGGCTGCCCCCCCCTACACTTCTACCTAATAGATAACAGCCAATCAAACGACGCGACATCAAACAATCGAACCAATTAGCGCTCACACCCGAGAGCAACGACGCAATCAGAACCAAGTTTTGGTCAAGTTATGAGTATTTGCTCAAACACAACTGTGGCGCGCCTGCCCCGACCACAAGGCCTTTCTAACCACTTTTTGTGTTCTGTGGTGAGAATAGTTAAAAAATTGGGTAATTCAGGAAAGTATTGTCCCTGTGATATGTACTAGAAAAATCACTTTGCATACCAAATATTCCCAAATATTGAGTAGTGACTCTGTTTCCACCGTCGCAAATGTAGTGTTGTGCGCTGTCATTATATGAATACATCATTTATTCAATCAGGATGGTTCGAAGAGTCAACTTTATTAGGAAACATGTATTCAAAATTATACCATTGCAAAAGCAAGTGAAAATACTTTCGACGACCAATATAGAACAAAAAAATACGAAGAGAACATTAACGAAATATTAACTTACAATATAGTTATCAACGAATACCATAAAAAAAAATATGATTAGTAAAAAAAAGGTAATATTATGATTAGAAGGTGACTCACTTGCCAGTATCACAAGGTCCCTTGTGACAAGTCTTGATGCAGGTGTGCTTGCCGCAAGGTAGAGGCTTGCCGCACGGCAGGCCGCAGGAGAACTCATCTTGGGAGCACGGTATTGTTTTTCGTTCCTAAAACATTAAAAAACTATAAGAGTTATCAAATAACCACACATTTATTAAAAGTTTTTTTAATAAATGTTACATTTATTGTAAACTAGCTATGCCCCGCGGTGTTACCCGCAGTTAATAAGGAATATTTTCCAGCAGATAAACGTAGCCTATGTGTTAATCCAGGGTGTCAGCTAACTCCATACCAAATTTTATTAAAATCGCTCCAGCCGTTTAGACGTGAAGAAGTAACAAACATACACACTCACTAACTTACGCCTTTATAATATTATAATTATTATAGTGTGATTTACATAATCAACATTGACTTTAAACAACTCAATATTGCTCATACAATAGGGATCCTCTGTTCTTTAAGGTTTTCTTCTGTTTGTGATTCGCGTTAAAACATCTTTGGAATCAAGAGATAACATAGAAAAAAAAAACAGTAATTTTTTACTTATAGTAAAATTACGTCGGCAACTTTACTACTGACAGTACCAAATTTTTGTCTGTACTTTCCTGTAATATTACTTCTATTCTTGTAAAGGTGAATTTCCAGCAGTTTAAATTAATGAATAATTACGTATTTACGTACTATTAACGTATTTGAAATCATATGGAAGCATAACTCTTAAACTCAACAAAGGCCGCTAAAACATGGTTTTAAAGTCATACAACTACACACTAAATAATACTTGTAAAGGTTTTCATTTGACATTGTGGTTTACCTACAATGCGAAGAAATGGCGCTACTTTGCAACTTAAGAAAGGCTAGAGAAAATTCGACACATGAGTCAGGGGCGCGGTAGCATAATGGACAGTGCATTCGGCCCGATAGTAGAGGGTGCCCGTACCCTTCACTATCCGGGTCCCGTCTGCTGCCTAGTCCGCGTGGAAATTTTTCTAGTAAAATTTTCTTTAGATTTAAACATCTAGCAGTTGCATGTTTAAATATAATCATACAACTTAACTTCAACACTTATACAACACGCACAGACTACAGAAAATACTTTCACAAATCAAATTACTGCAAATGAATTCGGCTCTTTATTTATTGCGAAATACAATATTAAACGAAATCACAACCAATCCTATGATTGGCGTGTTGATCGCAGTTTTTCAGCTCCGCCCGGGAACTATTTTTGCGCAGGGCAGGGGCCCGGCAGGAGTGGTGGCTGGGGGGTTAGACGCGGAAGAATCCCTAAACAGGTATCCCGCGGTTTCGGACTAAGCAGCTTAGAGGGTATATTCGGCAGTGTGCCTGTTAAAGTCGGCGTCCTCTGTAAATAGGCTTTTGCCTGCGTCACAAAAAAAAGGAGTGGTGAGGGGTGGAGATGACATACCTCGTGTCCGCCGTGGCAACGCTTGGTGGTGAGCACGACGCAGGGTGGGCAGTCGGCCTGGTGGCACGAGTGGTGCGGAGGGTGGCCACAGGGGCGGGGCACGCGGCAGGGCGCGGAGCAGGGCGGGGGGCGGGCCCCACATGCAACAGGGGGCAGGAGGGCTTGCTCGCCGCACGCGCAGCGGAGCTCTTCGAATCCTGGACAACAATTTGGAACACAGGTTGATTATTATTCATTAAAAAAAATATAATACATAACTGATTTTGTACTTTTTTTGTGACGAAGCGATTTTTAAGTTTAAGAGTCAGCTCACACCGAGGCGCGATGCGACGCTGTACGTTTTAACAGAGCAACCCAAATCATAACTTTATATACAACACGAAAATATACACATTTCATTGTTAGAATTCAGGTTTCATACGCACCGGGCAGCGCTACGCTTCGAGATAACTCGCGGCATATAGTAATGTATCGCGGCTCAGCGGAGCATTGCCTTGCGGCTTCTCTAGCAGCGCAGCTTTTGCAAGCCGCGCGTATACCTAAAGAAGCCGCGAGGCCACCGTGGCTATTTGTCTCTACTGTGTCCATCCAGACTTCGTGTAGAATTGATGCGATTCCGTCGAGTGTTCGAATATAATAGATATTCCGACTTCCTGCAGAAGATATAGATAGAGAAAGTGGTGGACGCCGTGGATGTAGATACGTACCGCGATACGAAATATGACTCACCCAGCCCGTGCGACGTGGCCGTGCGACACTGTGTCACACGCGAGGGAACGAGCTCGTGATATATGACTCACCCAGGCGCGGACAAGGCGCGCAGTGTCCCGTGTGGCAGAACTCCTCGCAGCGGTGCGTCTGGCAGGAGAGAGTGCGCCCGCAGACCACCGCGCACCGTTGCGACGTGGCCGTGGGACACTCTCTATCACAGGCGAGGGAACGAGCTCGTGATATATGACTCACCCAGGCGCGGACAAGGCGCGCAGTGTCCCGTGTGGCAGAACTCCTCGCAGCGGTGCGTCTGGCAGGAGAGAGTGCGCCCGCAGACCACCGCCCACCGGTGCGACGTGGCCGTGGGACACTCTCTGTCACAGGCGAGGGAACGAGCTCGTGATATATGACTCACCCAGGCGCGGACAAGGCGCGCAGTGTCCCGTGTGGCAGAACTCCTCGCAGCGGCGCGTCTGGCAGGAGAGAGTGCGCCCGCAGACCACCGCCCACCGGTGCGACGTGGCCGTGGGACACTCTCTGTCACAGGCGAGGGAACGAGCTCGTGATATATGACTCACCCAGGCGCGGACAAGGCGCGCAGTGTCCCGTGTGGCAGAACTCCTCGCAGCGGTGCGTCTGGCAGGAGAGAGTGGGCCCGCAGACCACCGCCCACCGGTGCGACGTGGCCGTGGGACACTCTCTGTCACAGGCGAGGGAACGAGCTGGTGATATATGACTCACCCAGGCGCGGACAAGGCGCGCAGTGTCCCGTGTGGCTGAACTCCTCGCAGCGGTGCGCCTGGCAGGAGAGAGTGCGCCCGCAGACCACCGCCCACCGGTGCGACGTGGCCGTGGGACACTCTCTGTCACAGGCGAGGGAACGAGCTCGTGATATATGACTCACCCAGTCGCGGACAAGGCGCGCAGTGTCCCGTGTGGCAGAATTCCTCGCAGCGGTGCGTCTGGCAGGAGAGAGTGCGCCCGCAGACCACCGCGCACCGGTGCGACGTGGCCGCGCAGCACGCGGTGCGGCAGCGGTGGCGGCCGCACGACAGTTTCTGTTATACACCAACACAGCATTATTGCACCAAAGACACTGACTAACATTGAGTCACACAAACGATTGTCAAATAAACAACAACAACTGTGCGAACAGAAGACTCTCCTCTGAAGAAAAGCGGAAGGTGGAATAAGAGAGAATAACTCCTCAGAACACTCGCCGTGGTACAGACGATAGAACGCGCTTAGTGACGCCACGTCACGGCGTAAATGAAGAGCTGTTTAGTCACCTCCTAATCGTCTATGATGCGGATCGCACGCCGCTGTAACCTATCCAAAGCATCAAGCAAGTACTTGGTGGAGCCATCCCAGAGGTGCGAGCAATATACCACGCTAGACCGCACCTGCGTCTTATACAACAAGCACAGTTTAACAAGAACGTACTAAATGCATTAGTTGCTCGGGCGTGAAAAAGTGCCGCACCTTGTTCAGGACTTCGAGTTTGCTTGAGGCCGTTTTTACCACGCTTTCGATGTAATTCTTTGGATTTAAGTCACAAACACAGAACAGAACACAGTCGTTAAAGAGCGTTCTTCTTCAAATATAAATATATAGAGAGTTGCTAAAACCCCCCCAACTATACGAAAAATATTCATGGCATCTAAAATAAACTTGTTACTAGTTTTTACCCTTTGGGTAAGGAACCTAAAAACGTCAATTCGATGTTATGAATGATGATGAGTTACATATGATATTTTGTACTTTCCACAAAAAAAACGCAAAATATCAAGCATTGCAAACGTAAAAGTACGTTGAGTTAATGATTACCTTATTGCACTTCTTTTGACAGAAGATATTGTTGTAACTCTGGGACAGCTCAGAGCAGGGCACTTCGCGGCTGGAATGACCGCAGCGACATTGTAGAAGCGTTTTATCAGGGCATACCGGGCATTCGCCTAATCAGGACAAAAAACAATACAATAAATTTTTATATTACTTACGAATGCCAATGATTTGATAGATGATCTGCAGTATTGATTTTATATAAAAAGAACACAACTTTTTGTACTTTATATTTTCGCGAAAATACTAGCTTTTGGTTTTTACTTACTGAAAAAGCGTCAAAACCCCCCTTGACACGCACCATCCGTCAGATTATAAATATGTACTAGATGTACATTCTAATAACGTAAATAAATATGTATCAAAAGCGAGTTATTTACCATCATGGCAGTCCTGTTTGCAAAAGTGTTTATCGCCAGCCGGCCCGCACGGCAGTGGCTTGGCGCAAATGTTACCGCATAGAGGAATAGGATCTGTGCAAGCTTTGCGAGACCCCTCCGCTAACCTGGATGTGAAAGAAATATATCGTAAGTGTTGCAAATTGATTATGGTCAGAATATGATAATTTAAATATAAAGTAATAAAAATTATATATCTTTTTCTTTATTGTAACTTTACAAAGTTGTTCTAGAAATACATCTAACCAAAATTATTAATAGGCTAGTTGACTCATATCGAATTGTATTAAATAAATGTTTATTTCTTACAGTATTTGGTCTAAGGAACCTAAATATATCGATTTCACTTCATAAAAGCAGAAGATTGCTGTAGAAATTTAATTTTAAAAAATAATTTTTAGTCTATATTTTTTAAACACTAAAAACGCTGTTCGCCACATCCGCCATGATTGTGACGTCTCTTTCAGTAAACAACTAAATGTCATTCGCGTGTTATTGTGGGTGGATTCTTTAGTCTGAATAAATTTATCTTAAAACACTTTTGACTTTAGAAAAGTTTCCGTTTACTTTTTTTTTTGACAAAACTAATTATGGATGCCTGCTTTGTGAAAGCAGAAAGCACAAATCTGCCAAGAATTGACGCATTGATGGTTGGTGAATTTTTTGCACTAAACTCCGATTTCTGCTCTGCGGAGCAGAGAAACGACAAGGCATCTATGTAAGTACAGTGCATTTAGTATTACAATGTAGTAATAAACATAAAACTGATACAACATATGAATAAGTGTAATAAAGTTGCGTAGGTTAATTTCTTTCGGCACTTTAATCCATAACATTCCTGGAGTCTTCAAGGATGTGTTTTTATATTCTCGTACAATACAATAATGATAATTACTTTATTTTTCGTGGTATTTATTAGAAATCGTGTTCTTTTTATTATAAACTCAGATAAGTTATTTTCTACGTGCTTACGAGTTTTTGTTTACTATAATTGACATCAAAGCATAGTAGACAATCTATAGACTAAAATGGCCGACAGCGTTTTTGTATGTCCATGAAAATTCTATTTTAAAATTAAAGATTTGTAGTTTTCTAGGTCTCAAAAAAATACAATACATTTTTTTTCGGTCTAATAGAACATTTATTCACCATTTAAAACCTTTTTCCAAAAAGGGTCAACTAGCCTATTACATATATATTTTATTAGTAGTCCCGACTGACGTGGTCCTACTCGATAGGAGTATAAAAAAAACTCAAGATAGAAAGTAGTTTTCTCAAAATTTCTAATATTAAGTGGAATTTTTTAAAATGTTGTCTTTAGTAAGAACATTTTGCAAAGTATTAGAAAACTTCAAAAAAAGATAGATAAAAGACGTTCTTAAAATATAGTTTTATCCAAAGAAAAAAGAGATTGATGTTTTTGAATAGAGAGATTATCAATGGTAGTGGCCAAATATACCCGTGAAACGCGACGTGACGTGAGCGTGTTGACCTAGTTAGTGTTATACGCGCTCGGTTCGGCTACAGAGCGACTTTGTCGCCGAGCCGTAGCACATTACGAGTAAGGTCACACATTGATCAGCTCTTGCCGCAGGGACAAATGGCCACCAGGGCGGGCAGGGCGGCGCGGCACACGTGCAGCGATCATTGGTCACACACTACGAGTGAGGGCGCGGACACTCACCGGGTCCTGCCGCAGGGGCAGGTGGCCACCAGGGCGGGCAGCAGCCGGCAGGCCGGGCAGGGCGGCGCGTGGCAGACGGCGCGGCACACGTGCTGCGACCACTGGCCACACACTACGAGTGAGGGCGCGGACACTCACCGGGTCCTGCCGCAGGGGCAGGTGGCCACCAGGGCGGGCAGGGCGGCGCGTGGCCGACGGCGCGGCACACGTGCTGCGACCACTGGCCACACACTACGAGTGAGGGCGCGGACACTCACCGGGTCCTGCCGCAGGGGCAGGTGGCCACCAGGGCGGGCAGGGCGGCGCGTGGCCGACGGCGCGGCACACGTGCTGCGACCACTGGCCACACACTACGAGTGAGGGCGCGGACACTCACCGGGTCCTGCCGCAGGGGCAGGTGGCCACCAGGGCGGGCAGCAGCCGGCAGGCCGGGCAGGGCGGCGCGTGGCCGACGGCGCGGCACACGTGCTGCGACCACTGGCCACACACTACGAGTGAGGGCGCGGACACTCACCGGGTCCTGCCGCAGGGGCAGGTGGCCACCAGGGCGGGCAGCAGCCGGCAGGGCGGCGCGTGGCCGACGGCGCGGCACACGTGCTGCGACCACTGGCCACACACTACGAGTGAGGGCGCGGACACTCACCGGGTCCTGCCGCAGGGGCAGGTGGCCACCAGGGCGGGCAGCAGCCTGCAGGCCGGGCAGGGCGGCGCGTGGCAGACGGCACGGCACACGTGCTGTCCGCACGCTAACACGCGCGAGCACGCCTCGCCGCACGACCACTGCGTAACGCCGCCCGTCTCGCGCGTGCAGGGTACCGAGCGACTCTGTGCCGCTGGGCAGTAGCAGACTATGGAACAATACCAACCAATAAGCTAACGTTCAGTATCCCAAGCACTCCCAACACAGATTCGTTTTCGTATCAAAGGTTTATACAGAAACTAAGTTGCAGCGCCCTAACCGTATGAACAAACTAGGTTTTTATTAACACACTTTTTTTAGGTCAACCTGTATGTAACTAACTTGGTAATGGAATCAAAGGTAACTAATTTAACCATCTTTCAAGGATCGTAGCGTAATGAAAATTGGCAGCTGTATGTAGTTCTGATGACATTACAATAATATGGTACTGTCGCACTGATCTGCTGATGGAGCCGAAAGATATGAACTGGAACTTCATGATGGAACATCGTATCATAGCATTTTTTCCATAGAAACTTAAACGTGACGATAAGAATACTTACTCGCTAGTTACATTTTAATTTTTAAGCTTTTAATTTTCTTTAGAATTTGTTTTTTCATGATGGGTGGTGTGCACACAGGTTTCCAATGTTTCGCCTACTCCAATTTCGAATTCCAGTGGGACAAATGGTTGTATGAGAATAAGCATTAAGCATTTAAATACAAGCATTACAAGAAAAAAGAGTTTAAGTTATTCTAGAAGGTTAGATTCTAACTAGGACATTTTGTAGCGAACATCAATTATTATATAGCCGATAAGATTTTTAGGCATAAAAATGAGTGGCTAAATAATTTAATAAATAAAAAAAAGTTGTCTCAATCGCATCATATCCCTATTGCCCATTCAATCACAGTTCATTATCCAAGTGTTTATATAATTATAAAATATTCACCTTGAGTTACAGTTTCGCCACAATCGTCGCATGCTCCATCGTGGCACTCCTTTTGGCAGGTGTGTACGCCGCAGTCCAGTAATCGGTTGCATACGCGACCGCACACTTGCGACAGCTTGCTGCTGCACATCACTGAGCGGGCTTCGGCGCCACAGCCACAATGCCTGACAGGAAATGAGTAGAGCGATTCAAACATGATCGATGTGATGTTAGCGCAAGTAGCGTAGCTCAGTAAACAAACTGTCGATGTAGGTGCGCGCAGAAAGTCAGTGAATTAAAAACTGCGCATCATAGAATATTAATAATTTACATAGAAGGAATGCTAAAATAAAAATTGTGTGGCTAGTTTGGTGCTGTTCTAAGTAAAGTGCACTCAAATGCTTAAATGAAAAAAAGTAGTTTGTTTCAAATGTTGACTGTTGTAAATAGTAAAATACGATTAAAGTTCTATTTTAATTTAAATACAAAAACATTATTGTCCGTCTTTCGAAACGACGAAAGAAAAGTGAAATGACATTCTCTTTTCGACATATTATCGGGCTTATTCAACGATATTAAATACCTTAGACCACGAGCGTTCAAAATGTGTCCCAATCAAGAAGTGCTTGAACTCCACGCAAGCACTTCTTGGTTCACGGTCATGCGCGGACCGTTAAAAAGTCAAGATGCCACAGAGCTCCGCGAAAAAATGCGAAAATAATACTTAGAGTACGAAAAGTGTCGTTTTTTCGACAGGTATCTGGCAAATGTTTATTAATTTAACGCATTTGAAGTAAATTTTGATCTAATACTTATAAACTGATTTAATATAAAATATTTGTGATATTCAACAGCGAGTTCAGAATTGCGCGTAGAGTCAAAGAACTAAGGTCTAAATTCTTCCGCATATAGCAATAAGTCGTAAAATTTTACGAGCTTGCATTTCGAACTGTTGAAGTCCTTGACGCATGTATTTTATTTAAGACTTTATACAGTATGTATTAAAGGTTACTTTCAATATTTAAATAATGCCTTATATTGATTTTGACTACGCGATCATCTTACGGAGCTCCGTGGATCGTTCAATGTACCTTTTGGACAGGTTTCGGGCACGATCTTGTTCGTGTTGGTGTATCTAGGGTATTTAATACGTTGGGCTTATTGCTTAAAGTAGAAGAATTAGGAATTTAGTACACAGACTCAATATGAAATAGGCATACTTGGTAATGGTAGCCTGGCAGGGCGGGCAAGGCCCCGGGTGGCACAACAGCGTACAGGGATGCGGACAGGTGCGCGAGCGCCGACACGACTTGCCGCAAGTGTGAGCACCAGCATTCCCACGCTGATACTCAGGCGAACGAACATTGCCACACATGCAGCGGTACTCCATGGGGATCTCTTCACTAGTGTTTTGACAGGCTGGGCAGCGCCATTTGCCCTCTGTTAAAAACGCACAGATTTGAATTTTAGAAATAACTATAAAACTTTGTAGAAACATCATAACTCCACATAGTGTGTATAAACCATGCTAAGGAATCGAGAATGTCTGCAGTAAAGTAGGGCATATTGTAATGAAATTTATCTCATTCAATCAATCACTTTTCATATAATGAGGTGTGGTTAAAAAAACTGTTTGTTTTTACTTATTGTTTTGACAATAAGTGAAATCTTTCGAAAGTTATGTGCATACATTATAGAGAAAGATCCCAAGACTGCCAGACCTTACTTATTTTCTCATGGACAAAATTTGGATAATTGATTAGTATTAGTGTGTACAATTAATGTATACATACTCCCTAACTTGTCCTGTGGGCCAATTTTCAGGTATCAGGTGGCACAGGCATGTAAAAAATTTACTCACTTTACTTAAAGTCTGGGGACTGATTCTTATGTATGTTGTGTACCTTACATATGTGTAGAGAATATTGTTAACTATTTGAAATTAATACTGCTAGATACATTCTGTTTGCAGTATTTATTGCCTTTAAATGTCAATAGCCTGATATTTATCTATGATATTTAGGGGGCTATTATTATATTTTGTAAGCTGCCAGACTTCTAGAATCTTAGTTTCTAAAAATGTCTTAAGCCTATTTAATTTGGCACTGTGAGAAATAATGAAAAGGAAGCCTTTTTATAATAATTAAATAATTTATTAATTACCAAAATTATTGCGAAATATATTCAAGTTTATGTTTTTTTGCTAACAAAATTAAAAGTGTCTGGCAATAAAATTGGTGACATATTGTGTCTGGCATGATTGAATTTCAAATTGTTTACAATATTGTATATAACATATGCAGGAATCAGTCCCCTGACTAAGTTAGGTGGGTAAAATTTTTACGTGCCTGTGCCACCTGATACCTGGAAATTGGCCAACAGCACAAGTTAGTGAGTATGTACATTGTACACACTAATACTATTCGATTATCTATATTTTGACTACAAGAAAATAAGTAAGATCTTTAATCGCGGCACGTTCGCTACTCTAGTTCGGTTCGCGCGTCATGGTCACAATATTAACCTAATCGTGAACCTAAGAATATTTATAGTAAGCCCATGATTCCTATCGCAACCTTACCGAGGCGACTTGCGTTTTTGGAAAAAATCTAACTTTTTTAGTAAAATTGAGAAATGTCATCACCATTAGTGTTGATTCTCTAATTCTAAACTTAAATTTGACAAAAGTGTATCCATATTTTTCTGTACAGATTGAAAAGGAGAGATAGTTGTTAAATTTAGTTTAAAGTTTAGATAATCATGCCAGAATAGAGTTCAATTTTTAATTATTCGTTTATGCAAAATCACTAAGACATCTGCGAAAATTTGATTTATCAAATTATCCTAGGTCCCATACATTTCGGCAATTCCTTTTTATTTATATTAATAAAAAGATTGAGATGTCTTTTTACGAATATAGGTATTTTACATGCAACTACAATTTTCTTCTTTTTTACATTAGATATAGATAATAAATAACAAAACTAAATTTGATAATAACAACAACTAATGTTTTATAATTTAAATTATTTAAGCATGTAACTGCTGGATGTTTAAATCTAAAGAAAATATTATTAGAAAAAAATCCACGCAGACCAGGCAGCAGACGGGACTCGAACGCGCACCCTTCTAGTAATATTTTCTTTAGAATTAATTTATTATTTATGAATAACTATAAAATACATACCAACAACACTGCTCATGGCCCATTTTCTAATGCAACGTAAGTGCAATACATGATAACAGTTGCTACACGACCATACAGGGTCAATCTGCTTAACACGCTCGCAGCAAACCAAGCATTCCAGGGTCCCTTTATCTAACTGTTCACTTAGTCTCTCTCGTTGTGTCATTTCTGTGTGCACTAAAGATTAAAAATAAAATAAATATAATTATCATTAAAATCTTAATACTTTTTATCAATAATTATATGCATTAATAATAAATGTAAGTTACAGTAAAATTGACAATAAAATAATATACATTCTACCTATATCAAACGGTAAATTGCGGGTAAAACTTTAATAATGCATACCATTTTCAGGGTGTTTTCCTCTTTGTTTCGGACTGGACATTTTATCTTGTTTGGTTATTTTATCATCTTTATGAACTAAATAGCTACTTGCATACTGCTCATCCTCAACAGTATCTCGTTCAGTAGCCCTTACTCTCTGGCTTCCTGCCCAGTTTCTGTTCCTATTGGAGTTTTCTCCCCTGCCATTCCTGTAGTCATAGCTGTTTTTGTCTACTGTACTATTATAAAAAGTCCTAGCATCTCCATCTTTGTTTTTCGACTTAGTTTTGGATTGATTCCTATTATTTCGACTACCATTTTCATAGTTACTAGATTCTTGATAGCGAATTTTAGAGTCTCTTTTTCTATTGTTACTATCGCTATTCCTATAACTATCATGGGAGCGACTATTATTTTCATTTTTATAACTCGGCTCCCCATTTTGTTGTTGTGAGGTTTGAGGTCTTTCTCTCCAATTACTGTCTGATGCATTGCCTCTGTTCTTTTGTGTTCTCTGTTCAGATACACTATTACTTGCCGCATTATCAGAATTGGAAGCTTCTGGTATATTATGTCTGCTAGTAGATGGCTTGCTTCCAGAGCCTTTTGGCACAAATTCACTGGCAGTTGGGGTTAAGTTTGATTTAAGAATTAGGTCATTTGTATATAGATTTGACTGACGGGAATCTTGCATTTTACTATCAAATTGATTATTAGAGAATGACTGGGCACCATTTCTTGAATTGGATGGATTTGTTCCATAATAGCCATCTGTTTGTGCATTCTGTGAGTTTGTTGGTATATTTTGGTAATCATATTGACTGTAATTTTGGTATTGTGCACTATTGTAGTTGTTAGAGCTAGTAGATGGAGCTCCATTACCCTGCATTTGATTTAAGAACTCATTAAAGCTCACATATTGTTGACTGGTGGGTTCATATTGTTGGTTGGGGTAATAGGCTTGGTTTACGTACTGACTGTTCAGGTCTCCGTTCCACCCATCAGTACCCTGATACTGGTTGTCGTATACGTATGAATTGTTCCATTGAGACATATTAAGATATCGTTGTGAAACACGGCCCCTATAAAAAATCTTGAAGTTCTTGTTTTTTTAAAATGTGAAGCCCGTAGGCCAAGGCCGGAGGCCGATGCGATTTGGTGGAAACGCCCCTGTTTTAAAAATTCAAGTAGATTTAATATAAATCAATTTAGTAAAAAGGTGATGGTTGACATGTTTTTTATGTAGAAAGTGTAGTAGGTAGTACTTACCCCTTACGGTAGGATTTTGTGATTGATTTTCTTTAGAAATAATAAATGGAAAAACAAACTAAAATAATCTAACAAAACAACAAGAAATTGGTTAAAATTGATTCACAGCGAATCACTTTTTGAAGGGATAAGTACCTACGTCTACAAATATTTTTTTTAATTTTAATCTATGGCTAGGCAGTATTGCCAAAACTAATTTGAAAAAACCTCTAAAGAATTTGTTATTTTGTATTTGTCGACAAAAAAATATCAAAATCAATTTAAAAATGACTTATATTGAAGTAATTTTTTAAATTGATTTTCTCGATCTCTTAAGTTTATTTAAATATGGAGCATAGTTTAACACGCGAATCAGATATAAATGAATTAATTTACGGTATAAAGCAACAGTACACCACGGAGTATAGGGTGCGCTGTTCATAATAAAAAGCAAGTCGACAGATTGGCATGAATTTTGCTTGCGGTTAAGTTGTTTTTGTATGGTTGACATGCTGGCGGATGTTAGAATAAAATTAATACATCACTCTTTAAGATCAAATTATTTCAAATATCATTTCTCCCGTTAAAGCCCGACCCTGCAATATGATTTTTAATTCGACGGAATACTTACATTCCAGAAGTGTTGCCAATAATAAAACATTTCTATAATCTTGGTAATCTTTGACAGTCTGAAGACAGTCTTCAGTGAAATTGAAAAATCTTTCTTGAATTTAAGATTTCAAATTAGACAAAGTAAGACTAAATATTGTCTGCTAATATAAAAAGGTAATTATGGAAGGTAATAAAGATTTTTTACTATCTACTACTATCACATTTATTTAATGAAGTTACAATAATTAGTAAGGAAATTATGTTCCTTCCACAGGTATCTTTGTTCACTATTCATAAGCTATAAAACAAGCCTTTTTTTAGGAAAACCTTGTTGTTAGCAAAATTTTCCCTTGTTGTGATTATTCGATAATGATGTCGATTCTGGCATGATTCTCTAAAGCTAAACTTAAATTTGACAACAGTGCATCCTTGTCCTTCTCTATACACAATGAAAAGGTGAGACTGACCTTAAATTTAGTTTTAAGTTCAGAGAATCACGCCAGAATTGACACCAATGCTAATGACTATGACGATGTTAGTGGTAATGCTACATCTATATATATATAACTCAAAGGTGACTGACTGACGCAGTGATCTATCAACGCACTGCCCTAACCACTGGACGGATCGGGCTGAAATTTGGCATACAGGTAGATGTTATGACGTAGGCATCCGCTAAGAAAGGATTTCAATCGATTCTACCCCCAAGGGGATAAAATAGGGAATGAAAGTTTGTATGAAACTTTGTCAATTTTAAACCGATCGGGCTGAGTCTTTGCATGCAGGTATAATAAGAATCATAGATGAATGTCATTGTGTATTATACAAACCTGAGAACAAAAACTGTAGTCTACACTTCAGCTCTATACCGAAGCGAAGCGAGGGCGGGCCGCTAGTCTATAAATATTTTTATTTATATTTTTCCCATGTAGTCATGTAAAAATATTTTTTTAATTAGTACATTTAATTCACAAAAGATACACTATTTACATTGTCATAGAGATTATTTGATCTCCTTCTCTTTCATTTGTATTATTTGTTGTTATATTATTATTAAAAAATAGTATACTTTCTTCATCAGGAAAAGACCAATATAAATAACTTATAAAAATACAGATAGAAAAGGTTTATGTTAAATAAATAAAATAAAATACAGTTGTAAAACTTCCGTCGAATTAAAAAGCAGACAACAGTGAAAGAGTGACGGTTCAGGGAGGGCGCCACTGTCTACGTGAATAACATACAAAATATGACGTTTACATAGACGGCGGCGTTAGTTACAATTTACGCCACATTCATAAAGGTCCTTGTCGCACTCAATAGGCTAGTTGACTCATGTCAAATTGCACTATACAAATGTTTATTCCTTATAATTTTTGGTATGAGGAACCTAAATACATCGATTTCACTTAATAAAATTAGAAGATGGTTGTCTGTGCTTTTTTAGCACTAAAAAAACTTTTCAGCTCCGACGCACGACTGGAGTTTACTCCTTAAGTTCGATAGTCTAACCAGAAGCAAAAAGAGTTTATTTAACTTAAAAAAGATTGATAGTGTATGAAAGGGTAAATTAACAAATTAATGAAAATAATATACATATAAACTAATCGACGAAATATTTTACATTAAACTTTTTACAATAGTCAATTTCAGATGTGCATAAATATATCATTAGGAATGTTGATAAATTATGTAATTATTATTATCAGACTATTATCATTTTTTAAAATATTAATTAAATCAACATTGTCTGCATTATTAAATACAGTGACAAGTGGTTTATGGTAACTAAAATAAGACACACGGACGTTCGTAGATACGTGGTTCACGAATCTTGAAAATACCGCATCAATGGTTGTACCATACCTCGTTGTCCCCATTGCTCTATCAGAAACAATATCTAATTCAGTTCAGATTTTAAAAAAAATATTAATGTCAATCCGTCATCTTTGTTACACTACACTCTATTTACAGATGCTTCAAAATTAAAAGAAAATGGAAAGGTTGGGATAGCAGTCTGGTTCCCAAAATACAGAATCATCTTAAATTATAAATGCTCCTCCCTAATATCTGTCAACTCTGGAGAAGCCTTGGCTATATTAGAAGCCATTAGATACATTTATTCCCATCAGCTAAACAAATGTATAATCTTTTCAGACTGCCTCAGTTGTCTGCAGGACATAGCTAAGCCTCCATTCCACTCCAAACAAAATTTTAGTGTCATCCTTAAGATTAGGGAAGGCCTTATGAACTGCTACAAGATTAATCTAAAAGTCATCTTAGCCTGGATACCAGGCCACAGGGGCATTGAAGACAACGAAACAGCTGATGTATGTGCAAAAAACGCTATATCAGTTGACCTGGATCTACAAAATCAATGTTATTCCCGCAATATCCGACATATGGCTAAATCAATGTTGCTAGAAAGATGGAATGAAATGTACCAAAAATCTTACCAAACAAAGGGTAAACACTATGGCAGCTTACAACCTGACATCCCATCAAAACCTTGGTTCTTCCGCCACAAACATATACCCAAATCTGTGATATCTACCATCATTCGCATGAGACTGGGCCATATATGTACTCCAGTTTTTCTGGCAAAAATCAAAGTACGCGATCATTCACTCTGTGAGTGTGGGTTAGATGAAGGGACCCTTGAGCACATATTTTTTCACTGCCCTAAAATTTCTGTTCCCCTGTATAATTTATTATCAAAAAAGGCAAGCCGCCCCATTAATATTAATTATATGCTAACCCAAGTACAATCCCCCTTTTATATACTGAGCAAGTTCCTGAAACAAAATAATATAAAACTTTAATTGTAGTAACACAAAAAAAATCCCTCCTTTTACCCTAGTATACTATATCAATACATATATTTATCTGTTTATCCATATTAAATGCATGGGTGCCTGGTATCACAAATGTTTGTCTATGTGTTGTTACAGATACTCAACGAGTCTGCAGTCGTCATACTGCACAACATCAACAAAACCGTACAGGCTCAGCATATACCTTGTCTCCTTTAACCCAGACATTGGCAGAATCGTCACGTAATGAGACGCAGCCATAATCACCAAAAATTGAATTGAATTAGCCAATGGCCGTTCCAAATCTTGAAGTGACAGTTGATTGGACTTGATTTTACAGATGGTTATCGCAACTTGGTCGTTACCATGGTAGAGCCGCCACCGGACACAGCAACTACGGTTACGGTCACAGAGTACCTTATTATAAGGGTGTAAATTCTGCTATGTCATAATCATGTTGCTATGTCGTTTTTTTCAAATTTCACGGATTTGATTCCCAGTTCTAGCAGGCGATTTAAAAAAAAACTATGAATGCAGATCTAGTTATTATTAAAAATAAAATGATGTCTTCTTTCAGTAAAATATCCTATCTTCAATATTTAATATACTTTCCCTCCGTGTGACAAACCTGTCGGACGCCCTGATGTGAAAATTTTCATGTTTGTTACTCGATAACGCAAAAACTACTGGACGGATTTGGATAAAAGCTACGCATATAGTGTATGACCAGGATTTAGACATATGATACTTTTTATTCCGGAAAAATTATAGGTTTCTGTGGGATTCCCAAAATCTAAAGTTAACGCGAACAAACTGGCGGGCGTCCTTTTGCTTCCTGCAAATCGAATGTAATTCCAATCTCAAATGATTTAAGACCACTACAATTGTTAAGCTTCATCTACCTACAATTCATTTCCCCATCTAAGGTTTGCACTCGGGGCCGAAAACTTCCGCCTTCGTAAGGTTGTAACGAAAACAAAGATCGAAACCTTAATAGCGCGAGGCTAAACTCGAGTTCGGCCAGTTTTTATTGTTATCTATATTCAATTACTATTTATTTTTTTACTATTAGTAACAAGAATCGTGGCCAAAAGCACTATTGAACCACTATTAACTAACTTACACACGATTTTTGAATCGACACCCAGGCAGGAGTAGCATCCGGCGACTGGGTCCCCGCTACAGGACAGCAATTGCGGACAAAAATTGTCTACGTTTGTGCAGCGCCTAATTGTGTCTATCATAGTTCTTTTGATACTCATATAATTACTACTGAGTAAGAGGAATTTCCGCGGAAATAGTTTGGACGCATCCTGAGCTGTGCATTGTTAACTTCCCCCCACCTCTCCGCCCTCGCCAGTTGTAAGCGATGGCTGGTCTGGACTGGACTGCTATATATATATATATATATGGTGCTGGCACCATATATATATATATAGCATCATCCATCATGCTCGTGAACGGGTGCTGCCAGCGGAGATGAGTCTGCTCTATACTATTAAAATGTTGTCTAGTTATACTTAATATAAATAACACATAATTAATAATAATAATTAGTAGATTATTAACCAAGAGGATAAAGCAGTGTCTTCTGGTGCGGGTGACGATTTAAATCGCGAGCGTAACGAAGGACTCGAGGTTTACTCCCGAGCGTAGCGAGGGTGTTAAAAACTTAAATCACGAGCGAAGCGACGGATTTAAGACGAGTCCTGAGTGTAGCGAGGGATTTAAGTTCACCCAAGACTAAGACAGCTTTATCACCGAAGAAAATACTCTACTGTTCGTACCATTTGCGAAAAATTAACACAATAATAATATGAGATAAGCATTTATTAAAAATAATGACAATTAAAAGTAAAAGTTAACATTCGAAACATCAGTCCAATTAAATACGTCCTCGTCGGTTTTCGTAATTTTATTTAATAATCATAACTGCACAATATATGTGTATTCCTTTTTCAAAAAGATGTATAATGCTTTATATACAAACTCAATGGTGTAAACACAGATGTAGTTCAGTAAAAATTAAAAGTAAAAGTTAACATTCGAAACATCAGTCCAATTAAATACGTCCTCGTCGGTTTTCGTAATTTTATTTAATAATCATAACTGCACAATATAATAATATGTGTATTCCATTTTCAAAAAGATGTATAATGCTTTATATACAAACTCAATGGTGTAAACACAGATGTAGTTCAGTATAAATTTCGGTAAGTATTCCAAATTTAAATCACATTCTCCCCCTAGAGTATGAATGAAATTCAGTACAATTTTCTTTCCCTGTTTTTAACAGATTAAAAATGACTATTGTTATGTTCGCTTTTTGTGGCATAGAATGTCACTTTTTTGAGCAAGTGGTACGAAAAATATATTTATTTAGGTTCGAGTAGGTTCGAGTCCCGTCTGCTGCCTGGTCCGCGTGGAATTTTTTCTAGTTATAATTTCTTTAGATTTAAACATGAAGCAGTGACATGCTTTAAAAAAAATGGATGCGTGTAACTTATGTACGCGCGTGAGAAGTTATACTTCTTTAGCATCATTAAAATATTTTTTAATTGCATGCAAATAATTAATAATTACAATAAAATAATAAGAGGACTGGAAAAGGATAGTTAACACAGTCAATTAAGTTCAGTTTTAATTTGAAAAATTAAATAAATATTCAAAATATTCAATTAAAATCACTACTGAATTTAAGTTATTAGTCCATATGTAACTAGCACTTGTAAGTAACTAAAACACGTTGTGTTCTTGACCTTCACAAGTGCTTGTAACAGCCTAGACTGAATAAATGTAATTTCATTTCATTTCATTTCGTTTCGTTTCGTTTCGTTTCGTTTCGTTTCGTTTCGTTTCGTTTCGTTTCGTTTCGTTTCGTTTCGTATCGTTTCGTTTCGTTTCGTTTCGTTTCGTTTCGTTTCGTTTCGTTTCGTTTCGTTTCGTTTCGTTTCGTTTCGTTTCGTTTCATTTCATTTCATTTCAATGTCCCGTTCAAATCTGTCCTGTTTGCCTTGTTCAAATCTGCCCCACGGTCACTTGGAAAATAAAATATTACAAATAACGCGCCCGCGGCTAACTTCATTATGTTAAAATTTTGTGTTACAGTGATGAAAATTTCACTCTCATAATTTTTTCATAACGCGGCTAAAGAAGTATAACTTCAAAAAAAATATTTATAAATATATTTATTTCAAATTTGATACTTATAGGTAGTATATAAGTAACATCGGTAAAGCGATTCCCTGACCCTGAAATTGAAGGTGACTTCATGAATCATCTCATACGAAAGTAATTTTTTAAGTTGATGACTGTACGTAAAAATAATACAGGGAGCATAAAATTGTTTAACATCCTACAACACTGACGAAAGGCTTTAACTAGGTAACGGTATTCATCTCAAATCCTATTATAAACAAATAAAACAAAACGTGATTTTTCGTGATTGATGAACAGACGCATTCGACTGTTGTGATTGTGACTCAACATATAGTGCCCAATGATCACGTTGGCTTACTTCAGCAGATTTCAGCGCATGTTTGCTATACAATTGAATCGTTACACGACGGCGGACAGTGGGGATGAAAACAATTAATAAACAATTTCAAACAAAATTGTCTACATGTACAGTTAAGTAAGGATTAATATAAATATGTGGTGTTTGTTAAATGTGTGATGAACTCGTTAGTGCAGTGTTTATGTGTTCTTTTAATGTAAAAAGAATTCTCATGTAAGCTTCGCCGCGGCCCACATTTACACGTTCGTCCATCAGTGCCTCTTTTTCTGGCCGCTTAGTAGTATAACAGTAGTAAGGTCCATTCTGCTTTATTTTTAAAATAAGAATAATGCACTTTCCGCGCAGGTATAGTATAAAACTATGTATAACTATTTCACTATATTTTGAAAGTTGAGGTTACTCTACTAAACGGTTTTTTGTATTTGAATTTTTCGTTTCATTTTGGTCGGGGTTAGTAAGTTCCACCTTACAGAAGATCACCCTGCACTAACACTATCTTGGTGGTGTTATTTCAGTTGATGAGAAACTTTGTAATGCACGGAGTATAAGATATTATGAGTTGAAGCCGGCAAGGTGAGCTGAGCAGCGCATTTTCCTGCCGCACCAGTAACATTCAATTACCTTGCCCCAATGATATTTTTTAATATACGTCATTGATTTAGCCATTCAGTATCATTAATTTCTGCGCGTTCACATGATTTTCTGTGCGTTTGCGCAACTTTAGTGAAGGGCAACTTGCACATTTGTCTGCTATTTAAAATCAACTGAACTATTTTTTTAAGTTACTGAAGGTGTCGATTCTGACATGATTCTCTAAATCTAAACTTATATTTAACAACAGTGGATTATTGTCATTCTCTATAAGTACAGAATGAAAAGAGCTGATTTTAAATTCAGTTTTGAGATTAGAGAATCATGCCAGAATAGAAATCTAGTTAATCAGAGATACCCAATATACACATATTTAATGTCATTTAAAGTGATAGGTACGCGGGTAGGACCAAATGTTCGTGGAACGGAGGGTACTAAGGTTGAATAAATTAAACATGAAATTACTTTTCGTTTTTAATATTTTCTCTCTGAAACTTAATAAATTTTCCAGATCTTTTAAATAACTTATATATAACTTCGAAAAAACAAAAATGTTTTGTGGAGTCCCTGAAAACAGGCAGAAATTGTAGGACTTCACTTGTTCGTCCTTCGTAAAATTTTACGTTGAAGTTCTCTCCTCAGTTTTGGAAACATATAATATTCAAAAAGAGTTACATTCAGACAGACAGAAGAGGGTGGTAAAATGTTTCGAAGCCTCCGTTATTTGGGGCAGCCATAGCAACATGACTCGTTTCGACGGGTGCATTGTTGTGCAAGATGAGCACACCTCGAGTCCATTCTTTCGAGTTCATTCTTCCTTTTTATAGGATTACGTCTTTTATTTTTTATAGCAGTGTAGCTTAGTATTCTCCCATTCTATCGACACCCTTTTCTTTATAATCAACTAATAAAATTCACTCTGAATCCCAAAAAATCGTGGCAACAATCTTCCCAGCCGATTGTGCCATCTTAAACTTCTTAGGCAGTGTTGCTCTATTTTATGCCACTGCAAAGAGTCTTTTTGGACTCAGGTTCATAGTGATGAATCCATGTTTCCTTCTTCAGTAACAATCCGGTTTATAAATTTATATCTTGTCTTGCTGCACAGGTTCAGAAAGAAGACAGAGACAACATTAGGTTTAAACCAAGATTAACAGCTGTAGTCCGTGTTTTAGAATCAGGGGGAGATGATAGTTTAACAGTGATATTAATAAGATCGATTTTGCCAATAAAATCTGTATACCTTTCGTTCGTTAAGTATTTAAACCTCCGTTCGTTAAAGACAACCTCCGTGGCCGAGTGGTTTGTACGCCGGGTTTTATGGTGTCGCCGACTCGAGAGGTTCGAATGCCGGTGGGGGGCAGATGTTTGTGTGATGACTGCAGTACAAATCCAGTCATGGATGTTTAATATGTATTTCTATATAAATTTAAGTACAGTATATATATTCTATTCGTTACCCTAGTATCCTATAACACAAGCCTTACAGTGCTTACTTTGGGGCTAGGCTAATTGGTGCGAGTGTTGCAAATATTTATTTATTTATTTAAACGGTCAGAAATAACCAAAAAAGCATTTATCATACACCAAATTTAATTAAGTTAATACTAACGTTGTTTTATTGTATGATCAGAATGCACCTAAAAGAAGGTTACTTCTCTAGATTTAGGTTTAGATGGTCTCGCGTCGACGGGCGTACTTTCCTTATGCGTCTATAGTTTCTAAATCATTACTATTACATAGGACCGTTTTTAGATGATCGCGCGTAAAATAACTGTAACAACAGAACTTGTTACACGTGTAATTGTGATTTGAAAGAAATCATAAAACTCTTTAATCTTTCACATACTCGTTTCTTAAATACCTACCAATTTTTTCACATTACGCAATCTTAAATATCACATAAATAATATAGATTTTTTTGACAGAAAAAGGTAAGTACTTGGCTCCAGCTGAAATCTGTGTTTTGCTCTTCGAGCATCGCTGTCCTTAAATTTCCAATTATTTAAAGTGGTTTATTGTTTATTTTTATTTTTTGTAACTAAGTGCCGATCGAACAAATCACTCCTTAACTATACCTATCGATATGTATCGAAAGGTTGATGATGTTTTTATTTGTTCACAGATAGACCTCACCTTCGTCGCCTATGAGTAACGAGAAGGAATCCAGGATGAGCCAGTTACAATTCTCACCACCATTCGACAAACTACAGAGTACGGTAAGGATATATGGCCAAAATACACTGAACTGCTAAGAAAACGGCTCACTAATACCTTGGAATTCTGATTTGATTTTTATTAAAAAGTATAAAACTTACAACTATCAAAGTTATACTTTGTGCGTTATTTTATAGAAAACGAAATAAATAGGTATAATACCTGTTGAGTTCAATTAAAAAAACCCACATCTAACCGTATAACTTAAATAACCTGATGAAATAATAATTGCATGATTGCGGTGGTATGACATAATAATATTCAACGTGACTGCTCCTCTACTGTTTTCTTATTAATTTTTTAATTATACGTGTGTATTGTTTAAAGATCTTTTTTTTTTTACCAGATACACTTCCACTTGGATCAGGTATCAGGTTGAATCCATATGTGTAGTTAGAACGGATGATTCTTGGTAAACTCCAACAAAATTCGGATTCTTAGGGGCCGTCCATTAATCACGTGATGTTTTTTTGGTATTTTTTAACTTCCTCTACCCCCCCCCCCCCCCATCTCTTATAATAAAAAAAAAATAAGATATATACAAAAATCTTATTTTTTTTTTAATTTATAAGTATCATCTAAGTTTATTATGGAAAATTAAAGACTACAATAATAACGTTTAGTGGTAGACAGAAAGGTTGCAGGTTGTTTTTTGGCTGACATAAATATAGTAAAAGAAACCGAAAAAAAGTTTTTTGTACTTATACATGAACATTCTTTAATGTATAGTATCCCCCCCCCCCCCCCCCTTGTGATATTTCGTGATTTTTTATGGACCCCTTTCGAGCCGCACGTGATCAATGGACAACCCCTTACAGTCTTACGACGAAAAAGTTAGACACGGTTTCAAACTTTGTTTAGGCTAATTTTGTATGTCATTTTTTCTTAAGCTCGTGTTTGAACGCATTTCTGACTTTTCCGTGGTAATAAGGTTAACGTTTAGTAAACAAGCTCAAATCTAGGACACAATATTACTCACAGCCGTCCGTCATGATTATAATGCGAAATGTAAGACGAAAATATAATCTTATGAATGTTACAAAATGGTAAAATTTGTCCCCTTTATGAAATAGAAAGAAATTAGGCGGTTTTTGAGGGAAATAATAATAAAAACCAAAAAGTCGGTTATTTTGCTTTTTCGCAGATATCTTTAGGTTATGTAAAAAAAGTGTAAATACAAAAGTTGTAGATCTCTTTATGTATGAAAATCATTTCTTTAGTGATAAATATTAAAGCGAAAACAGACGAGAATGTTTGTTCAAAAAAAAAAAATTATTGCCTCCCCTCGTCTTCGTGTTTATTGCCTTCAATAAATAAGGCTTTTCTCGTTTCGCAGGCGTGGAAAAAGCGACAGCAGGCGGTGTGTTTGAGCCACGCGTTCAAACACTACGGCTCCAAGAAACGGTCCAACCATGTTCTCGTAAATTTGAACATGACTGTTTCCAAAGGCATGATGTGAGTATAAAGATATCGCCAAAGTTTTTGAACAAAACCACAGAAATAAATTAGCGTAGGAGCCGTTTTTTGTATTTAAAATTGCTACTGCGCAGGCTTCCTTGTCTATGGTCGATGCTCAAGAAATTTTTATTATTTTTATCTAGCGACTGCAAAGTACAGTCGTTGTGCGACCCTATAAAAATATAAAAAGAATAACCAAAAACCGACAAAAAGACCATATAATTTAAATCTAAAGAAAATATAACTAGAAAAAATTCCACGCGGACCAGGCAGCAGACGGGACTCGAACCCGCACCCTTCGCAATCCGGGCGAATGCACTGACCAATTATGCTACCGCGGCCCTCACGGACCGCGTCGAAATTCTTTCTAGCTATTCTTAAGCTGCAAGGCAGCGCCATCTCTTCGCATTATAGGTAAACCCACAATGTCAAATGAATACTTTTACAAGTATTAAACATTTGAAAGAATGTGAGGGCCGCGGTAGCATAATTGGTCAGTGCATTCGCCCGGATTGCGAAGGGTGCGGGTTCGAGTCCCGTCTGCTGCCTGGTCCGCGTGGAATTTTTTCTAGTTATATTTTCTTTAGATTTAAACATCAAGCAGTTACATGCTTTAAAAATAATAAAAATTATAACTATAATTGCTATTACTTCTTTCAAATGTTTAATACTTGTAAAAGTATTCATTTGACATTGTGGGTTTACCTATAATGCGAAGAGATGGCGCTGCCTTGCAGCTTAAGAATAGCTAGAAAGAATTTCGACGCGGTCCGTGAGGGCCGCGGTAGCATAATTGGTCAGTGCATTCGCCCGGATTGCGAAGGGTGCGGGTTCGAGTCCCGTCTGCTGCCTGGTCCGCGTGGAATTTTTTCTAGTTATATTTTCTTTAGATTTAAACATCAAGCAGTTACATGCTTTAAAAATAATAAAAATTATAACTATAATTGCTATTACTTCTTTCAAATGTTTAATACTTGTAAAAGTATTCATTTGACATTGTGGGTTTACCTATAATGCGAAGAGATGGCGCTGCCTTGCAGCTTAAGAATAGCTAGAAAGAATTTCGACGCGGTCCGTGAGGGCCGCGGTAGCATAATTGGTCAGTGCATTCGCCCGGATTGCGAAGGGTGCGGGTTCGAGTCCCGTCTGCTGCCTGGTCCGCGTGGAATATTTTCTAGTTATATTTTCTTTAGATTTAAACATCAAGCAGTTACATGCTTTAAAAATAATAAAAATTATAACCATATAATTTTGTTATTAGTTTAGTACCTTTGGGATTCTGAAAGTATTTTCCGTTGAGCTTGACTCCGTTTGTATTTGGAATCATTAGCCTTTGACGCTTGGTAGGTCTGTTCTCCCTATCACGTACAAGCTGTCGGTGTTTACGTAAAAACTATTATCTTGTCTGTGACTGCAGAAGCACGGTAATATTATCTATATATTATTACCGTGGCAGAAGGTTCTCTAGCTCATTTACAGTGTGACCAAGATATTGAGATATGGCACGTGGCCGAAATCGGAACGTAAACGTAATTTTAGGAAGTCATAAATAAGCTTTTTTTTTATTTTCTATTACTCTTTCCGAGATATTTCAAAAACAAATGTATTTTATGATAACCGTCGAAAGAGTTAATCGTGACGATATTTTTTTCCTACATAATATAGTATTCTAAATGAAGGAAAAATCACGAAATTTTACTTTTTTTTAACACAAACTACAACACGTCATGCTTTTTATTTTTTAAGCATTTAACTGCTAGATGTTTGCCTCTGCTACCTGGTCGGGATTTTGATTTTTTTGTTTTTTTCAAATTTCACGAGTTTGAGTCCCAGTTGTAGTAGGCGATTTAAAAAAAACTGAATGCAGTTCTAGTTATTATTAAAAATAAAATGATTTCTTCTTTCAGTAAAATATCCTATCTTCAATATTTATATAATTTCCCTCCGTGTGACAAGCCCGTGGGACAACCTATAAGGAAGCGGCTTTAGATACCACATTATTGTTATGAAAATTTTCTAACCCTAATATTACAAGAAACATTATGTTACAACAGCAGTGGGGATATTAAGAGACTGATGACGATAATGTGACAGAGGAGCTCAATGGCGCAAGAGGTTAGCGCGTTCCGCCGTGGCCACGTAGACGGGCTAGGCTAAGCGCAGGTGCGGGTGACTTCTGCGGGTGCGGGAGACATGCCACCCACATACATTCAGTAGCGGCTACAGCGGCTGACTAAAGTGGACGTATTGAGGCTGGCTCTAACTAAAGTGATGTGTAGTTGCCTTGACAGCAGTTCGTATTTTATGGCGAATACTATACTATACTATACTATACTATACTATACTTGTACCTACTTATTAGTAATTACGTATTATCTAATAAAACTTATTGTCCTGATCTTATTTATTTAATTACATAGACTTTTAATTACATTTTTATACTTGTGTTATGGATGCTTAGACATCCATATAGATGGTCGGTTTAATATTTGTGTAAAAATGCTTCGGTGTCCATAATAAAACGCTGCCGCTCGTGGATTCGTCCAAAAAATTTTGTTTGACTCGATCCGTCCCACGCTAGCCGTTTTCAACCGCCCGAAAAACCGCTGTGCACCGTGGCCATGCGCAAACTAGCCCATAGCTTTGTTTCCACCCGCCCGGCTGGCCCGCTACCGCTGTCCCGAACCGCCGCCGCCAGCCGCAGCCGCTCTAGCCCGCCGCGCGTGAGTCGTGGCATACTTCATACATTCTCATACATTTGTTTAACAAGCCAACCGCTGCCGCCACCCGCAACCGCTCCTAGTCCGTCTCCGTGGCCAAGCACTTCGGCTGCGATTGTTAAAGTTTGTTTAATTCTTTAACTTTCGCAGTGGTCGGTCATTAGATGGGTGGCCAAAAATTTGATTTTACTATCTCGATCTCGTCAACTCGTTAATCCAGGCTGCATACCCACAAATCCAAACTGTGTGAGCGTGGTGGGTAATGGCCCTATCTCCCTATTCCATGCACAGGGAAGGCCTGTGCCCTAGCAGTGTAGACATTAATAGATTGATGATGATAATTTGATTGTGATATAAATAATATTTGTTTTATTATCAACAGATACGGCCTGCTTGGAGCTTCTGGCTGTGGGAAGACCACACTGCTGTCCTGCATTGTGGGGCGACGGTCACTCAACAGCGGCGAGATTTGGGTTCTAGGCGGTAAACCGGGGACTAAGGGTGAGAGAGCATGCTTCATAGTTACCAGTTATTACCTTCTAATTGCCTTCATGGCTATAAATGGACGCGGAAAAAAAATATAAGATACGCCAGTTGCCAATTTTACTGCAAGCTGTCAATATTGCCGAACAATGTCGTAGACTAATTACACTTATGGTAATATTTTTAGTTAGGTAGGCTGTGCTTGAGTCTTGTTTACAGTTAACTAGTGCTTGAGTTAGTGTAGCTGCACACTTATGCGGGCCGGCATTATCGGCACAGTCAAGCGGTAAAATCGAATATTATTTGATAGATAATTGTTCGGTACAACAAGTGCAGTAATAACGTCGTCGTGTCGGCTTTGTTGTTCAATAATACTATCAAACCGGCTATGCCAGGCCGCTTATGTGTGTAGCTACCCTTACCCATAATACCTTTCGCCCCAACAACGCCCTCGCGTTAGGGATGTCGAAAGTAGAAAAAAATATCGATATATCGATACATCCATATTTAAAAAAATATCAATATCGGCTTCGATATATCGATATATCGGACCAATTTTCCCAAAAATATATTTAGATCCGCCTAGCAGAGTAATAATAACAATACAAATTATAATTAAAGAAAGAATTATCAAAGTACCAAATTGCCGTTACACTACATGACAGTACAGTATCTCACGAAAGATGACACGTGGAATAATAATGGAACGAAATATATCTACCTAAAATAGACCCTATTTTCGAATGATGAAAATGATTGCAGGACCTCTCAGGTGCCATCTTTCGTAAACAAGACTAGACAGTCGCACATTTCCACAGAATATAATGGAATTCAGCACAACCAATTCACCAGCGAAACAGATTTACAAATCATGGACCGTACTAAATACAGCACAGATCATAGATAAGTTGAATATCTTTATCCATCTGAGATCCAGTTACAATTTTTCCAGATACGAATTAAGTTGGATCGTGATATGCCGCTAATATTTAAAAAAATATCGATTTTGATACGAATTTCGATATTGGTTATTTTGTATCGATGTATCGATATATCGAATCAAAATATATCGGCTAAAAATATCGATATATCGAACAAAAAATATCGATATATTTTCAACAAGCCTACCTCGCGCACAGATTGCTTTTGGAACGAAGTTTCTTTTCGGGCGGTATGGTGGCTAGGCGAACATTTACCGTCCCAACCTAGCGTAGCAGCTAGTTAGGAAGCTGGGTGGGTAGCTAAATGGGCAGCGAAGTGGGCTACCACTGACGGCGGTGGATGTGGACTTGGTTTTAAGTTTTGTTTGGTGAGTGATGGACCGAGAGCATCTGCACTGGGCCCATTTCGCACAGAGCCCTATCCGCACTGGGCTCATTTCGCACTGGACCCATTTGGCATTGGGACCATTCCGCACTGGGCTCATGACGTACTGGGCCATGACAGATTGGGTCCTGACGGCAATGGGCCTCGCATTGCCCGCTAGGCCCGTGGCATTACATTTTTGCCATCTGTTGTAAAAATATGACTAATTAAAGACACTCCCTTTTGGTAGTGTTGTTTTTCTGTCGGTGAGTAAGGTTCCAGGGCTCCACTAGGTAGGGGATGGGGTCAGGGTAGACAAAGGTGCGAGTGATATTTTATGTATCGTACGCGTCTATAGCCTATTGTTGCCGCTTACCATCAGGCGGGCCATATGCTTGTTTGCCATCCCTTTTAATAAAAAATAATATAATTTCCTGCCAGGTTCTGGTGTACCCGGAAAGCGTGTGGGTTACATGCCACAGGAAATAGCTCTGTACGGAGAGTTCACTATCAAGGAGACCATGATGTACTTCGGCTGGATCTTCGGCATGGAGACCGGGCGGATCGCCGAGCGTCTCACTTTCCTTCTAAACTTCCTCGATTTACCCAGCGGGAACAGAATGGTGAAGAACCTTAGGTGAGTAAAACTGATTTTCTGACTGAAATAAATATTTCTTTATTTAAATCTAAGTATTCAGAAAAATAATAGTTTTGCAATGCGTGGTGCAGAGCAGTGCGAGTATAACTTTATGATGCCATATGCTCATTATTAACCCATCGTTTTCTTACCAGCGGTGGGCAGCAGCGTCGCGTTTCGTTCGCCGTGGCTCTATTGCACGACCCGGATCTGTTGATCCTGGACGAGCCCACCGTGGGCGTGGACCCACTGTTGCGACACGCCATATGGAGGCACCTAGTGCGGCTCACCAGCGCGGGCGACAAGACGGTCATCATCACCACGCACTATATTGAGGAGGCGCGCCAGGCACATTGCGTGAGTAACCTTCCTACTAGGCGACAATACGGACATCACCACCACGTATCACATTGAAGAGGCGCGCCAGGCACATTGCATTGCGTGTGTAACCTTCTTACAAGATTATACTACACTATACTCGAAGTGCGAATAACCTGACCAGTGTGCAGAGATCTTTGGTCAAATCGAGCAGGCTAACTCATGTCCCCATGACATGAGTTCGACGGTATATAACTTGTTACCAAAGTTGATCACTGACGCCAAATCTCTTAATATTTTTAAACATAAATTAAAGTTATGGCTCATTGACAGAACTTTTTGTAGCGTCGATGAGTTTTTGAATGATAAATCTTTGCATTAATTGGACTGATTAATATATTTTTCTATAACATAGAATGACTATTTTTTTATTCATTATTTTATTATTGTAATTTGTATTTGACACTTAACCTTATTTAAGTATAAATATTGTATTTTAATATAACTTGAACTTGACATAGGAATTGAATTTTTAAATTTTTGAATTCATTGAAAGTTCAGTTAATACTCTATGTATTTCTATTCTGAAATTTATGATTGACGTGTAATTTATTGCGAAATAAATGATTATGATTATTTCATCATCATCATTTATTAATGTCCCCATTGATGGGCACAGGCCTTCAGTATAGATGGAATAGGGAGATTGGGCCATGATCATGATCCACCAAGCGGGCTCAGTGCGGATTTGGTGGGTGCTAATTACTTCGTTATTACTATTTAGTGGCTTCCGTAGCACGGAGGAGCTCGGGCTAGGCAATTTTTGGTCAACCATCCAATGACCGACCACTGTGAAAGTTACTTAACTTCCAATTTACATGCACTATCGAGCTCCTCCTAGATTCTTACACGCACACCAAACAGCCTAGTCCCAAAGAAAGTAAGCTAAGGCTTGTATTATAGGATAGTACTAGGGTAACGGGTACATATACATAAATGCTAAATATTACAAATACTATTTAAATTATAAAAAAGAGAAGTATTTTCTGAGATAGCTGAAACGTTTTTTAATATTATTAATTAATAGAAATTTAAATTATTCCTGAGGGATTAGATATCAGGAGGGATAAAAGGAAATTTGTTTTATTTTCTTTTTCAGATCGGTCTGATGAGGGGCGGCAGGCTGCTGGCCGAGGAGTCTCCCCAGGCGCTGCTTACCATGTACAACTGCATATCGCTGGAAGACGTCTTCCTGAAGTTGTCAAGGGAGCAAGGTGTGCTAGATAGGCGTCGTGAGATAGGTCTTTATAAAATAGTGAGGGAGTGCTAAAATATTTTGTCGATTAAGGTTTTATGTGCAAACACAAGGGAAAGTTCCTCTGCTATTAATATTTGACGCTCGAATAAACAGTTTAAAAGTTTCTAGCGCGAGCACCCAGACACTGTAAATGTAACCTGAAATGCTGCCTAAATTTAATTATATGCTTTGTGATGAACGTCTATTAAACAAATTTATATGTGGCGAACTTACCTGATAATTCGTTAAATAAATAAAGAAATTGTCAAAGTAGCACAATTTTCATATAAAAAGAATAAAATATTGTACTAAGTATCTCATAATGACGAGAAAATTTCATAAATACGGACGAAAGATCCCATAGAATGTAAACTACTAAATGAAGTAAAACCATACATATTCCCTATTTCTAGTGCCGTAAAGTCTTTACGATATTTTCTCCCGGTAGCCGGTCAGAAGAGCGCCGTTGTTGAGTTGAATATGTTCGGCGGCGGTCTCGGGCTGAACAAGATGTCGAAACGCGAGGAGGCGCCGTACGCGGCCGAGGACGAATACGTGGTCGGGCTCAACTTCCAGGTGATCAACCAGAGCAAGGAGGCGCTCATCGTGGATAACGGGGACGTGAGTGTAAGTTTAATTTTACCAAATCTTATAAAATGATAAGACACTACGACCTATGCATAGAATAAAGTTACATATGAAAAAGTTATCAAAGTACTTTTATTATACTTTTAGGAGAAACGGAGGCATATATTTTACAGGTAAAAATATTTATTCTAAAACTTATAAAACTTCAAAGATAGCAGTTGAATAAAGGTACATGTGATTTTTATTTCCGAAGAATATAGAGTCAAGAGCACTAGTACCTTTTGGATAGGCAAGAAAGCAGCCTGCACAGCTTCAATTTTGTTACAAACTGAGACTTTTTACTAAATTTTTGATTCTTTTTTTCTTATTTGCCATATTATCATAATGTGACGCGACAGGATATATAAATTTTGTACAACAAAGTTATATCTTCACATAACATTGACACGTGTCCCAAGCATAAGGTCTGATATGCATATCTTTATATATATAATTCTTCTGTGAGTGTGTATGTCACTGAACTTCTCTTAAACGACTGGACCGATTTTGATGAAATTTTTTGTGTGTGTTCAAGGGGATCTGAGAATGGTTTAGATTCACAATTTTTTCCGCTGGACAACCCCTATTTTTTTAGGGCGGTACGAAGTTCGCTGGGTCAGCTAGTATAACATAAAGAGGTCCCTAGTAAATTGTCACATAATCACATAAGATACTCTTAAATAACAAAATATGAGCCGTAAATGTAGTTTTTTTTAAAGAATAAATGCGTCATAATTTGCTTCTCAATGCTTTATATGATTGGTAAAAAAAAATCAAATCCTAGAAAAATACCAATACAAGTTAAAGCAAATTTTACATCTTACAAACTTCAAATCGCTCTACTGTTAAGTAGGGATTATGCAGAAGTAGCTTTATCCTATGGATAGGTCGACTTCTTTTATGAAACATTAAATGAACACAACGGTTAGAGTATGCTCTAAGAACGGTTTGAAATGAAATGTTTGATTTAATAGATTTGAGGATTTGAGAATGCGTAAAATTGCCACATGATGAATTCTTAAATGGAAAACAAATAGATGTTTCATCGAAATGTCGCCAAATGAATTTATTAAAGTAAAACTCTACTTTGTCTATGGTTTCTAGCACTAAAGTTCTTGAATGAAATTTCAAGAAAAATATATTGTAGGCCTTAATTTAATTCCAGCTGCCCGGCAAGGTGATAGAGGCTGTCACTAATGAGTGCAACGACTGTGGAGGCTGCTTTAACGTGAGTTATTTATTTAATAATAATAATATCGTTTATTTCTCACCATAATCACAAATGTTTACAATGTAGGTATTAACGTCTACATAAAAAAATGTTTTAAAAACATGCTATATTTACAACAAAAAATAAACAGGTAACGTATTGCTCAGACTATGATGGGTTGACACCTGAACTAGGATGAATCCTGCCTGTCTCAGGTAATCAACGCTCCAACCCATTCACAATTTTGTGTACTATTTATTAAATAATTTAGTAATCCAGATAACTGTTTTTTTCAGTTATAAATTCTAGCTAAAGGATTTAATAAGAGTTATGTTACTATTTGTATTAATAAAAAAAAATATAGAGGCTCTATCGTTTGAGCAGATTAGTTAGTGCAGTTTTTTTCTTATTATTGAATGACAACAAAAATACATTTATGAACCTACAGAATTGAACTTAATATTTTGAGATCAATATAACAGACTAGAATTTGATAGATTTAGCTTCGTTTTACCAAAAGTTTTTTAAAATTCACGTTTTTTTCATCTTAAATGGCTAGGGATAGCTGCTTTTTAACTCAGTTGCAACATGTAAACCGATCATACATCTTTTCAAGTTAATAAAAGCTTTTAAAAATTCTAGGATACATAGATGTTTGAGAACCCCTCTCTGGTTTCCAGGTGACGTCACACGGCAAGATAAAGGCCCTAATCCAAAAGAATATCCTACGGATGTGGCGCAACGTGGGCGTGATGATGTTCATTTTCGTGCTGCCCGTCATGCAGGTCATTCTGTTCTGCCTGGCCATAGGGAGGGACCCAACTGATCTCAAACTGGTGAGTCATCATCATCATTATCAGCCAATTTATGTCCCCACTGCAGAGGCACAGGCCTTCCCCTGGCATGGAATAGGGAGATTGGACCCACCACGCGGGCTCAGTGCGGATTGGTGGGTGCTAATGACTGTAGATGCAGCCGGGACCAACGGCTTAACGTGCCTTCCGAAGCACGAAGGAGTTCGAGATAATTAGTTTTTGGTCATCCACCCAATGACCGAAAAATGCGTAAGTTGCTTAATTTTCTAATAATGCGTATATCTACTACCAATTTTCGCGAATACAAATACGAATATTCATTTTTTTTTATTTGGCGCCTATAATATTTGTGGCTCTGCGGCTCACGTTCGGGCGAGAAGCATTCCGTTTGCATCTTATTGAAATAACTGCCAATTTGATTCGAAAATACCCGACTACATCAAAACAAAACCAAAAATACAAACGGAATTGAGAACTTCCTCCATTTTGAAGTTGGTTAAAGCTACTAAAAATTAATCTATATACGAGTATATAAAACTCAAAGGTGACTGACTGACATAGTGATCTATCAACGCACAGCCCAAACCACTGGACGGATCGGGCTGAAATTTGGCATGCAGGTAGATGTTATGACGTAGGCATCCGCTAAGAAAGGATTTTGATCAATTCTACCCCCAAGGGGATAAAATAGGGAATGAAAGTTTGTATGAAACTTTGTCAATTTTAAACCGATCGGGCTGAGACTTTGCATGCAGGTATAAGAAGAATCATAGATGAATGTCATTGTGTATAATATAAGTCTGAGAACAAAAACTGTAGTCTACACTTCAGCTCTACACCGAAGCGAAGCGAGGGCGGGCCGCTAGTCCTTATATAAACGTATACCTTAATTTGGTTGTAAAGAGTTACAGTAACTAATGCATTATGGGCCTGATTCTAATAACAATGATAATTTAATTAATTAACATTTAATGGTCAGTGCATTCTCCCGGATAGCGAAGGGTGCGGATTCGAGTCCCGTCTGCTGCCTGGTCCGCGTGGATTTTTTCTAGTTATATTTTCTCTAGATTTAAACATCAATAAAAAAAAATGTTATAATAATAACAATTTGTTGAAGGCATCGAGGAAGACCCATAATATAGAATTTCCTTTTAACTGCACTAGGCTATAGTGAACGATGACGCACAACTAGTGAATGGGGAATGCATGTTCAACTCTTCTTGCTCAATGAAGAACTTGTCGTGTCGCTACCTAAGCCACCTCACCGAGCACACGCGACAAATACACTACGCCAACCTCAGCGCCGCGCAAGATGCCGTGAAGCAAGGACACGTCTGGGGAGTGCTGTTCTTCAACGAGAAATACTCCGATTCCCTGGTTGCGAGACTTGCGTTAGGTAACTACGTCTTGGTCAATAGGAAGAAATTGCTACCGTATATCTAGGTAATATCGTCTAGCCACCTCATCGAGCACACGTGATAGAAACACTACTTATATCTTTGACAGTTCTCAGTTTCTATGGAAACAGCTAGATTGCTCTTACGTCCGGTAGAGGCGCTGCTTAGTTTCCAAAGAAACTTTGACGATGGCGATACGAATACAACAACGAACCACAACGGACGTAACGGGTACTAAAAAATCTGTACATATGTGATAGTGACATTTCGTACTCGCAAACGTATACGATAACATAACGTAAACGAGGCAATTCCATATTGGTTCATGCTAAGGGTACTGTACCCTTAGCACGAACCAATATGGAATTCATTACGTTTGCTAGTGCGAAACGTCAATGTAAAGTTTTGTATGGAAACTTGAACAGCAGCGCCACAATGGACGTGACAGAACTAAAAATCGGTTCATATTTGACGTATATCTAGATAGAATTCAACTATTCGAATTCGATAATGGTTCATGCTAAGGGTACCTATGTATCTGTTAAAGTTCGTGCTTGGAGAACTGTTCTCCAACGAAAACTACACCGATTCACTGGTGGCGGGACTTGCGTTTGGTAACTTTATGTGTCGCCTAGGTCAACAGGAAGAAATAGCTACCTGATATCTAGGTAATGTCGTGAAGCTACCTCAGCCACCTACAGTGTCGGATTAGCCATAATCAAATTAAGCACTTGCTTAGGGCATCACGTCTTGGGTGGCACATAAACATCACAGCAGCAAAAAAAATTTTGGAACTTAAGTAAAAAGGTTGTGTGAATAGACCATTAAAAATTAAAGCTGTACCCCTAGCACGAAACATTATCGAATTCGAATAGTTTGCGAATGCGAAATCTCAATTTCAAATTTTGTATGGAAACTTGAACAGCAGCGCCACAAAGTACGTTACGATAGCTAAAAATCAGTACACTTTTGACAATGACATTTCGTACTCGCAAACGATGTGAATTCGATATTGGTTCGTGGTGGTGGGTACTGCTAAGTGCTACAGGAAAAGGTCGACGTTTTATCGATATCATATAGTCAGTCATGCTAAAAACGTTGAACTTAAAATAGTCGAGTCATTTTTCAATAAATTAATAAAAATGCGAGTGTAATTTTCAAGCGTCTACAGGCTGTGGCGGTTCCTTACCATCAGGCTGGTCATACACTTGTTTGCCACCCTTTTAAAAGTTTGATTGGTGTGGGTGATACAAATGTTGATGTCATTTGTTTATTTATAATCAGCTGACGCCGCTGACGAGGAGACGGTGCGCCTGTCTGACGTCCAGGTGTGGCTCGACATGTCCAACCAGCACATCGGCCTCACGCTCAACCGGGACATACTCTACGCCTATAGGGACTTCGCACAGGTATAAATAACATATAAATTCACTAATACGATGAGAACATCGTTCAGCGCTCATACTTTATGAGCAAGATTTCCTTAAAAAGGGATACAAAAGTTTTACCTTAGCGTAGTCATCTACACTGCTATATTAATGGTTAAAGATTTGGAAGTCGGGCGGGTCAAGATTGAAAGACGTATTATTACCAATCAGAAACGAAAATCTATTTAATGTTTCAATCTTGACCCGCCCGTCTTCCAAATCATCAACCAGATTTTCGTGACCTTTGACCTCGAATAACTTACGACGCAGGCACGAGATAATCTGAGACTTTTGAGACAAGTTTTAGAACGCCAAAATGAAGCTGTACACGAGTTTCCAGCTTATTATCTCAAATTCCGAGGTGAAACCCTAAAGTGACTGGACTATTAAACATAAGACAACAACGATGATAACCCCCTTATTTGAATTAAGAACTTTAATGCTAGTAGTAGGCTTGATAGACCAGGGTCGATAATATTTGAGACCAAAAAAAATTATAGTAGGATGAAACCCATTGGAAAAGGTAGAGAATATAACAAAAATGAAAGGAAAAATAAATTACGGGCGATCTGAGGTCGGGAAGGGGGAGGGGGTGAGTTTTTAAGGGTAAAAACCGGTTAATCTCGATTTCCGGTAAAACTGCAAGTCCTATGAAAAAAAGTTAAATGGCAAAGTTGTAGGTAATAAAAAGATGTACAACTTTTGTATCGACACTTTTTTCACATAACCTCAAAATCTATGTGAAAAATTCGAAAAACCGAGTTTTTAGTTTTTTATTTTTTGCAAAAAACAAAAATGCTTTCACGAAACTTAGTGAAAACTTACCTTTGTATGTCCCAAACATACAGTAATTTTTTTGATTTGAATATTCATTTTTTCACCTTATTTTGACTTAATATCGAAAAAGCAACCTAATTTTCAATAGAAAATTCTCACGTCAAAATATCTGCTTTTTAAAAAAAGTTGATGTGTTTTTTGTTTGTTGAAATTTTTACTTTCTGATGGTATAAAAAAAATATCCACTACTATGGTAAATGTTCTCAGAAACTGCAAATTAATAATGAAAAAAACTCCAATCCGAAAAATTGATTTGAATCATTATGTATAATTTTGAACTATTTATTAAAATTTACACTTTGATTACTCGAAAAACGTAAGATTTCATGTTATATTGATAAACAGAAAAATTACAAATCCATAAAACATGCAAAAATCAAAGAGTAGAGATTTCAACAAACAAAAAACACACCACCTTTTTTAAAAAAGCAGATATTTTGACGTGAGAATTTTCGATTGAAAATAAGGGTGCTTTTTGGATATTAAGTCAAAATAAGGTGAAAAAATTAATATTTTAAATAAAAAAAAATGCTGTATGTTTGGAACATACAAAGGTAAGTGTTCACTAAATTTCGTTAAAAACATATTTTTTTTGCATAAAATAAAAATCCAAAAACTCGGTTATTCGAATTTTTCACATAAATTTTGAGGTTATGTGAAAAAAGTGTCGATACAATAGTTGTAGATCTTGTTATTACCTACAACTTTGCCATTTAACTTTTTTTCATAGGACTTTTAGTTTTCCCGGAAATCGAGATTAACCGGTTTTTACCCTTAAACACTCACCCCCTCCCCCTTCCCGACCTCAGATCGCCCGTAATTTATTTTTCCTTTAACTTTTGTTATATTGTCTACCTTTTCCAATGGGTTTCATCCTACTATAATTTTTTTTCACTTTTAACCATTTTTAAAATTATCGACCCTGGTCTATGAATAGCTGAATTGGTTGAAATATCTGAACTTGGACCATTTGGGGAAAACGCTCTGGACGCTCCACCAGGCTTAGAAAAGGGAAGGAAATATTTTTGATGTGTAACATCTTTCCTCTCGCTTTCCTGCAAATTGTGAGTGTTTTCGTAAAATGGGACTTATGAGATTCGATTTTTTGAACCGTAATGTTCAAATGGCTTATTCCTTTTGTAGTAGGATTTTTTTACTAATATAAGGTGCGGTTTCAAATGTTACACATCATACGCGACTACTATAAGGCTCGCTTGTTTTTTTCCCTCGTTTATAATATAGTTTTTGCGGTAAATATGTTGCCTCACGAAGATATCAAATCCTTTTACTAATCAAAACTAAAACATGTGTATTTGTAATCCCACACTACTGTTTTCAGCCTCGCCGCGTAAAAATCTGCCTGGGAAAATCCCCCATATACTGTAATATACATACACATACAAATAAATTTACTTTATTGTATGGTGTTGAATATTATTAAAAGGCCCTGAGACTAAAATTCATATGACAGCTGTTAGAAAAAAAAATGAAACCCGTGGTTCCTGCTTACTTTCCAAGTGAAAACTAGCTTCGCCGGCCACATGAAGCTAGTCCACAAGCCAGGACAGTAAAATCAGTGGTGGGGGGCGCTACTAGCCTAAAATTTAGAACTCCATCTTATTAAAAACTGTTCTGGCTTGTAAACGAGTTTAATAGCATAGAAATGAAGCTAGTTTTGTCTACACAAAGCCATAAGTATAGCTTGCTGGCTTACTGCCATTAGCTTGCTATCCTATCTTGAGAAACGAGTCTCGTGTAACGTGGGCATAAAAGACAAAGAGATATTATCGCATTCATAATCATATATATATATATATATATATATATATATATATATATATATATATATATAATTCTCGTGTCACAATGTTAACTACATACTCCTACAAAACGGTCTGACCGATTTTTATAAAATTTTATATGCATATTCCGTGGGTCTGAGAATCGGCTACCATCTATAAGTAATAATGGTTGTCCACCTGTAACGTAGTGTTCTGAAACCTACAATATGCCTTCGCGCCAAAACTATTGGGTGGGTATTGTAACGTAGTGTTCTCATATGGGTTAGGAGGAATGTTATCCCAGGAAATTGATAGAACACTACGTTACACACCCCTAAAATATTTTTTGGACAATTATAATGTGGTATTAAAAATACATACAACTCTAAATTTTCTCTTCTACCACCTGCCCCTATTTTTATGGCGGTACGAAGTTTGCTGGATCAGTATTAGGTAGAGTTTGGAAGTAACGATAAAATGTATGTACTCGTAGGATCTGCTGGAGCGGTGCGAGTACAACCCGAAGCTGGGTGACATCCCCATTGAGTTCCTGGACCCCATCTACGGCAACGAAGACCCTTCGTTTACGGACTTTGTTGCCCCAGGTGTCATCATCACGTGAGTTTGACGTTGTTATTACTAAATAATTTCATCATCATCGGCCTATTAATGTCCCGGATAAAATAGGGAGATTGGGTCATTACCCACCCCGCGAGTCCAGTGCGGATTGGTCGGTGCTAACGACTGCAGATGCAGCCGAGACCAACGGCTCATCGTGCTTTCCGAAGCACGGAGGACCTCGAGATAGTAAATTTTTGGTCACCCATCCAATGAACGACCGCAAAATTTGCTTAACTTCAAGGATCGCGGCCGAAAGCGCTAACCACTTGCGCCATCGAGTATTTCAACTATAGCTGGAACAAATCGTTAATGGAACTTAAACAACTATTTTTAAAATGTTGACTTTTCTCTGGGGAGAAAAGTCAACATTTTTCTCCCTAGAGAAAAGTAACACAGCAATGGCTAACAAGAGCCGAGGTCCGAGTCTCAGATACGCCCTTTAGTTGAGCCAACCCTCTCACGTTTTAGTGGCTTAGTGGCTCAGACGGAGAGGGAATTCCACTCTAGAGGAAAGATGCACTCTGCCTGGAATATCACTATAGTTTAGTTTTCGACCTCAGGTCGCTGTAAAGGTCATCTGCGTCAAAAAAAATTTACGGTGGTACTCCGGGAGTGCAAACTCAAATCTCAAAACAAAAACTAAGTCAATGTACATAAAAATTTAAAAATTGTATGACTGTCGGCTTGAACTCGAGACTTCTTGCACTCCAAAAAGCGTTTGTGCATTTAGACTAAGCCACAAGGTACTAACGACATTGGGCAAAATTAAAAATACACATACATACATTTATACGGAACAGAGGTGTTGTCGGTATCGATCACGGTGTCGCTAGTTGGTTAGTTTTTCGCATCTCAAAAAAGTCCATCGAGTCTCAAGAAGTGTTTACTTCCAAAATTAAAATCACGGCAGCTTTTAAATAGACTCTAATGTGGAACTTCTTTCGCCCGCAGAATCGTGTTCTTCCTCGCCGTCGCTCTGACTTCATCGGCTCTAATCGTGGAGCGCGCGGAAGGTCTCCTCGACCGTTCATGGGTGGCGGGCGTCTCCCCGGGCGAACTCCTGTTCTCCCACGTGGTGACGCAGTTCGCAGTGATGTGCGGCCAAACTGCGCTAGTACTGATATTCATGATCCTCGTGTTCGGAGTGGAGAACCACGGCAATATCGGCCACGTGATTACGCTCACCATACTGCAGGGTGAGCAGACTTATTGTTCTAAGTCCGTATGATGTGGGGCTAGACCACGCTAGTACTGATACTCATGGTCCTCGTGTTGGGAGTGGAGAACAATGGCAATATCGGCCACGTGATCACGCTCACCATACTGCAGGGTGAGTAGACTTATTGTTCTAAGTCCGTATGATGTGCGGCTAGACCACGCTAGTACTGATACTCATGGTCCTCGTGTTGGGAGTGGAGAACAATGGCAATATCGGTCACGTGATCAAGCTCACCATACTGCAGGGTGAGTAGACTTATTGTTCTCAGTTCGTGTGATGTGCGGCCAGACCGCGCTTGTACTGATACTCATGGTCCTCGTGTTGGGAGTGGAGAACAATGGCAATATCGGCCACGTGATCACGCTCACCATACTGCAGGGTGAGTAGACGTATTGTCCTCAGTCCGTGTGCTGTGCGGCCAGAACGCGCTAGTACTGATGTTCATGGTCCTCGTGTTGGGCGTGGAAAACAGCGGCGATTTCGGCCACGTGATCACGCTGACCATACTGCAGAGTGAACAAACATATTTTTCTCCCACGGGCAGTACCGTCTTTGACCTATTGGAGGCCCTGGGCATATTAGGATAATGGGGCCCCTGCGACCCCCGTTTGGTGATTTAATAGGAACTAGGGACTTTGTATTTGACTTGAGGGTGGCCCCTATCGATCGCGGGGCCCACTGGGAAAGAGGGCTCTGACCCACGGGTCACAAAAGTAGTAATCTAAAGGGAATAGAAATAAATAAGACTATTCTTATTTGTTTCTCTTGACTTCTTGCGAGTTAGGAAACAAATATTCTCTTTCATACAAAATTAATATTGATTCACCAAATGTACTTCTAGTAAATATATACGTAAGACATACATCCTGCCATCCTAGTGAAATATGCAGTAGGAGCTCTTACATGATTTTGAGGAAATGGCTTTTAAGGTTAAAACTTTAAACACCGTTTTCCCAAAACCATGGCGGAGGTCTTATTGCATTCTTTACTAGGACGGCAACATAGTTCTTATGTACAAAGGAGTTTAGTGCTTTCCGCATTCCAAAAGTGCCCAACAAATCTCCAAAAATATATTTAAGTAATTTTCTTCTAAGTGAACAACAATTAAAGTTACCTAATTAGTTTGAATTTCCAGGTCTATGCGGCATGTGCTTCGGTTTCGTAATATCAGCGGTGTGCGAGCTGGAACGAAACGCAATCCAATTGGCTCTGGGCTCGTTCTATCCGACGCTGCTTCTCAGTGGCGTCATCTGGCCCGTAGAAGGAATGCCTTTATTTCTACGCTACGTGTCGTTCTGTCTCCCTCTTACGCTTGCTACTAACAGCCTGAGGTCTATTCTCACGCGCGGTTGGCCGCTGACCGACTCGGATGTTTACATGGGCTTCGTATCCACCCTTATATGGATCGCTGTCTTTATGACGCTCACACTCACTATACTGAAGCTGAAGAAGAACTAAACGCATTCCACTATTTAAAAAATCGACACCTATCTAGGAAGGTGTAAAAGGCTGATTCGCGTTCCATTTTTCATAGTAGTAATAGACGCAGGTGTTACATTCTGGTTTAAAACAAACCTTCATAAGAAATTCAAAAAAAAAAATACAGGCCGATTCTCATTTTTATACAACCGATCTAATTTCTTTTTATTTACATTTAGTCTTTGCCACTACCCCTCGCACTGCCGGCAATTATTTTGCATTTTAATTTTATATTTTCCAGTCCACGTTTAGCTAACGCGAACATGTTCGAATTTCAAATACTTTATCCGGAAAAAGGCTATGTTTACTCTTGTTTGTTTTAGTTTTGTTATTTATTTCACGTAATTACACGGCATGCTGCACCTAGCAACCCAGTTTTTAAGGGTGCTTGCACACGGTGCAAGTAACTTGAGCATGTTGTGGCACTTGCGCAGTCTATAGGCATCCTGAAAATACCGTGCAAACTTTGGAGGGTGTTTTGCACTTTGATATGAGATTTGAACAATGGTCACTGTTTGTGTTATGTACACAAACCAAAAACATTATCAGAAAGTAAATAAACGTCCAGTCTACAAAAGTCGACTCAGTAAATACAGCTTCATTATGCCATCACAAAGTGTACGAGATTTCTATTTACTTCGTATCATGTATAGAGACTGCTAAATCTCAAACGTTAGAGTTACGTTTTTGCAACCCTGCGCGGCGCGCGGCCTCTTCCTCAACAACACAGGTCGTCGGACAGCGCCTTAAGCCTGCCCGAGTTTAAAGGTGATCGCACGTTATGCTCTCTCCTCACCGTACGCACCGCAAGCGCCGAACGCGCCGTTTCCATACAGAACACGAAATGCGGCATGAATTGCTGATGGAAGAATGCGAGGTTTCATATGATTGCATACAAGGAATTCTGAAGGAGTGCTGTAATATTTGCGATCACCTTAACAGTCTGCTCAAACCGCTATAAACTTACTTAAAACTATTATTTTGAAGAATAAAAATGTCACTGTTGTTCATATGTTCATGTCTATTTTTTTAATTTATATGTTCAGGACCGTACGATAAGCTTAATAATAAGTATAGTTTAAAACGCATAAGAAATTTTGCAATAATAAATGAGGGCCTAATTAAAGTTACAGCTTTAATATTGCAATAAATTTGTTAAAATAAATGTCACAATTTATTTGTCTTTTTTGTATAAAGCACACGATTCTGGGCATGTCTTATATTAAGATAATTTTATTAGGCACAGTATGTGCAAGTGTTTTTTTGCATGTAATATCTGACTCTTAAGTTTAAGTTATCATTAAGTTATTTAGATAGACATATATCTTGTCTCGCTATCCTTGTCGTAACAGCATGGTGCGTAATGAGTTAATGGCACTATTAACTCATTACGCACCATACGATTTAACTCAACGAATCACGTGAATTCTATATAACTTTTGATATACCTAACTAGGTTATTATTTCAGAAATTTAGTATATATTTTCGATTATATGTAAATATTTTGTTGATTTTTATTAGAAAAAAATACTATTAAAATATATCTGAATTCAAGTTTGTACATACGTGTAGTTTTAAAGTGTCTGTCTGTGATTATTTTTGCCAACATTGACATCTTTTTTATAATAAAATGACATTAAATACGATACCTGTACTATTTATGTGTTTTCATTTCTTCACACTTGGATAAACACCAATGATAAAGTATAATACTCTTGATTTTAGTGTCAAAAGCTTGGTCTTGAATTTTATTGATGTAAAGATTTTTGTTTTTAAAACTTATGATTTAAATTAAAGAAAAAATATGAAATTTATTAGTTTATTTAAAATAATAGAACACAAACTGAAATAAAAACGAAACAGTGCAAGAAAAATTAAATGTTCATGTAATCCATTCTGTATTATACAAATTCTCACTCTTTTTTTATCTCTAATCTTCATTTACTTTGCGTGGTGAATGATTGAAATAATACGTCTAAGTTCATTTTGTAACTAATGCACTAAATTAAATCTTTTGCATAACATTCATGGTCTTCCTTTTATTTAAAATGTCATTATTTAGAAATAAAATTAATCCTTATGATTAAGACGGTTATCATAAAATACATGTGCTTTTTTTTACATTTCATGAGTATAAAACTCGTCCCTGTTGTGGCAGGCGATTGTAGAAAATCTGTGAATGCAGTTGAACTTATTGTTAAATGTAAAATACATATCACATGTTATAGTTTCCGTTCTATTCATGTTGACCGTGGGACGCCCTGTATAGATTTAACCTGTATAGATTTAACCTGTATAGATTTAACCTGTATAGATATAGAACATATAGCGAAAATGTTAGGTTCCTGAAAGATGAGTGTTATTTGGTTAATAACTATGCAAATGACAGCGGAAGGGAGTGTCGTATTTCAGATAATGTGTACCACAAAAGTCATAATTTCCAATTCGCATTCTCCGGCCGGGGTATCTGAAATGCAATCTCTGTGATTGTCACGATCAAACACTCCGGTGTTTCCATTTATTAGTACTCTCTATACAGAATAGAAAAAAAATAAGATTTTTCCGTTCCATGACTATTTACTCCTATTTCTCAATCTGACATTATGTCATCGATCAACAATTCTATAGATAACGGATTGCATACAAAATCAAAGCTAAAAACTGTCCGCGTGTGTATAATTATACATTCAAAATTCAAAAAAAATTTTAAAAATTCAAAATTCAATATCGTTTATTCAGTCTAGGCTGTTACAAGCACTTGTGAATGTCGAAAAGCTACGCCATCGGTTCGCAAAACTACGGCGGGAGACCTTGTACTGAGAAGAACCGGCAAGAAACTCAGCAAGGGCTGCTTTTTTCTCCCTGTTTTATTTCATACAGTGTCGTCCAATTGAAAGTTGACATCAAACTTGCAAACATGTGTTGAGGTCAACTTCCATCACATAATGTCAAATATGTAACAATCAATGAATTTACTAACAATAACTGCAAAGATAAGTCCCAAAATAGCAAGAAACAATTTTCAAAATAAAATGAACAAGTATATGAAAGGGAGTAAGTGCAAGGTTCTCTTCAAAACTCTTTCTATAACTGGGAGCCTTAGTTTTAATATAACTTTTGAAAAATTATCTACAAGTAAAATTACAACCAGGCCGTTTTATCATTCAAATATTGATTGACAGTATAATATCCTTTCTTAAGTAAACAATTCTTAATGTGTATTTTAAATTTATGAGGAGGCAAATCAAGGATATCAATAGGAATCTTATTATAGAAATGTATACCTTGACCCATAAATGATTTATGAACCTTCTGTAACCTGTAATTTGGTATCTTGAGTTTATTTTTATTCCTTGTATTAAAAGAATGTATGTCACTGTGTTTTAGATAATAGTTAATATTGCTTCGAACAAAAAGTATGCAATTATAAATGAATTGAGAAGCAACAGTCAAAATCCCGATTTCTTTAAATTTTTCTCTAAGAGATGTTCTAGAACTAAGTTGATAAATAGCCCTTATAGCTCTTTTTTGCAAGATAAATATAGTTTCAATATCGGCTGCTGATCCCCAGAGAATAATACCATAGGATACAATACTATGAAAGTAACTAAAGTATACAGTTCTAGCAGTAGCTACATCAGTAAGTTGTCTTATTTTACGTATGGCATAGGCTGCTGAACTAAGTTTACCAGCTAGCAGAGAAATATGAGGATACCATTGCAATTTCGAGTCTATGGTTATACCTAAGAATATCGTTGACTCAACTAAATCTAGGTTTTCATTGTTTAGTTTAATTCTAATGGTTTCGCTTCTAACATTAGGTAAAGTGAATTTAATGCATTTGGTTTTATTTGCATTTAATTTTAAGTTATTTACATTAAACCAGTGCAATACTTGTGAGAGAGCATTATTTACATCGTCAAAGTTATTCTTGTATCGGTCAACCTTAAATAATAAAGAAGTATCATCAGCAAACAATACGATCTCACACAATTTTTCCACAAAAAATGGCAAATCGTTTATGTACAATAAAAATAGAAACGGACCTAAAATCGATCCCTGGGGAACGCCCATTTTCACATAAGATCCAGATGACTTAACACCATTTACCTCTACAGTTTGAACTCTGGAACTGAGATACGATAGTAGCAAGTTTTTTTTCGATGATTGATTCGATTCCCAATGAACGGAGACAGATGTTTTAAAACAGTTTAAGTAGAACCTAATAACAACTATCTCACAACGGAATAAGTTTACAAAGAACAAAATGTTATTTCGCACATACGACCTTTTTTTATCTTATAAAAAAATATATCCGTATATTTATACATAATTACTAGCTGTCCCAGCGAACTTCGTACCGCCATAAAAAAATAGGGGTTGGTGGTAGAAGGGTGAAAATTTAGGGTTGTATGTATTTTTGTATGATGTATCATAAAAAAATAAAAACAAAAAATATCTAAAATTAAAAAAAAAATGGGGGGGGGGGGTACCCTTAACATTTAGGGGGATGAAAAATAGATTACATCCGATTCTCAGACCTACCCAATATGCACACAAAATTTCACGAAAATCGGTCGAGCCGTTTCGGAGGAGTTTAACCACAAACACCGCGACACGAGAATTTTATATATTAGATATTGGAAAAAAATTATAAAGGTGAAAAAAGGAAAATGTGAAATCAACCTTATGACCCACAGAATAAAATATTTTTTACTAGTCATGAATTACTTGAAAATAAGATCTCACGTCTCAAGTGAGGCTATATTTACCGATTTGACGCGCTGACCCGTTATCTATAGAATTTTTGATCGAAGCTATATGTCCAACTTCTTTACCCTTCTACTGTGGAATGACATCCTCGACTCCATCGAAAGGTCTCCAATTAAATGTATGATTTACTTATCTGCTGCACACATATTTATTCCAAGATTATCTTTCTGTTCTTGTATAGGTACAATATAAAAATAAATGAACGTACTTTCTTACATATTTGTAGTTGCATTATTTTCTCGAAAGCACTATTATCATTAAAGCTCGAGCGACACGACGTTTGAATCCCTCACTGCGATCAGGATTAAAAAAACCGGCCAAGTGCGAGTCGGGCTCGCGCACCAAGGATTCCGTATAAACCTGTAGGTATACAATAAATTATTAAAAAAATATATGTGATGAAACTTTATGGTTTATGGTTTTCGCAATTTTTTCATTATTTGTGCTATAAAACGTTGCTTCATACCATATTTTCAGATTCTGAGTTTGCGGGAAGTACCCTGTAGGTTTTGGTTTCCTTGCGAGTTTCGAAAATTTGCGGCATAAACGGCTGCATCCTTTGATTACGTTGGCTTAGAAGTTTGATTTTTTCACAACTCAAAGGGACTGTAGACCTGAGTGTTTGATATAAATTTCAGCTTGATACCTCCACGCGTTCCAGACAGACGGACGGACGGACAACAAAGTGATCCTATAAGGGTTCCGTTTTTCCTTTCGAGGTACGGAACCTAAAAACGCTCTTGCCTTTAACATAGTTATTTGCTCGCTTAGTAAAGAATCTACTATTTCTATTTTTCTACCATGCTGAACTGGTAAACAGGTTAATACTTTAGAAGAGAAACTGCTCAGATATACTAAAAGTCATTGAGTAAAAAGTCTACAAATGTTTAAATCTAAAGAAAAGTTTACTAGATAAAATTCCACTCGGGCCATGCAGCTGACGGGATTCGAACCCGCACCCTTCGCTCTCCGGGCGAATGCACTCACCATTATGCTACCGCGGCCCTAACGGCCGTGTCGAATTTTCTCTAACCTTAGGCTGCAAGGCAGCGCCATCTCTTCCCATTGTAGTTAACCCACAATGCGAAGATATAAACATCTAGCAGTTAAATGCTTAATAAAATAAAATCATAAGTCTAAATGTTTTTTTTTAAAGTTCTAAGTTAATTAACAATGTTTCATTGATTTCGTAATTGTTGTGAAATATATTAAACGTACAACTGTCATAAGAATACATAAATTGTTGTTAGTTTTTTAAATGCTGCGGTAGCTAGGTATGTTTAATGACGTGTCAGTACACCGTGATACGTGACTAATTAAACACAGTGTTCCGATGTAAAATCAGTATCTCATTGGATATGGCAATATATTATTATTTTAATTCTTGAGTAAAAGGCGATTTATTATAGTTTCATTATTCTTGATGGCTCCGTGGTCGCAAAACACACAGGTTTGATAATTTTATTTGGAATCTATACAAAAACTTGTAAATGCTAAAGTAACTTTGAGGGTAATTGTCATTCGCGTCCCATTGAAATCTTGAGAAAAGTGCTGATGTGACATATCATTATCATTCACCAACCATCCATCATTTCCCAACCAATTCCCAACTATGTCATGAAAGGGATGGTGGAAAGTGAAAAAGTTGCACAAGAAGTTCCTCTGTCTGTCTGTTAACGTGTTTTAAGTTCGTGAATATCTTTCAAATATCAAATCAAAAGTTTCGTGATTAGAGATGCAAAAAACAGTATTTTTTACTACAAAAAAAACATGATTGTTTTTTTTCTGGAGCATGTTTTTTTACGAGTCAGAATTTAAAAAGCAGGTTTCCGTTAAGGATTAGTGCTCCAGAGTTTATATATTTTTCTGTTTATTTTAAAAACTACCACACATTATTGATTGAAAATCGCCAATCACGCTTTCAACAATTGGCAACACTGACGACGTACAGGAGCTCTATTTTTGAATCACTCGTCTGACATAGTATCGTTGAATGCGACATAAGTCACCTTCGACTTTCAAGTCGCATGATACTGATTTTCCGTATTTTTGAATCACTCGTCACCAGTGTTACCTGTTTGATACGAAATACGAAATTTTACTCATTTCACGCAGAAACAATAAAAACCGGTAATTACTACTACTCTTTGTCCTTTCATTTAAAGCATGACCACAAAAAAAATGAAAATTATTCTATCATTCGCCTCCACCATTCGCCATGCAGCGAGTGGTCTCACCCATTCGTTGCACTCGAGTGATTCAAAAATACGGAATTAATTATGTCGAATGAAATTTAGTAGAAACCGAGCGTTCGACGCAAGACGAGTGATTCAAAAATAGAGCTCCAGGAAAATCCTCGAAATCCTCGTACAGTGTGTTTGAATTCCGAACGCAGTTAACAGAGCGCATTTGAAAAATGATAATTTTTGAAAGCAATGTGTGTCAAATTCGACATAACATACCTTAATAAACCTTTATATTTCAAAGATTGTTTTCATGTAAAAAAAAACTAATTTAGAAAAAAAACGGCCTTAAGTTTTTTCATGTTTTTTTTTTAAATGGAAAAATGAAAATCAACCAAAATGAGAACAAAGTTGTTTCTTTTTACAAAACACTTATCGTGATATGTGTTGTTCTCCAGTCTTTACACGCAAAGAATAAGCGAATTAGCAACTCAATCCCTCACAACACAACTGTCGCTATAAAGTTTTATGTTTCGCGCCATATTTCTGTTCTCTCACTTGCCGCTCGTCGCGCGCTCGTTTCTCCCGCCACGCCCGCCACCGCTAACCGCAGCCCCCCGCGTTCCCACCGCAATTCCACTATGGCGTCTACTACACAAAGGAGTGACGCGGTGGCGACGACCTTCCAGTTCGAGCGGTTGTCTGACCGCGCACGTTGCGTTACAACATGGCGTTCGAAATTGATAAAACGCAAATGTTGATAGAGACAGTGAAAAAATATCCAATGCTGTATGATAATATGCACGAGAATTACAAAGATATGGGTACAAAGAATAAATTGTGGAATACTATAGCGGAAACTATTCAAGACGGTGATGGTAAGTACATAGACAGTAATGTTTTACTATGGTTATATATGATTGGTCGGTAGTAACGTAGTAAGACAATATGCAGTGTTGCTAGTGTTTTGACTTTAAAGTCGCAACGGAAGCTAGAATTATAACTGTCGGAATATGGTCGGTGTGCCGAATAACTCTACTTTTGTTTATGAATTTTGATATTTTTTTTATTTTAAATGTTTTTCTTGGACATTAATAATAACAATACCTTTTGGTGGTGTTTTGTTTCTGTCGGTGAGTAAGGTATAAGGTTCCACGGCGCGGCGCGAGTGATCTTTTTTGTATCGCAAGTGTCTATAGCTGCCGCTTACCATCAGGCGCATGCATCCTTATTAGCTCTCTTTTAAAAAAAAAAAAAAATATAGTTTTACCTTGTCTTTGCCACCAATGTTTTCATATATAATTGTCTTACACTGTCCCTGCCACACACAGAACACTGTATCCAAGGACGTATAAAAAAAGGCGGACAGAATTTCGGCTAAGACAAAAGTGAGGCACCGTAATGGCGGCGGTTATCTATGAGTGAGTGAATGCAGGGTTGCTAGGTTAGCCAATTTTTTACCAATAAAACACAGTAAAAAGATCAAAATATTTTAATTGTTCAAAATTTTACCCGACTGCGGTGGATAATGTTTTTCGAGCGTGTATGCATGTATGTATGCCCAATAATAAGGCGCCAAAATGAAACCTTTAGAAAAAAAATGCTTATAACCCGTCAAGCGAGGTATCAAAGTAAAGGGTCTTAAAAGAATGCAGTGGATCCCCGGTAGTCCGACAAACATTTTGCAGGGCAGTGTCGAACTATCGAATTTGTCGGATTATAGAGTACTGCCTAAGACCCCCTATAGTCCGATTTTTTTTACAAAAGAGTACCTTGTAATCCGACAAATTACAGATCCAATGATAAGATTACAAAACATACTTTGTTATGTATGTCAAATTGAGTAAATTAAACAACACAATAGAAAGATTATGTTTTATTATAAAAGTAACGTCAAATGCTATAGAATTTACAAAAAAATATAAAAAACAATACCCTACGCGTCGAGCACAATTGTGATGGTGCGTACAAGTTGTAACTTGTTCAATCGTGAATTAGCGAATACTTGTATGTAATAGACGATGTCGGATTATAGGGGGTGCCGCATTAGCCAGGGGCCGGATTACCGGGGCTCCACTGTATTTAGAAAATAGGTATGCAAATCGTGTACTTAAAAAAAAATCGTGTTGCACTCGGGGACTGCCGCGGTAAAGCTATTGCATAGCATTATTTGTCAACTTATGCAATAATACTATTTATTTATGCAGTATTTTTTTCTTTGATATTAATTCAAGTTTTTTCTCTGATATTAATAGTTGGCGAGGCAGGCCTTATGATATTTTATTGGGCAAGCACAGCAAACAACAGCATTGCCCGGCGCCAAAAAACTTCCACATGCTCCACAGTTTACCACCTTTAGTCCAAAAATTATAATTATAAAGTCTAAATAAAAGGGAGACAAATAAAAATAAGAACAGGTGCTGGGGTCTAAAACAAATATATAAAAAATGGAAAAAAAATATAATAAAAAATAAAACACGAGTGCGGGATTTGAACCGACGACCGCGGTGATGCGTCGAACGTTGGTCCCGTGGCAAAAATTTAACACACTGCACCGTTTCGATCGATACTGGAAAGGCGAAAATTGTGTTCATACGCACTGTTTTTAAGTTGGCATTGATCGAAATGTTTTGTTTAAATATTATCGTTAGTAATATTATTTATCGTTGAAAATATTTTAAAACTTTTGTTTCATTGTAGGTTTTTTTAAATAATCAAAGTTAATTCAAACTATTATATATAACAAATATTGACTTTTTTTATATTCCACTTTTTTTTCAACACTGAACTTAGCGCACTTTGCTGGTGCATTTGAAAACTAATTCACGTTCCAATTAATCATCAGCATAATTCGGCATTGGTAGCCACTGAGTCGCATTATGCTCTGTAATTGGAAAACTAACATGAAGTCTGTTTTTATTTTTGTATGAAAAAGTTTATATTTTCCACTTTTCATAAGCCAGAGTAAATCACCTAAATATGCCTGGCCAGGCCTGCATTCTTTTTTATATTTCTTAAATTAACAAAACATGCATTGAGTACTGTTTGTAATTGAGGAGTTCCATTGTTTCCCTCCGAAAATACTCATCAGCTCTGCACTTAATTAATACAGCCATCTCGCTTATAAACTGATTCAAACAAAAAAATAATCATCAAAATCGGGCCACGAATCTCGGAGATATGCACGAACAACAATTGAAAAAAAAATAACAAATATGACGTATAGAACCTCTTTCTTTTTGAAGTCGGTTAAAATTTTTAATTTACCTTTTGAGGTACTGCATGCGTAACAACACGCCGGAGTCCTCTTTTAGTAGTATATAAGTCTCCAGCTTCAAAATGGATACTGCAAATGACACTATATTTATTTGGAATACATTCATCATCTCCGTTACAATTCCTAATAACTTGGATCCAGTCATTTCTCCATTCTACATTTTCTTTAGGGAATCTGATAAAAAAGAATAACAAATAATAGGTTGAAGCTAATGTCACCCCAATTTCCCATATTTTAGGTAATATGGTTACGTGAACATTGACAACACTGGACTTTAGATTAATTATTTTGTGCTTAGAATGAAAATTGATTTCGATTTCTAAAAACTAGAAAAAAAGTGATTATATTGTTCATTTACCTATGAAACGTGATTCCTGGATTTTTTTTCTTTCGGTCACTACGGTTTTTACACCATTTTACCACGCAAGACATCTTGTTTTAACTTATTTTTATCTCCACTTAACGTATCGGCTGCTTTGACGTTTGCACGCGTAATGGCTGACTATGGTGTGAATGTGTGTGTGCCGGCTTGTACATATAGCGACCTGGCCGACTCTGAGCGACACAGTTTGTTGTTTACCGGGACTCTGTCCGCCTTTTTTTATACGTCCATGACTGTATCAAATCTTTACCGTGTTAATAAGTGTTAATTTTAATGATTATTATAATTCATTATTTCAGATTCAATTAAATTACATTAATTCAATCCATATGATAATAAAAAAACTCAATTTTGTCAAATTGTATTCGCTGATATGATATATTATGCTGAATTGATAAGATTTTTTAATAAATTAAAGCGAAACGGTAATAAATAATAGATTCAAAAAGAATATAATACGTACTCAGTATTCTAGTTAATTTTGAGTCATTATTTTTGCTGGGGGTAGGTTTTTAAAAAATGTATAAATTTTGATAATTGCTGGCTATAAAGGTACCTTGTTATCACAACAGGAAAATAATATACTTGTGTAACGAGTAGACTTGTATACTTTCAAATATTTTTTTGCCAAGATCTTTATATCTTTATTCCCCCTTTATATTTGAATTTTTGTGAATTTACGAATATGTTTATTTTTGTTTATCTATCTTCTTACATTAATATTCATTCATTGTAAAATTGAGGTATTAGGTTGACCGTAATTATTAATCACAAATATTCATTATCATCACCAGCCTATTAATGGATGTAATAGGGAGATTCGACCATGACGTGGGCCCAGTGCGGATGAATGCCTGCTAATGACTGCCGATGCAGCCGGGACCAACGGCATGACGTACCTTCCAAAGCACGGAGGAGCTCGAGATAATAAGTTTTTGGCCACCCATCTATGACCAACCATTGTAAAAGTTGTTTAACTTCCACGATCGCAAGCCGAACGCACTATCTGCTTGCGCCATCGAGCTCCTCTTACTATACTACTATAATTACAAATATTTTGCGAATTGAAATAAAAATGTGTCCGCAATATAGTATAATTTGTTGCGTAAATCACAGAAACTTATAAAGAATATTTAAAAATACCTATGTTATAAAATTCTTATAATATTAAAGTTTTGGCTTGCTATTAATTTCAATAAATGTTTATTATATTTTTTAAGGTGACAGCCTAAAGACGAAGTGGAAAAATTTGCGAGACGCTTACATCAAACACATCAGATGCAATAAATCGAACAAAACTAACGCTGGTGCAACGCCGAAGTTCATCAGGCATTACAAGGCTTGGCCGTGGGCTAAACATATGAGTTTTTTGCGGCCGTATTTAAAGTATGTTCAATTGCGATCACATCCTCAAAAGAAAAAACTTGATGCGAGCGAATTGCAAAAATATCAAGTACAAGAGACGCTCATTACTGATGCAGGCTCATCACATCAAGATAATATAAATACAACCGATTTACCTATCATGTACTCTCACCAACAATTTACTCATAATCGACTGTCTGACCCAACAGAATCGCAAGTAGACAAAGTTTTTGACTTTCTAAGTAAGAGGCATACCGATTATGATGACATAGATCTTATTTTCTTGGGATACGCTAAGACTGTGAAAAAAATGTCAAAGAGTCGACAAGCCACAGTGAAGTTTCATGTAGCAAAACTTATCATGGAATCAGAACTTGAAGAATTGGGTGAAACTACGGTCACTACATTAGATACAAAACCTTTTCAACAAGATACAGAAAATAACGGCTTTTATTTTGCACAGGTTTAATTATTTCGTATTGATTTCTCTCCATATACATCAATACTTTTACATTAAATAATTCATTCTTCCACATTTTTGGGACGACAAACCACAATCGTCGAGAGCGAGTATGATTTCATACTGGGACTTTTTAAGATACTTAAAGAAAATTTATCGAAGTACAATGTGGAATAAATATAGGTGTCTTCCGCTTAGGTTTATTCAAATAATACCTACTCGTATATAATCCCTTTAGTTAAGTACGTACGCTTTAAGGTACAAGTCCGAACTGAACCGCAGACGATAGCCCACAGCTGCAGTCTACAGGCGACCCTACAAGTTTCTAAATTGATTCCGAGCGTGGCGACATGCCGCGGCTACACAATTCACGGTCAGCCGCAGGCGCTACCCGCTGTGTCGCCTGCGGTTGTCGCCTGCAGCCCATTGGAATTGTACCTTTAAGCTAATGAGGAAAATAATAAACAGTGTACCTTTAATTTATATTATTATAAGTAAATGTGCATACAAGATTATTATTTTAACATTTAAATAAAAACATAACAAACATGAAATGTGTGCCTTATATTTTTATATCCCAATATTCTTATAGGTAGGTAGATAGGTACTTTGTATTAAGGGGTTACACGCAATTGCAAGGCCAAAAAAGGCGTTTCTTTTACATTTTTTAGGGTTCCATAGCCAAATGGCTCAAAACGGAACCCGTATGGATTTGTCATGTCTGTCTGTCTGTCCGTCCGTCACAGCCACTTTTTTCCGAAACATTAAGAACTATACTGTTGAAACTTGCTAAGTAGATGTATTCTGTGAACCGCATTACGATTTTCACACAAAAATAGAAAAAAACAATAAAATTTGGGGGTTCCCCATACTTAGAACTGAAACTCATTTTTTTTTATCAATCCCATACGTGTGGTGTATCTATGGATAGGTCTTCAAAAATGATATTGAGGTTTAAAATTTAATAGATTGCGCGAGACATACTTCCAAATTGGTAAAATGTGTCCCCCCCTGTACCTTCTAAAATAAGAGAATGATAAAACTAAAAAAAATATATGATGTACTTTACCATGCAAACTTCCACCAAAAATTAGTTTGAACGAAATTTAGTAAGTAGTTTTTTTTAATACGATATAAATAGTCAACCGCAATTTACCTTTCAAAAAAATACATTATTATTAAAACATTAGCCATTAAAACCATAAGCCATTAAAAAAAATCCTTAACTTATGTTTTAGTAGTATTGTGTGATTCCACCAAAAAATACAGAACGATAAGAAAGAATGCCTCTTTTTTAACCGACTTCAAACAAGAAGGAGGTTCTGTGTTCGACTGTTTGTATTTTTTTTATGTATGTTCACCGATTTCTCCGCCAATTGTGTTAACTTCAAAATCGAAAATGGAACTAAAAAGTAAAAAAATATCTGGTTAATGATTTGGATTTGGATTATATTTTTATTTGTAATTTTTCGTACATTCATGTGATGTAGGAGTTTAGAAAAAAATAATGTATTAAACGCCCATGGTGCCGGCCTGTGCTCTCCCCTATTGTCTAACTGGTTAGCTATTGAACTACGTTTAAACGTTAATATTTGCCCATTAGCGGCCTTGGCATATATATGGCTATTATTTGCAAAACTATTTAGTAAAGGTTGATGCAGTCATCGTTCATTTAAGCGGAGAAAGCCCTTAGTTAAAGTTCAGTGGTTTTACTTAGTGATGCTTTTTAATATTTTTGTGAACTAGGAAATAGTTATAAAAAGATTTATTTAATGTAGTAGTTATATTTTGTATATTGTGGCACGAATATAATTTATAATGTACATTATTGTGGCTGTAATGTAATGGGCTGCATGGCGAGCGCTCAAAGGATTAAGGATTCAGCTGCAAATATGTCTGTAAGTGAAGATCACTGGCTTATATTAAACATAGAATCAAAAATCATTTCATTATAGGGGGACCTTATGGAATAGGGAGATTAACTCTGAAAATCTGTATAACCTAACCTAATCTAAGACCATTATTACAATTATCCTGACTTCGTCTCTGAGATTTATTTTTAACAAGTATAAATCTCTTCGAAGTCAGGATAATTAAGCTCGAGCTTCACTTCAGGTTAGTTCGTTTGATCGTCTAATTTTTTCCACTAGAAATAATAAAAATCCAAAAATTTCAATTTATAGTAATCACCAAAGACCGGATTATATAAATATAAAGCCCAAGCATGCAAATATGCAAGAACAATTGCAAAATCAATGTTTTCTTGCATGATTTAGCCATATTTTTTAAAAAGAGCCAATATTTGCAACATGAATTATATAAATCGTTTTTTTTTTTAATTATTTTTTATATAAGGTATATTAAACAATAACAATTGTATGAATATTTGCATAAATATCTTAATTTCCATAATCTAATTAGCATTGATTTTTCTTTGGACTTGATCACTAGCAATCGATTCTCTCTTGTGTCACTTATTTTTTTTTGCTTGACTGATTTCAAATTGAAATATCTTAGCTAAAATAGCAATTACCATTATAATTTTCTATCTCAAACGTTAGGGACCTATCAATCGTGAAAACAGAGGTAAACTTTTTGTAAATGTATGTTTACGGCCTTTCCAGAGGAAATATTTGTATGATTCTCAAAAAATAGTACCTATATGATCACCAAAAACATACAATTGCAAACCTATAGTAATGTTAGATTGGCATTGTATTTTTTTATTTTAACCATTAACTATTTTTTGAGGATCATGTAAATATAAGACCTTGTTTATATGAAACCCAGCAATTCACACTCCACCTGATGTACCTACCTACTGATCATGGGTTTTCTTTCAAGGTGAGGTGTAAGTCAGTTGTTAACCGATTTCGAACATTAAAGGCAAAGGTTTATATCCGTCGTGTGTGTATGTCTATTCTTCCAAGCTTAGCTTATATATGTCGATATAATCGACTTCAAACATAAAAAGAGGAGGGTTTTTCAATCGCAGTCCGACATGTGGCCGGACGGTAGTGTGAAAGGGGAGACTGTTGTGGCTGCTCTTGTAAGGCTGGACGGGGAGATTGCCAAGAGCGAGAAGGTCCAGCCGGCAGCCAGGCTCGCGGTTGTGACCGCTGAGTTGGAGAGCATACAGCAGGTAACCGAGATCGCCATTATCATCATCAGCCTATCAATGCCCCCACTGTTGGGGGCACTGGCCTTCCTTATTGATGGAATAGGGAGATTGGGCCATGATCCACCACGCGGGCTCAGTGCGGATTGGTGGGGCTAACGGTTGTAGACAATTTAACGTGCCTTCCGAAGCACGGACCAGCTCGAGATAGTAAATTTTTGGTATTCCATCCAAAGACCGACCACTGCGAGTTTGTTTAACTTCAGCGATCGCAGACGAACGCGCTAAGCTAACCCACAGAACAGAAAAGTTCTGTGGAGTAAACCAATTGCGCGGTTGAGTTCGTCCGCCACACATTAAAGCCTCGACGACACGGGGCGAGTTTACAAGCTACAAGTTTGCTAGCAGCTCGTAAACTCGCCTCGTATCATCGAGTAGTAGATTGTTGAAAAGCCGATACCACGGGGCGAGTTACAAGCTAATGCAAGCAATTGCACTTGGTCGCTAGCCCGAATACGATTGCCAGTGGAATAAGTGTAAATGAACGGAGTCGAATACGCCCGTATTCAGGTAGTTTTCGTGTTGGTTACCCGACACCGTCTTCCAGACCGTAGTCCAGTGTAAATATTCCTTCGGGTGCCCGAATCCGAGCAATGTGTTTCGTGCACCCGAATACAGGCTAACGACCAAGTGAAGTCGAGCCATAAAACAAGCTAAGCAAACTCGCTGACATGTAGAATGTTGTTGAAAACAATGAAGTGAAAATTAAAGATAAAAAAAATACTAGATACTGTAGCTTTTAGTATCAAGAGTTTGATGTCGTTCTAGTGAACGATCAGGTGATCTTTGCGATAAGGAATACTGCTATAAAAGATTACGTAACATGAAAATTTTGCGTTACTTGCTATGAATTATTTCCTTGTTACCCCTTTTTTGCTGTCGTAATTAATGCGGTAGCAATTAATACTCAAGTTATCATCAATGCAATGGTCATTAGCTACCATAAAAAAATAATTATTTCTAACCTGCTTACAACAATAAGCCTTGCCCCAAAGTAAGCACTGTAAGGCTTGTGTTACGGGATACTAGGGTATCGGATAGAATACATAATAATACTGTACATAATGTATAAGCATACTCATATAGAGGTACATATAAACATCCATGACCTAGGTACAAATGCTTGTAATTATCACACTAAAATATGCCCCACCGAGATTCGAACCCGGGAACTCTGAGTTGGCGACACCTTGAAACTCTGCCGTACATACCACTCGGCCACGGAGGTCGCCAATCATAGATTTATTTCAAACTTTTCCGTTATCTGCTCAATCTGAATCCTGTATTGTACCAGACATCTGTGCCGTGATATACCAACAACGGGACCGTTATTATTAAAGAAGAACCATGATGGAAGTTTATGGTTTCGGACAAGTTTGGGACTAAATAATTTGAGTTCTTTATCAATTCAATATTTTTTAATTATTTGGCCACAGGAAATAAAAACGTTCGAGGAATCAACAAATTCATCACCCACTATTAACAAAGACACGTATGCAAAAACACTACATCAGGTAATGATTGAAAAAAGCATTGAAACAGTACCTATTTATGTAGACATAATTTATAATTCCGATTTTGTTAACATATTTTGTAACTTTCAGTTATTCATAAGCCTCGATATCTATAGACGTCCGATGTTAGCTTCAGAGAATGAAGACTTCATAGCGAATGTTAATCGCAAGGTAAGAAAGTAGAGTGAAGAAGTAAACATCAAATAGGTATAGGGATCAAGTACGTAATGCAAAGTAGGTGTTTTTAGATAAGTTGTTTATTTGTATAAACGTTACATATTTACAAAAATTACAAAAAAAACAAACAAATAATGAAAACAAATAAAAATCAAAAGTACCTATAAAGTGTGCCACAACGATTCAAAATGGCTACAGCTCAGTGATGATTTTGCCAAAGAGCAAAACACTAGTAGTAACTAGTAACTAAGTACTGACATTATGCTAAAAACGGTTCTAGCACTACTTGTCACACAAACATAACAAGCTAAATCAATAGGGGAGAAAAAAAGGAGGAAAATTATATAAAAAACCAATATATAAATATAATAGAACTTCAATACTTACTATATTATCACAAAACTTTATCTTACAACACCTAGACATACATATAAATATAAAACACATATTACACAAAACATGCTGTATGTTGACCTCAACGTACCTAACCCTTCCTCATACTCTATAACCATGTTTAGATCCACCACCAAGCCCTAACTTTACACCAGTAACTTTTGTTTTCTAGTAAAAACAGTTTATTTTTTTTCTTAAAATAATATTTTCTGTTAGCCTGTCTAACAGGAGGTGGGATGTGATTCCAGCATTTAGTTGCTTGGTGCCGGAAACTTCCTGTGAAACCAACAGTTTTGTGAGCATGGTAAGCTAATGGTGGTCGGACAGATCCTGGAATACCTGGCCTATAAGCTTCTGGAATACTTGGAATACCTGGCCTATAAATCTTTGAATGTTGAACATTTTAACTTACTGTAAAGATAGTCCGGATTTTTAGTTTTCATGAGGTCGAACATCAAAGTCGCAAGGTGTAACCATCCGCGTGATTTCATATTGAGCATGTCCGCGCCATTCAGAAAGGGCGATATGTGACTACGTGGTGGGACTTTGAAAATAAAGCGACAACATGCATTTTGTAACCGTTATATCAGTCGCTTCGTTTTATATGATGACAATCGCGGTCCACACACAAGATCTCGGTAATTAAGTCTTAAGGATAAGAGACCCGCTCAAAGTAATTCTTGTCTTTTTGGAAAGAAAATTGCGTATTTTGTACAACACCTTTAAACAAAAACCATTTCTAACCATGTTGCATTGCATGACACTAACACATGTGTTTCAAAGCGCAGCTGACCATCATAATGAAACCCAGATATCTCGGACTGTTTGGGAAACTAGTCTCAAGCAGCTCGCGATATTGTGTCCGTGATCCAAAAATAATAATTTTCATGTTTCAATTGATAACAACATGGTGTGGCAACTATAATAGATAATTGTGGTGCCACAATCAAATACGTAATTAACATTTCTTCACCACGGGACTCAAAGTCCACACACAGTAGAGATTTTGCAGCCCAAGTGCTTCTTTTTAATTTGAATCAACGTTATCTACGGTTTTTTCAGGAGATGCGCCGGCTGGAGCTAAGCTGGCTCCGCGTACGATTCGCGGAGTTGCAGCGGGAGAAGCGCGGTCTACACGCACAAATATTACGAACGCGCTCATTGTATGCGCAGTTGCAGCATCTTATAGGTGATTTGATATTAACATTTAGAAATTGAAATATTTTTGTGAAAAGTTGAAAAGTTTTCCTCATTGATTTTACTAAAAGAAGATGATATATCCGAGATATATCTTGGGCTTAGCCCTAATGGGAACCCCTGCGCAGGCTAGGGACTTTTGTCCGCGGAATTTTTTGTCCACCAAAGTAGATCGCTTATAATAACATCGTACAAAGTACCGCGTACAAAAAGTTCCCCGAATACACGAGGACGCAGAGTGGACAGTGTCCGGACTGGACAGAAGAACGCGGGAGTCCCTGAAAAATAAGAACTCATCACAATAGGCGCAGCAACGCACACAGCAAACTTAAACTGATATAATGAGTTGTTAGGGATGGGCCCAATATTCTATTTTAAAAGGTCTTCTTTCTTTCTTAAACTTCATGTTAATTACAACACAAAGTAATCTCAGAATATTTGCTTAGCGTGCACTTCTCTAAATTTTCGGGTGACAAATGTCCGCACACTTGTTCGTTATGCAAGTTCGCGGAGGACATATTTTTCAAGATTCAGAGATTTTTGGCCCCCGCTGACAAAAGTCCCTCGCCTGCTTAGGCCATAAAGGATAAGCTTCTTCTTTGCGACATTCTGGCATCACTGACTGATCGACTGCGGCTCCTCGGAATATGTCCACACTGCGACGCGTTTTATTGTTTTTTTGATCATGGGATGTTTCATAAAGTGCATTATGGATTTAAAAATTTCAGCATGGACCCTGTTACACTTTAGTGGATGAACTGTCGAAGTCGCCCTGGCATCGTTGAGCACTCGCCTGCGCGCGTCGTCGGAATGTGTCCACGTCGCGACGTTATTTAGTCATATTTAAGTCGTAATGTTTTAGAGAGCTTTCGAAGGCGAGTGCTTTGCGTGACACTCTGGCGTGCGTTGGTGAGCCGTCGCCGTCGTTGCAGCGAGTGTTTTTGCTTGCGTAATGTTTGACTAGACAGCATGGCGTGAATAGTTTCGGCCTGGAACCCCCGTTAGATGAAAAATAATCGAAGGCACCTTGGCGTTTTTGAGCGCTCGCCTGTGCGCCTCGTCGGAAAATGTCAATGCCGCGGCGGTATTTAGTCATTTTAATTCGTTATAATTTAGAGAGCATATGGAGCGGCAAGTCTCGGCCTGGCACCCCGTTAGAGGATAAGCTGTCGAAGGCGAGTGCCCTGCGCGACGCTTTGGCGTCGGTGAGCGCTCGGCTGCGCGCCGCCGCGGAGTATGCGCACGCCGCGGCGAGATTGGTGGACGACGCGATGCCAGCCTGGAAAATGACCTCAGTCGGGAAGTTAGTGATGATGTACATACTAAATTTCAATCGCTCTCAACTATTGTACTAAGTAGTTAAACTTTTTAAGGTGTGCCCGTGGCGGAATTAAATAAAGTAAAATACACTGAACAATTTTTAAGCTATATTTGCCAAATCATGTACTTGTGTTTTGTATTTTTTGACGTTCCACCAATTAGACACGAATACATATCTTGTTACAAAATTAACATTCATGTTTAAGTGTCAACGATATTATATTAAAGTAAGACACTGTCGCTAGACGTAGTGTCGCCTGCGGTTGCAGTCTGCCGCCAATCTCGGAATTGTATCTTAAAAAGATGTTACTAAGGTGCTGTTCGGATGTTAGCGATATGCAGGATTGTTTGTTTATCCATGATAATGTGTATGTAACAGGAGTGGATGGGAGCGCACGCTGGCGAGCGCGGACGCGTGCACGCTGCTGGTGCAGGCGCGGTGCATGGAGCGGGGCGCGCGACGCGTGCTATCCGCGCCAGCCGCCCCGCGCGCTGCGCGCTCCCTGCGCCTGGCACTCGACTACGCCTTCACCGACATTATGCACGACCACAAGTAATAACACTAACACAGGTGCAGGCGCGCTGCATGGAGTGGGGCGCGCGCCGCGTGCTGTCCGCGACGGCCACCCGCGTGCCGCGCGCTGCATGCGCCTCGCGCTCTACTACGTTTTCACCGACATTATGTACGAACCATAAGTAATGACACTTACAGTAGGAGTGAATGGGAGCGCACGCTGCTGGTGCAGGCGCGTTTTTGAAGGATCACTTGACATAATCTTGACTTAACTTTTTTTAAATAGTTATGGCCGTGCCTAATTCCTCGGGCTATGTGAAATTTTGGTGTGATATCGTGCAGTCTACACTAGTACACAAGCGATTGCACATTTCTGAAGGTGACTTCTCACTCTCATATACCTCTCGTCATTTGGCAATCTACCAGACACTTTCTTAACGGCCCAGGCCTCCACTGGGTCGAACGTCTTTTCATAATCCACAAGGGTTATTGGGTATTGGTTTCTGGTCTGCAGGTGGTAACAAGTGCTGTATCCTGATCTAAATTCCGCCTTCTCCCTTTGTTGGTATGAGTAGTGAGAATGGCAGCTCCGAAATGTGAAAACAATAAGGGGTTTATCCGCTACTGAATCACAAATCTGTAATTCATTTATCTAATCGGTAATCCTTTTACCGCTTGACTTTAATAAACATTTATATAGAAATTTTAACAACTGAATTACCCATTCCATGTTTTTCTTTGTCGCCGAATTCAGTTAATCATAATTTACTCTTCATACAGTGTTTTATTAAAATACCTATCATGTTTTGTATTTTCTTAGATATCAGAGGGCGACGGAAACTTTCATACAGTTTAAAGAAGCTCTCGTGCAGCTTATAAATTCGATTCATCAGGTGGGTACTTGTACTTGTATTAAGCGGATAAGTAAGTAGTGTACTTATTTAAGTTACGGGGTTGGCAGAGCATCTTTTTTTAGATAAATGAAAAAAAATCGAGTCCGTTTTACACATTTTAGGAGCCAAAATAAACAAACATGCAAGCAAACCTGATCGAAGACAGCTCAGAGAAGGAAATCCGAAGAGTTTTATCAAAATATATTTATGAATTGAATTATCAGATTTCGTTAAAATCTACGGCAACTAAGTAGTTAGTTGAGTTCTTAAAATTTTGTTTACATACGTTCTCCAAACGTGCAAAAGATGGATAACGTTGCAGTTAGAGTCACATAGGTAGTAAGTCTATGTAAGGCATAAACATGGATTTAAATATACGCCAAATATCTTCTTTTTTAGCCATCCACCATTTTTTAATATTAGGGAAATGCGTGACGCATACCTTGCCTCCGCGTGAGAGACGAGGATATGTGGGGTTAGCTATCCACCCACTTCTTTGATATGCTTTTATTACGGAACAGGAAAGTAAGGCCCATTTGCACCAAAGTTAATTTTAATTTAAAAGCTAATAATGTAAAACATTTAAGTCTCATTCTCAACAATTGGTAAAAAAATATGATGGTTATTGCGATATTTGTTTTTTGAACATTATGTATTAGGAAGGCTACGAAGTTACACACTTCTGCGATAAAAATGATGCAATGGAGATAGGATAAATTATTGCTACAACGCATTTGGTATAATGGACTGATAATAACGTGCCTAACTGCCTATGAGGGAAAGGCTTGAATAGAAACTTTTCTAAATAAAAAAAACCTTTTTAAATTAACCAAAAATAAACATAACAGATATCAAAACGTAAAAAAGTTAATACATTCTCGTTGATGGATGTCATTTCAAGATATTATGACTTGTCAATAAAAGCTTTATTTATTTATAAACTTTTATCTCAAATATGTTTAAATCAGCGAACAAGCTTCTTATCAGTCGTCATGTATTACAAAACGTGCACAAAATACGGTTATCACGAAAACCGAAATATCCAGAGAATAAGCCAAAAGATGTAGAAATATTCATCAATGGCAAATCTGTAAACGTGCCGAGTTACTTCACCATCTTACAAGCTTTGCGTAGAGAAAAAGTGACTATACCATCCTTTTGCTATCATGAACGTCTGTCTATAGCTGGCAACTGCAGAATGTGTCTCATCGAAGTAGAAGGCGTACAAAAACCACAGATAGCTTGCGCCATGCCTGTAGCCAAAGGCATGAAAATAAGAACTAATTCAGAGCTAGCAATGAGAGCACAAGAAAGCGTTTTAGAATTTCTACTAATAAACCATCCACTAGATTGCCCCATTTGTGACCAAGGAGGCGAATGTGATCTTCAGGATTTATCTATGAAATTTGGCAATGATCGCTCGAGATTTACTGATGTACATTTCTTGGGGAAACGAGCTGTGGAAGACAAACTATTGGGCCCTCTAGTGCGAACAGAAATGACGCGTTGTATTCATTGTACGAGATGTATTAGATTCGGAATGCAAGTCGCCGGTATGGATGTCCTGGGAACAGCTGGTAGAGGCACCGACATGCTCGTAGGAACTTATGTCGACAAGATGTTTCTTTCAGAATTGTCTGGCAATATAATAGATCTGTGTCCAGTAGGCGCTCTAACCTCGATTCCATATATGTTTAAAGCAAGACCTTGGGAAATTTTGAGGACGAATTCAATCGATGTCACTGATGCAACTGGAACCAATATAGTTTTAAATTATAGGTATGATAGATTGCTTAGAGTTTTGCCTCGAGAAAATGAAGAAATTAATCAAGAATGGTTGTCAGACAAAGGTCGCTGGGCGATTGATTCGTTAGAAATGCAACGAATAGTCACACCGATGTATAGATCAGAAGGGTGTTTGGTTTCGACCGAATGGGACATTATTATGAGAATGGTTGGTAAAACTATTTCATGTGCAAAACCGGAAAACGTTATGGCCATAGCAGGTCCTCAATGCAATGTTGAAACTTTAGTTACTTGTAAAGATTTTTTGAATATGCTCGGTTCGGAACATACCTATATTGAAAGTGAAATGTGTCACACTATATCGGGTAGCGATTTAAGGGCTGCCTATTCTTTGAATATTAATATGAAAGATATAAGCCAAGCTGACAAAATTTTATTAATTGGTACCAATCCAAGATTTGAAGCTCCAATTTTGAATGTTCGAATCCGTCAAGCATATGTGAATAATGATTGTGATATTTATGTTATTGGTCCTAAGTGTGACTATAACTATCACGTAAATTATTTAGGTCCAGATATTAATTCTATATCGAAAGCGGGAGAAGTTATGAAAGGAGCACAAAGGCCACTAGTTTTTATTGGAATTGCTCAATCGGAAACCGCTCTCGGTGGAAATATACTAAGCAAATTAAAAACCACACTGAGTTCGTTAAAGGCTCCTCGTAATTGGAATATTATAAACTTTATAACTAGGGAGGCTAGTTTCGCTGGTGCCCTTGAAGCAGGTTGGAAAAGTGGAGGTTTAGATGCTGTGCAAAAATACAAACCATCCGTATTAATCTCACTAGGAGCAGATGAAATATTTTATGACTGGAAGCCCCCTACGTCTTGCTATGTTATTTATATCGGGTATCAAGGTGATCGAGGTTCTGAGGTTGCCACTGCAATCCTTCCCGGCAGCGCTTATACAGAAGCTGGTGGTTTATTTATGAATATGGAGGGCCGGGCACAGCATGCTATGCCAGCGGTGACACCGCCGGGGAAAGCTCGCTATGATTGGAAGATAATTCGCGCACTTGCCGAATATAGTGGCATAAATCTATATTATTCGGATCGAAATTCACTTTGTTGCAGGCTTGCAGATGTTAGTCCCAATTTCACATATTTAGGACAGTATCAGCAAAAAGTTTTTTGCGATCTTCTTCCGTCATTAGCAAACGTCGTTAATTGCGACACTGGGACACTAGAAGTGGATATGAAAGTAATGAAAGATTACTATTGTTCCGATGGTTACACGTACAACTCTCCAACCATGATAAAGGCGCAGAAAGCCGCAACTGAATTTGCTACCTGTTCTTACGCCGCAATTTAGAACAGTACTTTAAAAAAATCTAAACGTTTATTTAAAAACAAAATAAAGTTTCATCATTTACTAAATCTTGTTTAGTTACGCTGAATACAAATTCCTCTGAAGATCAATCTAATATAAACCTACAGATCACTGAAACTGTACATAGTAGGTACTTCGGAAACGTCGTTACCACAAATAATTGTACTCGCTACGTCCGTAGAAGCTTCGTAGCTTTTCTTTCTCCAATGGATGATTCTGCGTTTCCTTAAAAATCAGTCGCGGGTCAATTTCTATTATTTCGTCATTCTTTCATACCAATTTTAGCAAAATGTAAGTAAATGCTTACTTCGAGCTTAATAGCTGCCAAGATTGTAAAAAGACGGACGCTATGACAGCAATCTTCAAAAACAGGAACCTGTAAAAGTTAGTCGAAAAAAGTTGAAATTTGTCACGCAGTACTTCATCTATTATCAATTTAATGAATAAATATGGACAATGAGATGGTAATTTTTCATTAATGTTTCCGAATAAAACGGCGCTAACCAATGTGCTAAAAGTTTAAGCCTCTGTTAACGCCCTAGGATATATTTACCGGTAAACATGTATGTAAAAACTTCTTCGATTAATCTTGGTAGATATATTTTGTTCATGGCGTATGTAAATTGATGCAGGTTTTGCTGAACAACTTGGAGAACCTATCGCTGGCTGAGGAGGACGTGGCGAAATGCCGTAAGGAGCTGCGCGCGACCAGGGTCAACGACATTGTGCAAAAGGGGCTCGGAGACCTCACATACAAACCGAACGCATTAACCAACTTGAAGTCGCAAATAAAATAGTTGAAACAAATTTTCTGAGACATTTTTCGGGAGTAATTTAATGGATTTTAAAATATTAGCAGATTGATTAAAGCTTAATTAAAAGTTTATTTTTTTAATAACTAGTGGATTATCTCTTAGGATTTAATGTTTAAGGACTCTTCATTGGTCTTTTCTTGTTATGACCTCTTCCGGATTCGACCACTACTTGTAAAGCTTAGTTCTTGTATGAACAATTTTTGCTTTTAACTTGACTGTCTTTACTGCGGTGTGCAAAAATACTCAACTTTTTTATGTCTTCGTGTGAACGTAGCGTAGCTCGACAAAAGATAATCCATAAAATAAAAACATCACTACAAGTAATAATAACATAATAATTATGATTACATCAGTAACATAACATCATTGTTGTTATAGAAAAAATGTTTCAACATATTATCCTTTTGTACACTGAAAGAAGGTGAAAAAAAAAATGGTGATTCCAAAAACAGTCATATTATGAAACAATATAAACAGTCATATTATGTCATATTATGAGGTAGCTTTGCAGCAGTGGTCATAACTAGAAAAAGTCGGATGCGGATGCAGTCTTTTCAAGAAGTGTTCTCCAAATGTATAAACCCATCCCTTAGGGTTGTCTAAATATTTTTGAGGTTCCCAAAACAAGTGCTACAAATAGTAGGAATTTACACTGTTCAAAGAATGTATTTATCCGCAATAAGCGCATGTATCATAATATTAAGTAATTTTGCCAATAAAAAAAGAAAGTGAGAAACAAAAAGTGTTTTTGGCTTAAGTCAGTTCTAGTCAAGTTCTAGTAGTGATGAAAGCTACTTATTTAACGAAGTAGCCTTTTCAAAATATGAGGACATTCACTATTATGTATTACCTATTTTAAATACATACTATGTGTTAGAAACTAGCCATCAGGTCGGACTCTTAATGGGTATACTTTTTTATACGTCTATGTTCTTATATGTCATTATTGCTCTCTGTTTTGTTCTGTGCTCTCTTCTGTTCCTGTCTATTATCGTCGCTATATATTTTGTACGTTTTCCTCACGTTTTCCTATTTTATAATATTATAGTTTCATTTTGCATATAACTGTTTTTATCGTAAAATGAGTCAAAAAGGAGAGATTGTCAAAAAACTGCTTTTAGGCGCCATTATTCCAATATGGCGGCGCGATCGGCAAAAATACAAGATGGCAAAGTCAAAATTCGGAAAAGGCACCTTAAAATCACGTAAAATATTTAAAATTACCAATTTTCGAAACTCCTGGGAAACTTTCCAGGTAAAACTATCAAATAACAAAACTATCAAGTGTTATATATTCCATGTATCATTTACGTAAAGAAAATCGACAATGTCATTAAAGAAAATTTATTGTTTTCTGCTCCAACAAAATAAATATCAAAAATACTTCATATTTATAAAAAAGATTCACTATTACAAGTTATTCAGGAACAACTAATTAATCATATAAAAAAAAGACGGGGCACTCCCGGATTGCACTCCGGGAGTGCCGGCAGAAGTGAAAACTTGAATATTAACGTTGTGTATTTTTGATATTTTAGAATGGCTAGGGAATAATTTTGCACGAATTGCTTTAATTATCAGTAACACTTTATATACACGAATTTTACGAATACACAGTAGTGTGGCCACTACACAGATGGTCGAGCCATCAGCTGTCACCATCTATGGACGCGCGTGGCACGCTGTAACATAAACACACACGAACGATACTTCCTTTCCTACGTTGCGCCGGCTGTCTACTCTCCATCCGTCTTACGAATTTTCATTCAGGTCACCTGTCCTGACGCAAGTTGAAAATTTTTTACCCATTACAAAAAAAAGTGTACAACGCCGCTAAAGAAGTTTTCGTCTTATGAATTTTCGATCAGGTCACGTGTCCTAACGCGAGTTGAATATTTTTTGCCCATTACAAAAAAAGTACAACGTCGCTAAAGAAGTTTTTACTTATAAAAAAATATAGAAAACTTTGTAACATTGTACGTTAACTAAAGAATATTTTTTATAAAATTTTAACTAAAAGTTCTTCAGTTTTTACCGTAAACTACGTCAAAGGCGAAAATTTTAATTCTATACCTTACTATAAACATTATATACATAAAGAGTGAGGGAATCTAATACATACAGCTTCGGAACCGCGCGCGGGAAACAAGATGCGAAATAGCGTTGATAATGGGAGTTTCTTTACGTAATAAGGGGCCCTAGCATGAGAAAAAATACCGTTGGACGTTTACTGTCGCATCCGAAGCTTTTAGCCCTAGCCACGCATTCAATCAGGACGCCGCCGCCGTGCCGCAATCAGTCGCGCGATCCATAAATTTCACGGAAGTTGCCGCTGCGCGCTGGGGAGAGCTTAAATACTGTCTAGAGTTAATAAAATCTGTAATGATATTCTCTTCCCCAAGAAAAGTTTAACGTAAACATTTGTAACGCTATTCTTTCCAACTCCTATTTTAAATTTCGAACCGTAGGCGTTGGAACCGTCTTGAGAGTTCAGGAGCAATTTATTAAGGAACTGCCCTTGGGTTCTAAGTCTATTGGCTGTCGGAGGATTTTCAGCCGGGAAACAACTCCAACGTTTGAACCGTAACAGAAAGTCGTCGGCGGAACCTACCTTCGACCTATCTGCAGACGAATAATCCCAGGCCTGTGTTGCTCTCTATTGCCCGCCTTCACCTGCGAAGTTGCGACGGCCACAGAACTAGATTTGGACAATATAAGAATTTATTGTCTATCAAGCAATTCTTTTATTTCCGAACCCACGATTTGCGAGCCTTGCGGCTGCAACATGTCCATACGGGGAGCGCTAAATAGAAAAAATCCAATTATCCCTACCAGTATGGATCAACTGGTAGCGATAAATGGAAAAAAAACTCCAAGTATCTATACTAGCGGAGATTTGTAAGTAAGGATATATGGAACAGGGGAATGTAAGCACTGTAGGGCTGGTATTATGGGATACTACGGAAATGGATAGAATACATATACTGGTACATATATAAGTATATTTATGTAGAAATACACTTTAAATACAAATGCCCGTATTCATCAACACAAACATCTATCCCCACCGGGATTTGAACCCAGGACCTCTCGAGTAGGCGACACCTTGAAACCCGGCGTATATACCATTCCACCACGGAGGTCGTATAGAATAATGCTAAATCAGGAATGTCACAGGTACCATGTAGGTACTTAATGAATTTATGAATAAATAAAAAGCATTATTATAAAAACACAATCAAATTTATTAAATATCAAATATTGTATTGTCTAACACGATTCCTTAACTATCATGTTTCACATCAATATGTTGTGATGGCATTAAGATAATACGGTTACAAATACATTATATGGTTGAAAGTATATTATATCAAGAAAAGATAAAGACAATATAGGAAAGATTGGATAAATTGAATAGCAACATTATAAATAATCATTATTATCATATTGTCAAGAAGGAACGGGAAATTGATACAAATCATGCTCTGTGTACAAATAGTAATGACTTGTTAATTAAATTTGTATGACCATATCCCGATAAAGTCTCAAAAAACAGGGCCTTATAAAAGTCAATAACGAACAGTCAAATATCTGAGACTATCGTTTTGGTATCACTTTATAAACATGAAGATCTTAATAGTGGGAAAAATAGAATTCTGATATCAAAAACAGTGAAACTAAACGTAAAGTAAGATGAAGGAAGTAGACGAGACATAGAGCACACTCACGTTTATGAATACATAATTATACTTCTCACAAATACATGGGCTTAAATGCAAAATCTACAAAAAAGTGTTATACACGATTATTATTCGAAACTGTATGATCAGTTAATGGTAGGGCTTACAAACTATTCGTAAAGTAGGTTTTTGTGCGCCAAAGCTCTACTGGGATGATAATTTAAGCATTCGATATTTTCTGCAATGAGCTTGTTGGTAAAACAATTCCATTGCAGTAGTCGAGACTAAAGGTATTATAATTTATTAATAGTCTGATATGTGGTATGATGTGTCACGTCTTATTTGGTCAAAAGAGCGAATGCTCCTTGCACGACTCAAAGTTGGGCAGTTTCTTCCTATTCACCATAAAAATATTCACCATTATAATAAATGCAATAAAATGATATGTCCTGGGGTTAGCTAGCCTTTACTTCCCCAAGAAATATAAGCAATTTAAAACTGGTCACAATGGATAATTTTCATTTAAAAGTGTATTTAAGTCAAAGTTAAGTATATAACCGTTTCATTAACATAAGAAGATTGTTTAGTTGCTATGTTTAAAATGATCGGGATTATAATAGGTGTTCTTGCAAATGAACGAGCGTATGTAGCAGATATATCAAACGACAAACTAGGCACTCAACTATTCAGTAGCTGAAATGATGTTAATTTGTTACAGTGCAGTGACGTTATACCTAACGAATTTATATGTCTAATGCTCTGATTACAGACCAAATAGATGGAGCGCATGGTACACAGATTGCATGCTACCAAAGCAAATTAGTAAAAAGTAATGCTTTTTTTGTCTTTGTGTACAGTTTTTACAATTTTTGAACAAAGCGGCACAGTTTTGATAAAAACTTAATATTCACGGGACGTATTCACAACACGATGTGTCGTAGCGTACTGACATGAGTTGGTACTCGGTTTTGACTTGATATTTGCTTTGGTAGCACGCAATCTATGTACCGTGTGCTCCGCCTTTAGCTCTGTAATCTGAGGTCTAATGGTTCAACAATGTTACTTGACTGTAGGTATAAGAAGTAAGTTTGAAATTTTTCGAAGCCGTAATGGCTTTAAACCTAATCTCGCACTACTATTCCAAACAGGACTGGATTTAAGGCCAGGCGGGGCTGTGGTTCAGGGGCCCGCACTCTTTTCTGGCCCCATGGCCTCCACAACTATAAAACCCGCCCCGATTCCAACATTATTTTAATATTTTACATTATTATTCGAAAACTGCTATCTGCTACCCAGTTCGTTTTGGTAATGGTACAAAACTGTCTAAATAAGCTTTTTTACAGGTATGTATTAAAAACATGGAAGCACTCCCGCGGACAGACTGTTTGCTGATTTTAGTAATTAACTTTACGCCAAAGATGAATGACTTCAGTAATTCACAAAGCTAATGAATATTGAAATTTAATTCCCTATATTTCAGCAGTACCATTAGCCACAACAATATTCAGGTTAATAGGTATAGCAATATTCATTGAAGGGTACAATTTATCCGAAATTAGTGTCACAAGTGTATGGTACTAAAGATACAAAGTTGCATCACTTGTACCATCAATGCGCAATGGTACTAGCCAATGGGACTACTGATAAAAAGGGCTTTAATTTTATAGCTGAAATTAATTAGACTTAAATCGTAATGACGATATCCATCAAATATTATTATCATTGATATCACATTTGATTTCAGTTGGTATGTAGATATCGTACAAACATGAAGTCTCATTTTCAGCACTAAATAAGAACGTGTTCATTGTTCTTCGGAAACCATCATATATATTTTGCAAAATGATGATGATAGATTTATTACCTATTATCGATTTACAAAAATCAAGTCAAAGGTTTATGAACTACTTTCCAGCTAAAACTCTTCATTACAACACTTAAGCGCAATAGCGTTTACAGTCATACCCTTTTTAATAGTATGTTTACAATATAGTGAAAATAAAAGCAAGTCCATATTCAGAAAATTACCAGCCATCAAATCACGATTGTAAATATAAGATTGACGGATATTAATAAATGCTTAACAAACCACAACTTGCTGAAAACAAATATACAACGCACGTCTCTGTCAAGGCTTTTAGTTTTTTTTAACTAAAGATATTTATTTAATTAAGTATGTAACGTAACAAATTGTAAAACATACATTAATTTAGTATCAACGAAACAACGTAACAGTATTATTAACCCAACCTTCGGACCAGGGGGCTACGAACAGACAACGAAACCTTGGAACATAATTGTCCATCGTTGGAGCCTACCAACCGGTGCTGGCGTTATCCAATCTTGAGACTCAAGATTTATCAGTTTTTAGCTTAAACCTTTGTGATTGTCTTCAACCTCTTGCTCCTGAGGCATCTGTGAAAGAATAAAAATAAATATTGGACAACATCACGAGGTTTCGCCCTGCGCATCGTCAGCTAAAGTGAATGATATTCGTTGGCTTTTTCAATGAAATTAAATTCAATATTCATTTATTCAGTTTAGGCTTTTACGTGCACAAAGTCGAAAGTTACGCCATCGGTTCGCAAATCTACGGCGGGAGACTTTGTACTGAGGAAAATCGATAAGAAACTCAGCAAGGGGGTTGTTTTTTTCTTCGTGCATTATTTCATACAGTGTCGTCAAATTGAAAGCTGACATCAAACTTATAAACATGTATTGAGGTCAACTTCTATCACATAATGTAAGAAAGGTTACAATAAATATACAAAAGCCCCGAAATATCCAGTAAAAAATTTTCAAAATAAATGAGCAAGTTTAAAAAAAGACTTTTCTGAAAGTAACAATTACGATTAGTACTCCTAGCATGAACCATTATCGAATTTGAATAGTTTGCGAGTGCGAAATGTCAATGTCAAATTTTGTATGAAAACTTGAACAGCATGCTACAACGGACGTAAAGAGAACTAAAAATCAGTACACATTTGACAATGACATTTCGGACTCGCAAACTATTCGAATTCGGTATTGGTTCGTGCTAAGGGTACAGGAGGTTTTATCATTCAAATATTGTTTAACTGTAACAGTATAATATCCTTTTTAAGCAAGCAATTTTAATGTGTTTTTTAAATTCATTTAGAGGCAAATCAAGAATATCATTGGGGATATTTTTATAGAAATGTATACCTTGACCCATAAATGATCCATGAATTCTATGTAATTTAAATACAATGGTAACTTAAGTTTGTTTTTGTTCCTAGTATGAAAAGTATGTACGTCACTGTGTTTGAGGTAAAAGTTAATATTGTTTCGAACAAAAAGTTTACAATTGTAGATAAATTGCAAAGCAACGGTCAAAATCTCGATTTCTTTAAATTATCCTCTGAGAAATTGTCTTCAGTTTAGTTGATAAATAGCTCTTATAGCATGTTTTTGCAAACAAAAATCGTCTCAATATCAGCTGCTGTTCTCCAAGAACATTCTGCGACTCCTCCCAAGCCTACTTTAAATGACTAATAAGTGCAATACCCGCATCAGTCGTAGATCTACTTCTAGTAAAGCCAAATTGATTTGTATGTTCCAGTTTATTCTAATTCAAGTGTGATATTAATTGATCTAAAATTATTTTTTGGAAAATTTTACTTAATACCGGCAATACAGATCTCATCTCCAGATTTAAATAGAAAATTATATTTATAACTTTACTACATTTCATGAGGTCTGGAAATACTCCCTGATAATAGACTGGCTAAAGCACGATATCACATAGGTAAAAGTTAAGGTACCATAAAGGCACCATGATCGAGAAAACTTGATCAAAACCAGCCTAGGGCTTTAATAAGGGCAAACAAAAACCCTAATATCTGTATCATTTTTATTATTTCATAAATATAGCAAAAAGATTTATAGTCTGCGTAATCGTCAGTCTGCGTGCAGAAGGCGTGTCGCATATGCGTTGTCTACTCTGTCTCTGACCTGCTGTCATAAAGTGATCATGGCGGCTTCAGAATCTCATTCGAGGAAGACTACTCCACAGAATAATGTATAAACAAATAGCAGGAATCTTACAAGTCCTAATAAAATGGTCCTCGTTATTTTTGATAAAACATAGAGTAAATTTTTTCAGGCTAAGTTCAAAGACATAACGAGAACTTTAAATAGATATTTTACCTAATGAATCCACGGTAAAGCATAAAAGCGCCATAAAAGCAGAGTACAGTGGTTGCCGTCCACACAACTGCCAATACAGAACTGCTGCCCTCTGTAAGAGAAATTTGTTTTTATATAAAGCGGTCACATACAAATAGCATAAAAATATTGCTTGAGAATAATTTAGAATTTTATATTTTGCAATTTCCCAGTGATTGGGTATCAACGTGTCTGTTTTTATTTTATTTTTGTGTGTGATGGAACACCTATTAGATTTTACCGTATTTATGTAAGTTTTGTGTGTTCGATTTAAATAACGTTAACATTTTATAGGTACATTTTTAGGGTTCCGTAGCTAAAAAGGAAAAACCGGAACCCATATAGGATCACTTTGTTGACCTTCCGTCTGTCAAGACCGTTTTTCTCAGGAACGTGTGAAGGTATCAAAATTCCTCCCCCATCCTAAATCCTGGCACTTCTCAAGGCTGACTCTAACGAAGGATTTTGGTTCTACCGGAAAACGGTAGGAGGCACAGCTTCTCCCCGCGCGGGTCCAATGACATCAGAACCAAAATTACTTCAGAATGTGGCTTTATGCTCACCAATGTAGCTGTCGTGGTAGACGTCAAGATCGAGCAGTACCGCTAGGCTCCACTGCCATCAGGTCTGGGATCGAATCAGTATGTGGCTTTCTACTCACAATGTAGCCGTTGTGGTGAACCTCATGATCGAGAAGCACCGCGCGGCTTTCATCAGGTCTGGTACTTCGTCATTATGTAGCTTCCAACGCGGAGAGGAGCCGCGTCCGATCCAGCACCTTAAACAATCGGATCAACCATCAGATCCAGCACCTTAAAAAATCTGGTTTTGTACGCACCAATGTAGCCGTCGTGGTAAACATCATGATCGAGCAGCACCGGGTGTGGCTTCTCCCCGCGTGGTTCCACTGCCATCAGGTCTGGTACCTCGTCAGCCTCGCCGGTGCAGTTCGCCCATTCAATCGTCACGTATCTATACAATTGCAATTTTATCAATTATCGAATGCGTTGGAATAATAACACAATGACGATATAATTTTCTTCAAGGTGGATTTATGCTTGACTACTGTTATGAGTACAACGAAGTACGAGTATATATGAGGAGCTGGCGAACAAAACAGTATAATTAATTGACCAGATGGTTAAAATTTTTTTTACAGTTCGGAGGTTTCGGGACCGTTGAATTTGAATCTCAAATAATTTCCAACCAAAACCACCGAAAACAGTGTTTAAATAACTAAATTTATAACTGAGGTATATACTTCAGTTTTATACAGCTCCTGTAATTTTTTTTTCATTTATTTACTGGAAAACCATCTTCCGTCCTCGTAACACGCAAGGGGTACAATATGATCGAACCTAGACGGAGTGTTGCAGGCCCGGCGCGCGGGCACCAGCAGCTGCCTGGTGCGGGAGCGGGCGCCGGCGCGGCACGGGCCCCACGCGCCCCACGGGCCCGGCGTGCCCGCTTCCGACTCCCTGCAGCCACACTCTACCTCACACACTTCCTCCTCCTGATACGAAATAAGTACAAAAATTTATTTCGGCCTTTACGACGTGCGGAATCGATCTACATTTTTAAGAATCTCGTGAAGTCCCATTATTTGTCTTTGTGAAATTGTTGTAATAAATCTCTTTTGTAATTTCTACCGACTGGACTAGATTTGTGTATGTATTTGTATGTATATGTTAATATGTATATATTCATAAATATAAAATATATGTGTATTTGTTTTTGTATGTATATGTATATATTAATAAATTACATTGAAATTTACGCCGCCGTCTCTCCCACTTCCTTCTAATCCTCTCCATCCAAAGGTTGTCTGGAAGAGATCGCGTTTAGCGATAAGGCCGCCCATTGTAACACTTGATTTAAATGGCCTTGTATTTATTGTAATGTTTTCTGTGGTGTACAATAAAGTGTTATTTGTATTGTATTGTACATTTGGCTAAATTCAATTCAAATGTATTAAATAAAAAGTCAGAATTTCAGTAGCAGTCTTGTCGTCTGAATTTAGAAAAACGTAAAGTTGGGTTGATTTAGTTTAGGAAAATGCTAAACAGTGTATTATATATAATAGGTTTGTTGTTTTATGAACGAAATTGCTTACTGATTTCATCAAGTAATGTCGACTATTATGTACCTGGTAGTGTACCGTGCCTGGGATGGCGAGCATAATCTATTTCGACTTTTTAATTTTAACTTTTGTTTCTAGTATTTGTGATACTTGATAGCGGGCCGGGAAGTCTTCATGTAAGTAAAAGGCAGGTTCGGATGACGAATTGTTTAATGTCTGATCTCATGGACGTGTGGAAACGGAAGTGTAAAACCAAAGACAACATTTCTAATTAACAATCGGCAATAAACAATAATAGCATTGGATAGATACATAACATCTTCCCTTTTTTTTTTAAGCTGTTGTTTTACAATAAATTAATTAAAACTATATAACAAAAATAGTAATTAATTTTAACAATGAAAACCAAATGGTAAAATGTGTATTGACGGAACGCAACAGTGCTCTGTGGAACCAGTGACATTATATGCCATTGACATTAGCAGCTTTATTTCAATCAACAAAAATGCCAATCATGACATGAGTACAAACAAACAAAATAAATACGTGATTTTACATAGTTCTACAAACAAACAAAATACGTGATTTTACATAGTTCTACAAACAAACAAAATACGTGATTTTACATAGTTCTTACAAGTTGCATTCAAGATTTTTACATATTATTTACATGAATAAAGGAAATGCCCATTTTAACTGAATGCGGGAATAAAATAATGATAACATTACATTTCTATATATGTAAAAATCAATCTTCACTGTACCTACGAGGTTTCCTAATTTGTCGACCCCAAGATGAGTATTTGACACTATCATGTGAATTATTCTGATTGTTTTGTGTTTGTGTAACAGGTATGTCTATATTTGTGTTTTTATTTTCCAGGTGCAGGGGAGAAGCAGGAGGACTTGGCGAGGCAGTGGGAGTTGTGGACGGCGCCGAAGAGGGACGAATTGGGGTTTGAGGTTTCATGATGTGAACCCTATTCCGACGGAATGAACCTTCGTTAGAATCAACAGTGTATGATCTTGGTTTTTGATCTGTCTCAGTGATAATGCCTGGTGTCCAAACACTCTGTGGATGTTTTTTAAAGTATACCCTATCCCCTTTTTGTAATGTAGGTAAGTATCTAGAATGTTTATTGTAATAAAGTTCTGAATAATCTTTTTGTTCTTTCATTTTTTCTCCAACTTTATTGTAATCTGGGACTTCTGGCTGTAGAGACTGATTAGTTATGGGTAATCTAGCTCTTAACGTTCTCGACATAAGTAATTGAGCAGGAGAGCACAGACCATGTTTGGGAGTATTTCGATATTGTAGAATAGCTAAATGAAGGTCAGTTTTGTCCATATAGCATTTCTTTATTATGTTTTTTATTGTACCAATTGCTCTTTCAACCATACCATTGGAGCGGCTATGGTAAGGACTAGAAGTGATGTGCTCGATTTGCCATTGAGAAGTGAAAATATCAAATTCATTAGAGTTAAAAGGAGGGCCATTATCAGAATGCAAAAATCTAGGAATGCCATGTCGAGCAAATATAGATTTCAAATGAGAAATAACATTACTGGCAGTGGAGTTATTATTGAGAAGGGCAAGTTCTACATACTTAGAGAAGTAGTCTACAACTAGTAAGTACTTCTGTGAATTAAAATCAAATAAATCTACACCAACTTTGTACCAAGGAATAAGAGGAATTTCCTGGTGACATAATGGCTCTTTAGTATTATTGCGCCTGAAAGTTAGACAAACATGGCATGAATTAATATAAATTTCAATATCCGAATAGATATTAGGCCAATAGACTGAATTTCTGGCTAGACTTTGGCAGCTCTTGATACCTTGGTGACCTTCATGCAAGAGTTTCAATATATCATTTCTAAGAGAGATTGGAACAACAATATTATTATTTTTTAGGATTATTCCATTTAAGACTTGTAATTCATTTTTTATTGAGAAATAGGGTCTTATGCTTTCAGGGAGATTTTTTTTATGTTCTGGCCATCCATTAATACAGTAGGACTTAATAGTGATTAAATCCTTGTCTTTGGCAGTATGATCTTGAAATTCTTTTAATTTATAAGGGCTAATGGACAATGACTGAAGTACCAGATTGACATGAAGATCTATATCAGTCTCTAGGTCAGTTAAAGCTGGGTCTGGTAAAGCTGATCTTGACAGTGTGTCTGCTACATACAAATATTTCCCTGGCTTATACTGTACTGATATATTATATGGTTGGAGTCTAAGCATGATTCTTTGTAAACGGGCTGGAATACTGTAAAGTGGCTTTTTGAAAAGTGAGACAATGGGTTTGTGGTCTGTTTCCACAGTGGCATGTCGACCATAGATGTACTGGTGAAATTTAGTACATCCGAAAAGAATGGCTAACAGTTCCTTTTCTATTTGGGAGTAAGCTTGTTGTGCTTGACTAAGAGAGGCAGAAGCATATGCTATTGGCTGTTTTTCGTGACTTATGACTGCCCCCATAGCATCTTTGGATGAGTCAACTGACAGAACAATGTCTTTGCTTTGATCATAAAATGCCAACACTGGTGCTTCTGAAATTTGAATTTTTAGGTTCTCGAACTCCTTATTTTGCGAATCTGACCAGTCAAATTTTACATTCTTGGATAAAAGGGATCTTAAATTAGTGGTTTTTTGTGACAAATTTGGAATATATGACCCTAAATAAGTTACCATGCCCATAAAGCGTTGTAGTTCAGATAGATTAGTGGGTGGTAACATTTGGCATATTGCTTGGACTTTAGCCGGATCTACACTTACACCATTCTCACTAAAAACATGTCCCAAGTATTTGACCTGAGATTGACAGATATTGGACTTGTCTTTATTAAATTTAATGCCTATTTGTTCAGCTCTTTGTAGAACACATTTTAACCTTTCATCATGTTCCTCCTTAGTTTTGCCATGCACGAGCAAATCGTCCATCATGACCTTGACCCCATCAAGGTCACTGAACCTTCTGGTCATCTCTGCGTGAAAAATTTCAGGAGCCGCATTGATTCCAAAGGGGAGCCTAAGAAAACGATAACGACCAAATGGTGTTATGAAGGTACATAGCTTTGAGGAAGCTTCATCTAGTTTTAGCATATAAAATCCCTTATTGGCATCTAAAGTAGAAAAAAATTTTGCACCTGTTAAACTAGTTTTTATTTCATCTATAGTAGGGAATTGGTAGTGAGCTCTCATGATTCCTTCATTTAGCTTCCTGGGATCTATGCAAAGTCTAAGTTTTCCATTTTTTTTTAGAAGTAAGTACTATTGAATTGACCCAGTCAGTGGGTTCATTGACTTTAGTTATTACTTTGTCTTTTTCTAATACTTCTAGTTCCTGTTTTAGGTCATCAAGTAAAGAAAAGGGAACTCTGCGACATGCAACTACAGAGGGGACAGCATCTGGTTTTAAAGTAAGGTGACATTTGAAATCTGTCAAAGTACCTATTCCTTCGAACAAATGAGAATATTCTGATAGTAAGGAAGTGTTATCAAATGTGACATTGTGTATTCTTTTGACAAGTTCTAAGTATTCACAACTTTTTCGGCCTATGACATTTTGACAGTTAAGATCTATTATGTGAAAGTTAAGCAAAAACTTTTTGTTATTATGTAGGACATTGACTTCACATTGACCCACAGTGGGGAGTATTTCACCACTGAATGTAGATAGTTTGTGACTGCTCTTTTTTATGCAAGACAATGGTAATTTATGTTTCTTAAAAGTGAAAAATGACAAGATATTGGTGTCTGCACCAGTATCTAATAAAAATTTTGTATAGTGGCCATTTATGTTTAGATATGTAGTAAAATTATTGCTATTATTTTGTATGGCTGACAAAAATAATGTACCCAAAAAATATTGTTCATTGCTATTAATTATTATATTGTTATCATACGTTTCATTGTTGACTTCTTCCACACGATTGATCTTTCTTGAACGGCAGACAGAAGCAAAATGGTTTCTTCGTCCACAGTTGCGGCAGACAGCTCCCAATGCTGGACATCTGATTTTGTGCACCTGACCACAGTTGCTGCATACTTGGTTGCTGTTTTGTCGACTATCTTGACTGGTGTATCTCCGCTGACTGGAAGAACTCCTAGGCTGGCTCATTGGTCTAAAATTGTATGTATTTGGTCTTGACGTGTTGACCACACTAATATCTTGAGTCTGAGATAATGATTGGGTGTCGAGTTTCGTGTTTCTGATCATTTTTGCTAATGTGACGGCTGCATCAAAAGTTCTGGGTTTTTCTATTATTATTCTTTCCTTGGTATATGTACAGTTCAAATTCCAAGAAAATATGTCCTTTAATATATCATCACTAATAGTGCCAAACTCGCACTGTAGACTTATGTTTTTCAGATCTGTAGCATAAGACTCAATCTCTTCATGTTGGCCTTGTTTTCTGTTAAATAACTTGTGTCTTTCGATTGAGATGTTTACTTTTGGCAAAAAATACGATTCAAACTTAGCAAGGAGGACATCGTATGGAATAGACTCCATATCTACTTCAAATGAGTTGAAAATATGTAGGGCGTCAGTGCCTATGGCGTTGAGTAAAATGGCCACCTTTCTAGCATCTGCCTCTTCATCTAAATTATTGGCTTTCAAATAGATTTTCAGAGATAGTTTGAAATTTTTCCAAGCTAGTGGCATATTGGAGGCTCTCATGTCTAGCTGAAATGCTGCCGGAGGGAGAAAATTTGGAGAAAGTTTCGATGATGGTGGCTCGTTCGCCATTTTTCCTTCAGTATGTTCAGTGTGTTGTATGGAGTATGTATGCTTGCCTGAGAACTCTGTTGCGGCGACGATGACGACGAACGAGACTGCAACCAACGCTGTCACCATGTGATACTTGATAGCGGGCCGGGAAGTCTTCATGTAAGTAAAAGGCAGGTTCGGATGACGAATTGTTTAATGTCTGATCTCATGGACGTGTGGAAACGGAAGTGTAAAACCAAAGACAACATTTCTAATTAACAATCGGCAATAAACAATAATAGCATTGGATAGATACATAACAGTATTAAAAGTATTAACTTTTATTGTAGTTCGACATACAATAGGCAATTGACGACATCAAAGACTAAAGTCGGATAACTCTACAGAGTGAATAATCTGGTCATACTAAAAAAACTGATCTGGCAGCCCTTTTAGGACGTCCTTCTGTCAATCTTTCGTCTGAAGAACATTTTTTGAAAATGAAGCAGTACTTTTCTCGTAGACAGAACGAACAGAAGTAAATCAATGAATAAACCAAAAACTGTGGAAGGAGCGTCAGTATCCATGTGGTTGTACTTATTATGCGAGGAAAACTTCAATTATTATGTCAATGAATAAATACCCAGAAGTGCCTCAAGTCTTCGCGTATGTTATTTTCCACCGAAAGAATGTAGTTATTAAAGCACTCCTCGCAAAGATATTTTATACGTTTGCGAAAAATGGAGAGTTGTTCGTAGTCTACCACGTTCCCAAACTTCTTCCGCTTAACCCAGGCTTTGTTTATTTGCATAGGAGTAGGGGTACCCCTATGGATAAAAGCAAAAACTCCTGGCAGCGTCGGTCGTGCTCTATGGCGAACAATAATAAAAATATATATAATTGAAAACCTCCTCCTTTTACAAGTTGGTTATAAATAAAGTATCAGGTATAGTTAATTAAACTATAATCAGTACTGCCATGTGCAAAATTTTAATTTCTGCTACTGTCAGTCACCTGCAGACTTATCGTGGTCCGACTGTAATTATTTTGATAAAAAACAGAATCAGCCAGTGCTGCATTCGATACCTGGTAGTGCACGGGCGGGGCCACGATCCGGCCGGGCAGTGCGGGCCCGCAGCGCCAGGGCTGCAGCGCGGCGGGCGGCGCGTCGGCGGGTAGCTCGCAGCGCGCCTGCGACACGCGCACGCCCCACCCGCACGCACCCTCCGCTTCCTCCCCGGACGATTTCTGTGCACGCACCATAAGTCAGTGGTTATTTACGGGAAGGAGAAGCTCGATGGTGCAAGTGGTTAGCGCGTTCGGTTGTGATCGTTGAAGTTAAGCAACTTTAGCAATGGTCGGTCATTGGATGGGTGACTAAAAATCTTCTATCTCGAGTTCCTCCGATAAGCACGCAGGCAAGGCACGTTAAGCCGTAGGTCCCGCCTGCATCTGCAGTAGTTAGCACCCACCAATCCGCACTGAGCCCGCGTGGTCATGGGTTCCATCCATAGGGAAGGCCTGTGCCCCAGCAGTGGGGACATTAATAGGCTGATGATGATTTGCGGGAAACATGGAAACATAGGGAGACATCAAGAAGCTGAGCCCCGATATTAATCCCGCTTGGTGCCTTCAAGGCCTTTTGTTACAAACGTTTGAATCCCGGTAAGCTCGGCATTTACTCAAGACGCACTATTTAATTTCAAGTCATAATTAGTTAGGGACAAAATAATTGTTAGATGTCCTGGTTTTTAATTATAATAGGAATACACAGATATGAGTCAATTTAAAGGATTTTTTAAAACATATATAGACTTTCGGCCACATCTGTCGGCCCACTGATATTATAAGTTTCAACGGTCTGTAGCAAAATATAATTAAATTAGGTTGTGCAATTATAATATATATTTTGAAAAGCTGACGAAAAAGATAGTTAGTGAATCAGCTACAAATCTCCGTAAATATTTTTTGCTCAATGTAACATTTATTTTTAGTTTGTGACTGTCAAAAACATATCGGGAAAAAACTTAAAATGCTAGGTGGGCCGATAGGTGTGTTCTATCTATCTTAATAAATAAGGTGGCATTCATAGATCAATTCAAAAACATATTAGTATTATGAATTTTGACAAAATAACTAATCTGTTACCTGCACATGGCAACCCAGCGAAGGCCTGGCGACAAGTCGCAGGCAGGGCTCGCGCGGACAGGGCGCGCGCTGCTCGGTGGCGGGACACGCGCGCCCCGGCCACACCGCCGCCGTCAGGTGTTGCCTGATCCATTAATTATTTTCATTACATTATTGTGCCGAAATATCACTGATTCTCAATAAAAAAAGGTACACGTCAGGTATACAGGTACTCAGATTTAACCGCCTGTGATGTGATACTCCATATATTGTCTCTGTTCAATTGAATCACAAATGAAATTTGAGTGATATAAACAAAAACGTCGTAACTAGTCTAAGCTTATTCCTCGTTTATTAATTAACTGTAACGCAAGCCAACCACATAAAATAATTAATATATCACCTAATCCGCCGCGTATCCATGGCGGAAGCGTCGCCGTACGAGCAGTCCAAAGTTTCCCACAGGCCCTACGAGCCCAGTTCGCTGTCCACACCGAAAGGCATGTATCACCATGACTTGCGTGCTTCAGGTTTGTCTCAGTCACAGACGACAACACTTACTGAGCCGAGGTACTTGAGCGCAGACAACACATCAGAGAACGATATATCACCTAGTACGCCGCATATGCATGGCGGAGGCGTCACCGCACGAGCAGGCAGAAATATCCCACGGGCCCCACGAACCCAGCTCGCAGTCCACACCGCAGGGCACGTAGCACCATGACTCGCGTGCTTCTGAGGCTGTAGTGTTCTAGGCAAAAAACGAACCTCTTTATTACTAGTAATTTTTTTAAACATTTAACTGCTACATGTTTAAATTTAAAGAAAATTTTACTTGAAATTCTACGCAGACCAGGCAGCAGATGGGACTCGAACCCGCACCCATCGCTCTTCGGGCGAATGCACTGACCATTACTACTACTTGTGCTTTTTATTACTATTCCTGCCAGGTTCGGATTTAAGGCAGGGCAGGGCATGCTGGCTATCGCTGTGGCTGGCCCTAAGAAAGAAGTCCTCCACTTTTTCATTGTCCCAGGGCCTTCACACCTTTAAACCCGACCCTGATTCCTGCTTTCAATAACAAAACTCGTAAATTCTATTCCTACTTGTGCGATTCAAACCGCAGACGATGTAATTTGCTGAGAACCCACAAAGTAATTATAATTACTTATGTCCATTTATTGTGCGATTCAAACTTAATAAACTTAGTGGCTGTGAAGTTTTCGCAAGTTACAGCGCGCGGTTGTTGCAGGTGCGCGCGAGAAATCAGTGAACTGAAACCTGCGAATGCACTCGCTGCTAACTTCATAGCCCCATAAAATTTTAATCACACAACAAATGCAATATCAAAATCTACTTCTCATCCTCTTTTACCAAATTGAATACATAGTTTTATTTAAGTAGATGAAATTAACTCACAGGACAATAAGTATCGTTCACAAATACTCCATCGCTTCGCAGACATCGCACGGCTCTCTTTTTGGTTCCTTCCCCACATGGAGAGCCTCCTGCAAAACATTTACATCATTATCTATTTTGTATACACATAATTAGTTTTTGTCTGTTGATGATGACAAATACTTCATGACACATTAAGATAGTAACTAATGGTAGCCTAGCCATACATGCAGACATTCATTTTAATTATTTCTTATTCACGTGTATTGAAATTGCGAGCCAGCGTTGCGTTAAGCGGGAGCACGGAGCGGACGTCAGCTACGCGTGCAGTTGCATGTTATTTCATAGAGTATCCATGCGTGAATCGGGTTTTCCGTCCTTTCCGCTTAGCCCCACACCGCCCTCCGCTGCGGGGCTAATGGAAATCTGTGATTGCGGCCAGTAATGTCTCACCCAGTGGCTGGCAGTCGTCCCAGGGAGCCACATGCCAGGAGTATGCGTGCGGCGAGCACGGCTCGGCCGCTACAAGGTGCGGGCACGCCGCCCCGCCCTCTGCCGCGGGCCGCAGCACCACGCGCGTGCGGTCTCGACGACCACCCCACTTGGTCTGAAACAAACAATGTCTTGCCTGAGTAATTAGATCTAGGTTTGTTTGCGATTATGCAGGCAAACGAGTTGGCAGTCCTTCTGCGAATACCCTCTTTAGCTGTTAAGTGCAGAACCATGGGATCCCCGTTGAGAATTCTCCAGGTCCCCGCACCTGACGGCCTCCTGGCTAATTGCGCGGCCTATTGCACCGCTCCTCGTCCGCTGTGCGCAACGAGCGATTTACTCAGGTAGCCACCTGATGTTATAATACGGACACTTATAACACCAAGGTATGTCGAATAATATTCTAGGGATTGGAGTTTTATTTATTGCTGCGGTAAATATGGTATTTGACAAGTTTTAGAAAACCGATCTCACGTTATTAACAATTGTTTATGGAGTCCATATTAAGTGGATATTTTTAATTCTGTTGTGTAATTTATTTAAAACTAGTGGCCCGCCCTCGCTTTACTTCGGTGTAGAGCTGTAATGTAGACTACAGTATTTATTTAAAGGCTTGTATTATACACAATGACTTTCTTCATAATAATTATAAACCTTCCATTCCAAGTAAAAAATTCGTTGCGTGGTTTAGGACCGGTTGTACCGAATGCAACATTGCTTTGCTGTTCCAATTTGAAAAATTGTTTTTGTATTGGACAGTGTATTTATCGAGAAAGGCTATAGGCTATATATATATATTACCAGGCTACGACCATTAGCAGCGGAGCATCGATGAAAAATGTTGCAAAAACAGGTAAAAATATTCCATTTGTGAGATTCCGTTGCGTGCGTTGGGTAAACGGTAAAAATTACACAAAATTCATGTATGACAGAATTTTTCCCCTTTAAAAGTGCTGTAAATAAGTTCACGACAGCCTATGTCCATATTTTAAGTTTCACTCACTATAAACCATTTTCTTCAAATTAACGCGGGTGAAAGTGCAGGGAACCTCTAGTTGTGACATAACTGCAATAGTTACACATATGGTATCGCGGACTTTTTTGTAGATATTAATATCCTCTATAAAACTTTACTACATCACTTTGCTCTATTGTCAATGACTTCTGCAGCGTACGTTATATAAGGCTATTTTTTGTATTCTTTACACACGTTGGGTTACATTATCGCAGTTTTCATACGAAACCCTAACTTTTTAGAAAACACACTATAGCCTATATTAATCAGTGATGATGATTCAAATGGTGAAAGAATTTTTAAAATCGGTCCAGTACTTTTTGAGCCAATTCGTTACAAACATACTTACATACAAACCTTTCCTCTTTATAATATTAGTATAGAAAACGAAATTAAAAATTCAATTTTCAAGTTGCCGCGAAAACGTTTCTCTGGACGGCGTCTTACTAGTTTGTGATGTACAATGACTGTCATTATAACGTCAAACTATACAATGTAATGTCACTTTGGCCGGAAGTTTACTAGCATGTGACGTCATTTTAGTATTGGCCAATCCCAGACGTTTTCGATCACGTGACCATGGAGCAAAAAATCATTTCTATTTAATGATTTTATAGAAAAATTATAAATTATTTTTTCTTTCATAATAGTAAAATCGCTACAAATTTTCATATTAAATTGATAACAATTCGCTATTTGACAGTATGAAAATTAATATTTTCATACTGTCAATTAGCTTATTGATTGATTACCTGTTCACAGGGGCTCCACTCAGACCAAGTGCTAACCACGCAGTCAGCGGGGCAGGGCGCGCGGCAGGTGGCTTCACGTGAGGGCGCAGGCCCCGCACCATTCGCCTCGCATTCAGAGTCCGAAAGCCAGTTGCCGTTCGAATCGACACATCTGCGTGGATTAACAATATAACGGAGGCTTTAGATAAAGAGGCAGGTAATTTAAAACGATTCCAACTTTATGTTGTGAAGTTTGCAGCGAACGCAACTAGGCCAGGTATTATAAGTTCACTCGCGTACACTTTTGCTTGCGCCAACTTCATAGCGACCATTAAGTTTGAATCGTATTCCATAGCGTTCATTAAACGGAAAATTTACTGTCAACTAGCTGGCAGTCAAGGAATGAGCGTCTAATGGACAGGCAAAAAGGCGTCCATTAGACGCTCTTGCAGCTGTCAGTCAATTCTACCTGCATGTTTAAACGGTGACTGAAAATTTTCGCTCACTCCGTAGTCTTTAACCTTGACTGCCAGCAAATTGACAGTAAATCAAATAGTTCCTGTCCACAAGGTATAGTTACAGGTATGGGTGTACAGGAACTATCACTCACGTGACGGTCCTGTTGATAACGGCGCGCCCGCACAGCGCCCGTCGCGGCGCGCAGACCGACCACTCGCCGATCGCCCAGCGCGCGGCCGCTACTTCGCACGTGGCACGCTGCAGAGTCGCGCCGCACTCTCTACCGCCGCCCGAGCCCTCTTCTACTACCTCCCTTTGGAGAATAAATGTAACAATTGCTATGTAACAGGTTTGTTAAACACCAACTATGTAAGAATGTTTTTTTAGGATAGTTAGGTGCTCTGAACTAATGCAGAATGCAAGAAAAGATCATTTACAAAAACGAACGAGCTAAGCATAGAAGTGGTATCGTGTGCGTCAGGGTAGCGCTGAAATGGAGGTCAAGTATTTTTTTCCATTGGTTTCCTTAAACCTAAGTAGATATATAGTCCAGATAGCAACATGATAAAGCCTTTACATTTATCATGTTACTATCAAGGGAATAAAGTAAAAAACAATAATTATAAATTGTGTGTATATTTTTTTTAAATGATCTGGTGCCCTGATGCCTGCTGCTCAGTCTGGGGCGCATCAGATCTTGCACTGGCTCCGGAGAAGAAAACTCTTCGACGAATGTATATCTGGTCATCAACATTATCTCAGCCGTGCGACGCCCACTGCTGAGCATAGGCCTCCTCCAAGGATCTCCACATCGATCTGTCCTGCGCCACTCACATCCATCGGCTTTCCGCGACCTTCACCAGATCGTCGGTCCATCTGGTGGGGTGCATACCGACTGAGCGTTGCCCTGTGCGTTTGAGAACCTTTTATTCAAGTGATTCCAATGAAAAAATACCTGGTGCGAAAGCGGAATGCTGCCCTGGAGCCTGGTTCAGCAGCGCAGGGCCCCCATTCGCCCCATGGCCCTGCAGCGCAGTCTCGCGCGCATCGGACCGTGCACGGCCCACGGAGTAGGGACGGAAACTCTTCGTCGTACGTATACCCGTCTGTGGAAGCTTCACGAACTCTGCTTGGCCCTTTGAATTATAAAAATATTGCCGTTGCACAAAATGTTTTTTAAAGAAGAGAAATATTTTTCTGATCCTTTTCAGGATGCGATACGTCAAGTTCTATAAAAAAGTATTAAAAACAAATTATAAACTTGTACTACTGTACAAAAACTTGTTTTATTTGCGTGAAAACTTAAGAAACATATTTGTTTTTAGGCCATTTTTTTGCAGAATTATTTATTTGTCTGTTAAAGTATGCTTTAGTATTTTTATCATTTCGGATCTTTAGCGAAATCCAGGATTGAATCTAGATAAACAACAGTAGAACTTCTTCCACTACTAAACACACACTAAAAACACTAACACTAACTAAAAACAATGTCTTCACACTGTTTTTGTTTGTTTGTCTGCATTATAATGGATCATCATAATCAAGACGACGCATCCTGAAAAGGAATGCGAAACGTCAATAAATAAATAAATCAGTGCATCTATACCGTTGATACTTGCTTTATTTAATGAGTGGTGTGCGTGAAAACCTATGAAACAAATATTCTTTTTTATTTGTTTATAAGGCCTGCCGACACTTAAATACCTTTTTACCTTATGACATAATCCTTTTGAGGATGTGAAACTTCAACAAATAAATAAATCAGAGCATCTATACCGTTGACACTTGTTTTATTAAAAACAGAATAATTCTAATATCAAAATTCATTTACCAGTGAGTGGGTGATACTTCTTACAAATATCCATCGGCATGTCACGACCGTCGAGCATACAGCGCGCTGCTCTTAGCGACCGGCCCTCTCCACATTCAAGTCTATCATAAAAATAAGTAAGATTTAAATAAGAAAATTCTGCTACATAAATTCCAGTCGAACCTGCGTCTTCCGCTATTCAAGCGGACGCACTTCGGAAGTCGCAGGTTCGAGTCCTGTCGGACCAGGTGGATTTTTTTCTAGAATTCTCCTTAGATTTATTTAACCATCAGTAAAAAAAACGCTTTAATTTAATTCAAATTGTTATTAATCAGTTACAAAAGTAAGGGATACTTACCCAGGCGGGAGAATGCAGTCGGAGTCGGCGGGTAGGAGTTCCAATGAAACGTTTTTACAGACGCAATTTGGGATGTCGGGATCTGCCGCATCCAAGTATCTGAAAAAAAAGGTATTGTTAAATAACCGATCGCGTCAAACATATTTTTGATTATAGATGTTAGTCGATGATAAATTAACTTGCACCCTTGACTATTTAATTTCAATTAATAACAATATTGCATAGGGCTAATTAATTAGGACATTAATTTAAAAGGACTTCCAAGCTAGAGATTTCTTCGGGCATTTTTGTCAGCAAAAGCATGAGTTAATTTAAATTATGCTGTGAAAGTACACGACATAGCATTTGCCTCACAGAAGGGGCCTATTTCTAGCGATCGCGGGTAATTTGAACTAGGTTTTTCAAAAATGGTCCTTCGAGCCGGATAATTGAAAATATGCAAATTAAGTATTTCTTTGACTACGTATAAACAGAATTTTCGCCAGAATGACGAATAGTAAGATAAGAAGAGAATGAAAAGGTTTTTTGTTTTTTAGCTTTTGATACGTGACTTAAGTGCAATATTTACCTGAGTGGGTTCGCGCAGACGGCGTGGCAAGCGAGCGGGGCGAGCGGCTCGCAGGGCACACGACACGCCGCCACTGCTCGCGGTACTGCCTGTCCCGCGCAACCGCCCGCCTCCACGCGGTGCGATTCCGACCCGCACCACAAGCCTGATACGAGAAAGAAACATTATATATTTTATTTGAGTTAAAAGCATAATGGTACGTATGATGTTTATCCCACACCAGAGCGCATGACGAAGCTTCGTTGTGGACTTTGTTATTGAAATACGCTAAAACTAGCGTTCGAACTTTGAATTGAGTACGCTCCTTCAGCTGCACATACAAAATTTTCATTATATCAGTGGGGTACATATTGACTTCTGGTCCTGTATCCGAAGCCGCAGCGCAGTGCTCCACTTGCCAGCGGAACAGCCACGTCCCGGGACACAAAATAATCAACCTTAAATCAGTATGGGTAGGTACTGACTTTTAGTGCAGCTCAACTCGCCCAAATAACCTTATATCGGTGGGGTAGATATTGACTTCTAGAACTGCCTCGGTTCAGCCACGACCTCGCCACTGGACACACACAAACTCAATCAAACTTATATCTGTACGGGTAGGTACTGACTTCTAGTTCTGTATCCGATGCCGCAGCGCTGGCCGGGCGGCAGGCGGCACGTGCTCCACTCGCCCGCGACCCAGGCCGCGTCACGAGCACGGCACGACCTCGCCACGGGACACTGACGGGTTTCTTGACGCGGCCCGCAGTTGGGCCCACCGTGGACAGTGCGCACACGGACTTGTTTACCGGGATCTGAAGACACGATATAGAAATTATGATAACTACGTGCAAATCGCGACTTCGTCCACGTTAACTTTAGTTTTTTGAGAATCCCACAGGAACCTAACATTTTTTCAGGATAAAAATTATCATTATCCTATGTCTGAATCCAGATCTAAATCTATCTATCTATCTAAATTATATGCGTAACGAATTTTATCCAAATCCGTTCAGTAGTGTGTTTTTGCGTGATTGAGTTACAAACTTTCACATATAACATTAGTAGGAAGTAGGATGATAAAGAAGTAAAGTGTATTTTTAATTTTCAAATTACCACAAGTGTTTGGACACGGTGACCATGGCAGCCAAGCTTCGACCCTGCAGCCGCGACGACACCGAACAGTGCAAGCCCGACGAGCTACTGGTCGGTGTAGGGGAGCGCACCTGGATATAAAATAATGAAATTATTATAGCCTATATCTTGTTTACCTGTACTGCACTAAGCGGTGTGATAAAACAGATCTTGGCTTTGCGAATCATTGAATTGTCCCAGCGGACGGACCCCGTGCCTCCGACTCCATGTGTGGTCACTTGGCCACTCAATTTCATTTTATAGTGCGACAAGGATCTTTAAGAATATAGAGAAAATTGGAACAAACACCGCTATCTTCGTAAACGTCATGTTTTGTAGTTAGTGGTTTACGGTTATTTACGTAGACAGCAGCGGCCTCCCTGAACTGTCGCTCACATTCATAAAGATCCTTGTCGCATTCTAAGCCCATCTACCTCCATACTACCGAGACCTTATAGAGGTATTCGGTCTCCTTCGGCAGTTCTTGGCCTGCGCCAGCTTAGATGTGCCCTGTCTTGCAGTCTAGGAGATGTTGAGAAGGCTCGACATCTCTATAAGGTCTTGGTGACATGGTGAGATGTTAGTGCATACGCCCATATAACGATAGGCGCTTGTTTCAATTCAGCCTCAGGCAATATCCTAATTACCAATGATCCTACGAAAACACAATGGATGCGAGTGGCGCATAACCGAACCGTAAAGATTTCTTCAGAAGCGTCCGTATACAGCTCGTAAACCGTCGCATTAGCACAGGTACATTATTTTCGTCGCAAGATGATATCGTATCGTGGCAAGATTAAGATGACACCTAACACTAGTTCTAAGTGGTAAGATACCGTTTATTATATAGCTATAATGCATTACTAAGAAGTACTCACAATGCTTCGCGAACCACATCAGCGTTGTTTTGCACGCACATGACATCGCGTGTCATCTCTCCTTCTTCCACGCAAGGCTCCTCTTCATCGAGTTCATTTAATGTCTCTCCATCCTAAAATTGTTATTATTATTTACTTATATTCAAATTAAAGGTTTTTTTAATGTCATTACAGATACCAATTAATATTTTACATCAATATATTTTATTATATGTCATGTGTCAACTTATACTATTGCAATTAAACAGAAAGTTCCTAATTTTTGTAAAAAGGTAATTTTGACTACAATGGGTACTGCAGTAAGGTTGTGGCATGTGTATATCTACCTACTAGAGAAATTAGAAGATACACACTATCATCTGTACTAAATCGGCGTAGTTAATATATATCTCAAATCATTGTACATATTACAACCGTAGAGCATAAAACTTCAGACTACAACAACAACCCATTTAAGACTTCATCAAAATACCAACAAGCCCAACTTCTTAAAATACTTGAGAATAAGATAAATAATAAAAAATGTCCATAGTTAATTAGAGATTTCTATCTAAGAACTGTAATGTTATTTATACCGCTAAATCAGTGTAGTTGGTGAAAGGCATGTAGTCCTGTCGTCTTCTTTCACAGGGCCCCCAAGGAGTCGCGAGCCAGGAGTAAGTAGCACAAGCGTGCGTGTTGCAAGATTCGTTTTGGACGAGCTGGTCTTCAGAAGGGCAAGGCCAACCATCTGTGAGAAAAATACATCATAATTTATATAAGGCTGTATGCAAGTATGTCACAGTAACAAGTAAGCCATGGGTTTTAAGTGGAGCTCTAAAACATGATACAAAGTAACGCGAATTCCTTACCCAGTGTACAAAGCTAACAGATATATAAACACCACAAAAAGGGAGCTAAGCAGGTTCGTATTTCACTGAAATTTTCTGTGAGGTGGAATATGCTTCCCCCGATGGGTGTTACATTTCGAGTGGAAAATCGGGTAGAGGTAGGCATGCGGTGTCTATTTCTATTGTTATTGTTGTTGTATGAAGGAGATAATATACCAGGTGAAGCGTGCGCCAGTATGTGCCTGCGCCGGGTCCTGGTGGGGCGGGGATGCGATGGCGAGCTGCAGAGCGCTGAGCACAGGGACCAGGCGCCCCACGAGGACACCACGCAGTCCCCGGCGCAAGCTATGCGGCATCTCTCTGTGCGAGCGGGCGCTCCGCTACCGCTGCACCAGGCACGCTGAGCCTCTTTCTATCAAAACCATTCAATAGCTTTAATAATGGACTAAGCGACAATGGTATAAAATCGATCAATCAAAGAGAGTTAGCGAGTGTGTAGCTGTGCGATCGCTTCTCCTCTTCGACTCTGCCCAATTTTACATCATCAGATCAGCAGCAAACGCTCAGCCTATTCTTTTTATTTCGAAAATTTGCACTAAGGACTTAAGTGACTTTATATAGCCTGACTGCCTGGCAAATTACTTTATTCTAACTGATGGTAAGTTGAAGTGAGGTTTAAATGCGAGGAACGTATAAATACATAACAGTGAAAAAAGTCGCACTAATCCTGATTTAAGAATAATATTAATAGAATAATAAGAATAAGAGTTCTAATAACCTTATTTAAGAATAATATTATCTGATTGCCTCTGTAAGGTGGAAAGCAATTTTTTTGCACCTAAAGGGAAACTTACCCCATCATGTCCAACGCATCTAAGCTCCCTAGTGCGCTTCCCTGGTCCGCAAGATGAATGTGGTTGATTCAGGACACAAGGTCCCCAGGGCAGGGCTTTCCAGGCGGCGCATCGAGGGGTCGAGCACGTCCGCTTCTCCTCCAAGGGAGGACATGGTGCTCCGCCCCCTGATGCTGCCGATATCACTCGACGACGGCGGACGCTGTAACCTGCGGGTTTCATTATCATTATCATCAGCTATCATCTATTAATGTTCCCACTGCAGGGGCACATGCCATCCCTATGGAAGGAATGGGGAGATTGGGCCGTGACCCACCATATGGGCCTAGTGTAAATTGGAGGGTGCTAAAGACTGCTGATACTGCCGGGACCAACAGCTTAACGTGCCTCCCAAAGCACAGAGGCGCTCGAGGTAGTAAATATCTTGATGACCCATCAAATGAATGACCACGAAAGTTGCTTAACTTCAAAGGTCGAAGCGAACGCGCTTACCACTTACGCCATTTATCTTCTCCTGTGGGTTTAAATACAGTTAATCAAAAGCCTGAAGAATCTGAATGTACCTGACAACGAGTCGAATGCAAGTTTTTTAGTAAATCTTTTAATTAAAAATGTAGCCCCTTAAAAAAATACTCTCAATCAAATTAATAATTGGCATGCATTCAAAATTTATCAATAAAAGTCGAACGGCAAGTATACTTCGCAATCACTGTAATAAGTGGCAACAACAAATGAGGTCTTATTATTTCGTTTAATTAGTGATTATTGTAATGAAGTTTTCTTTGGATCTTTGTTACAGTGGCTAAAGAAATCGTCCGAAATCGAGCAAATTTGTACACACAGGAACAATTATTTTTTTGTAACTCTCACCCGTGGTCGTGAGTTGCTGAACCGGAAATAGGGGGCAACCATCTGTAGGTTGGCACGCTCCCCATTCACTCCACTCTCCAACTTCACAGTCCCGAGGACAAGGAACCTACGAACAAATTAGAATATGCATGTCACATAAAGAGCTTACTCTTTATCATATAAATTTTTTCCCTTCATCACCCATATTTGATTTCACGTAATTTTCATCAGCGTGACCGTTTTCCGTGGAATATTGCGTCATTGTTTTCATCGTCTATTTTATGCTGCTGTACCTATGTTTTCCTTACATCACACGGGTGCACCAACCTGCATCTCCTTATTTTCTTCATCAGATTCTTCGTCATTGTTGTATATTACGTAATTAATCTCATCATCTATGGTTGATGTTCTTGTCTTTCTTACCCCACATAGTTGCACCAAGATCGGCATCAGTGCATTTGCTCACAGTGCTTGATGGAGTTGTCTGCTGTCAACGCCGCTGGTATCTCTTTGTCATCATCGTTGGCTTATTAGTCATCTGAATTGGCTTATTCATCATCATCGTCATCGTTGTATATTGCATCATTCTCTTTATCGTCTGTACTTAATTTTTATTTTTCTTACCTCACATGGCTGCACCAATGTTGGCATCGGAGCATGTGCGCATTGGGCTGGATGCAGCGGTCTGCCGTCAGCTCGCACGCAGGTCGCCTCCCGTCGCTGCACGCCGCCGCCGCAGCTCGCTTCCGGCATCTCCTTGTCGTCCTCGTCCGCTTCTTCGTCATCCTCGTCGTATATTGCGTCATTGTCATCGGCATCATCGTTCTCATCGTCTGTAGTTGCTGTTGACAAAGGTTGTCAGGAACATTTGTTTAAAAAATGAATGTCATTTTCTCTGCTGTACATATTGAATACTAGCTGTTTCAAATTCGACTGCGGATTATTCTAACACAATGCACTGGCAGTGTGCTTTTTAGCCTTCAGTTTGCCTTGCGTGCGCTATGGTTGCACATACGTTATAGAAGATGCTTTACGAATATAGAAATGCAAAGGTATAGTAAATAAATGAGATTGTTTTCAATGCCATAATGTTTTTGAATCTAACACAAGACAAGAAAATTGAGTAAAGGGAATATTGAACAATGACTCGTCTGGAAATCAAACCCCTAGAGAGTGCATCAAACTCTAAGGTAGCCGCGATGGCTCATCCCTCGGTTGCGGGGCTGTGAAAACATTATCATTACGTATATTTTAATAAGCGAGTCATTTACCAGGTAAAACAGTTGCGGTCTGCTCCACAGCCACCCGGCATGCTCCCCACAGGCCTGGTGTCCAGTGAGCGCTCGCTTCTAACGCCGCAGGCTTTACTTCCTCAACAATGTCGCATTCCTTTCCACCACCTTTTGAATAATGGCTAAAATTAGTTTAATGGGAAATATTTAAAAGTTCCAACATTCCATTTTCATTTGACATCCCACTTTAAACCACTTATTAGTGAAAATCTTACGAGTTCCAACTTTTGGATAAAACATCCATGAAATTCAATGCATATTTATCTTTAAATCATAAAAATACAATTGTTATCCTACTAAAACTTAGTTTAGGTCGGCAATTGTATGAAATGCATTAAGTAATTTTGAGATATGTCCCCAATAATTAAATATGATCCCTATAAATCAATTGTCTTAAACAAGTGGCCTGAAAACTTTCCTTCTTACACGACTGCCCAAGAAAAAAATGAGTGTAATGTATTCCACCATAATTTCTAAACGCCTGAACCGATTTAGGTGTGTGTGCCGTTAGAATCCATTCGCTATCCCGGGTACCATAGGCTACAAGCCAAACTGTTAAAACTGAAATAGCAGCAATGTCAAAATGACAATTATTTATGTCAATTAATAAAGTCGGCTTATTAAGACAATAAAGGTATCATTTCAAAGGTCTTAATGAGACCATATGAAATATATACAAATATAGTAGCATTAATAAACGGGTTTACATATAAAAGGACTCGAAAAATTTATTTGAATTTTTTATTAATATCAACTTACCATGCGGCAGTCTTCTAACCCGGCGCGTGCGCACAAGAGCACCGTCAGATCGTGGTCGCCACGGCAACCATTCTCCCAGCGAACAGTCTTCTCTTATCACGCATACCCTCAATGTACCAACCTTGCCAAGCGCTGAGCCACAATACCTGAAACAAAAATATACTTATAACATTTATCTTAAGTTAGAAAGGAATAATAGGTAAAAAAATGTCTGTCTAAACATTCAAACTGTATCTAATTTGGAAGTGGTGAAAAGAAACCAAAAAATCAAGAAAATGTTCGCTACGTTATCTTCGCAAAGCACATATCCATTGCACGGTGCGTTGATAAAATGGGCGATTTTCCACACACCGCCCAGCACCGGAGAAGCATTTTTCGCTTACCGGTGCCACCACCGGTCCAGCGTTGATTCCCGCCGGTTCCGGCGCCGGCGCCAGGATAGCAAGCTTCCTACTCTCTATATAGACAACACATATGCAAAACTGCATAATTATGTATTGTAGCCGTGATCGTGCGTGAGTACGCGGAGCAGGTACGAGGACGCGGAGACTCGTATTTGCTTTGTGGCTCGATTAGAGTGCGGCGTCATGGCATTTAAATACGACATCGTTCTCTTAGTAGAAGCTGGTGGAGGCACGTTCTAGTCAAATAGGGTAAAGTTAATGTTTCTTGCAATTATCTCACTTTTAGTATCGGAAAATTTCCAAAATTTGAGATATCTTAGCGTTGCGTTTAACTGCAGTCAATGGCAAGAGGAGAACATTTAATACGCGTGGTACCTATCGTCGTGCTGAAGTCTGTCCAGTAAGCAGGGCGCAAACCAGCACCGGCATCGGCGTAGTGGAAAAACGAAATGCCGTCGCCGGCACCGGTCTAGGGATATAGCCAGTGCCGGGCCGGTGAGTGGAACAATGCCCATTATGTCGACGCACCGTGCAACGTTACCGTAAAGATGTGGACAGGCCCTTACTTAAAAAATAACCCGGAAGGTTATGTATAGTGCTTTTTCAAAGTTTGATGGTTCCTGTCCAATAAGTGAACTATCACATTTTTGTAAATGCAGATTTTTAGGAACTTAAATTATATGGTTCCAAAACATTTATGTAAAATAAGTTTTATTAATAGATTCGTTTATGTTAAGAGAATACACAGAGAGTAGCCGTAAAAAGCTAAAAGATCCTGAGTTAAATTAGGGACGAATATCATCATACTCGGACCGTAACGTAAAATTGATGATCTTGGAGCCGCTCAGCATATTTCTGAAGTTTTCTCCCTAAAGTTGGCGCTGTCATTAGATCAATATTCCATGCAAACTGGCCTACTTATGCACGGCAAAGTTTTGTAGCTTGAATTTAAGTCCTGTAAGCCGGGGCTTATTAAGCAGAATGAATAATAAAAACGAAAGTCGCGTTATCTAGACTTCTCATACATAAAGATACGAAGTTTATAATTAGGTACTCAAGGATTTACATTATAATTGGTGTTGCAAATAATGAACAAATATACCTACACCAGTAAGTATGATAGGTATACGCTTTTGGAGCAGTTCTCCTCGAAGGTTCTTCCTTGACCTGGATGATGGTGAATTTCAAGGTTCAAAATTTGCACAGAAAAAAGCTTGTCGTCTTGCGAGGTCTTTAAAAGCACAAATAGACATAACAGAAGGTAATCTACATATATAGTACGCTCGAGCAACGCACACAAAGACACGGCTCACAGACACGATATCTCGAACCACTCCAGGCCACTGCGAGCGCGAGTATCATCCGTTTGAGGAGGCACAAAAATCAATGTTCAGTAGACGCTTGTTTGGATTCAACATTCATCGGAGAATTAGCATTTTTTTAAATTTGTTCATTGATTTAGTTATTATTGGTTTATATTTCCGTTAGTTTTGTTTCATTCTCGACAATCTTAGATTAAAACAAAAAGGGAAGATACGGTACGGTCATATTAGCGATATATTATAAAACTTCAATACTTCTGAGAGGGTAACTATTGAACATATTGACTACAAAGATTTACACACAGCTGCTAAAAAGTTAAAAGGGCGGAGTGCGGCAGGTCCTGATTTTATACCCCCTTTTTTCAGTTAAAGACTGTATAAAAGTCCTTTCTGAACCTTAAGTTTATATTTACACCCTTGTTTTAAAAAAATCGATTTATCCTACAGAGTGGAAAATATCTAGGGTTACTCCAGTTCCTAAGACGTCAGGTTCTGAGGTAGAACAGTTTAGGCCTACAGCAATCCTGTTTGTATTCGGCAAACTTTTGGAGTCAATCTTAGAAATAAATATTAGAAGGCAGATTAATATGAATATTAATGATTCTCAACATGGCTTTCGTTCAGGCCGGTCAACTACTACGAACCACATGAATTTTGTTAATTATATCTATCGTACGATGGATGATAAGAGGCAAGTTCATGTGGCGTATTTTGACTTTCAAAAAGCATTCGATTTAGTGGATAACAATGTGCTGTTGGAAAAGTTTGCCTCGATGGGATTCACTCCAAAACTTCTGCATCTATTTGCTAGTTATCTCAGAGATAGAAAGCAGTATGTAGAGATTGATGGATACCGATCGGAATATTAATTTACGCGCTCAATCGTGAGCCAGGGTAGTAATCTGGGACCTACTCAATTTCTGATTATGATAAATGACCTACCTGAAGTAGTTGCTTCAGCTAGGTGTCTTATGTTTGCTGATGATCTAAAGCTTTTATTTGGGTATCAGTAATCATATGGATGCTGAACTGCTGCAGTACGATATCGATACAGTAGCCAAATGGACTGTTGAAAACCGTCTACAATTTAATGAGCAAAAGTGTAGTATTATGATTTCCAGCAGATCTAGTAAGTTGATTGACTGTATCTAATACACGCTCAATGCTAATTCTCTACAGACTGTGAGTGAGATGCGGGACTTAGGGCTTAAACTAGATTGGCGGCTAGACTTCCGGAAACACATTGAGGAAATATGCAAAAATACGAATAAAATTCTGGGATTTGTAATGAGATTAAGATCACAATTCAGCGACGTTAGAATACCTTTAATTTTGTATAATGCATACATCAGAAACAAACTGGAATACAACGCGATTGTTTGGGACCCGTATTAACATAAATACAATAATATGATTGAGAAGATACAACGCAAATTCCTCAGGTATGTTTATAAGTGGTTGTATGGTTATTATCCATTTATGTACCCATCTATGTTTGTATCTGGTATGGTGGGGCAGGATACTCTCACCTCGCGTCGGAAAATCTCTTTGGCTTTGCATTGCCATGCGATCATCCTTAATAAGGTTGACAATCCAGTGGTTCTTGCAAATATGAAACTGGTCGTTCCGAAAAGACACATGAGCGGAGCGTTGGGCAACGACGTAGGGGCGCCACGCAGACGAATAAAAGTTTTTGCGGAGCTTAAGGGAGTCCGTACGCGACGAGCTCAAAATGCACCGACTTTGTGAGCAATCTCTTTGCTTAACGCTGTACATGATCGAATTCCGGAGGCTGACATGTTATCCCAAACGACTGCAGATGCAGCCGGAACCAACTACTTAACGTGCCTTCCGAAGCACAGAGGAACTCGAGATAGAAGATTTTTGGTCACCCATCCAGTGACCGACCACTGCTAAAGTTGCTTGACTTCAACGATCGCAGCCGAACGAGCTAATTTGATTTAAGAACCGATGGCGTAGCTTTTAGACATTCATAAGTTCTGGTGACAGCCTAAACTGAATAAAAATACCCAATTTTGAGTTTGAGTTCGAGTGAGCGAAATCAAGTGACAAATCAGATATACACGCGAACGCAATCGAAATAAGCATTTGTGGCAACATCCATTTATAATTGGCGTTTCTGTCGGTGGGCATAAATAAGTAAAATATGTATACAGCATTCAACCGCACGCCTCCATTTCATTCGCATGTCTATCATCCTACCAATTATTTTGCGATTTAAATGACATTTTCGTTTGGTGAAATGTGTTCGCTACCGTGCCACAACTTGACTGACACGATTAACATATAGAGAAAACACATCAGCTTATTTCGCTACTAGACTCCACCTACACATCATCAGCCTATTCATGTCCTTACTGCTGGGGCACAGGCTTTCCCTATGGATAGAATAGGTAGATTGGGCCATGACCCACCACTCGGGCACAGTGCACATTGGTAGGTGCTTACGACTACAGTTGCAGTCGGGATCAACGGTTTAAAATGCCTTACGAAACACGGAGCCTGGAGGAGCTCGTTATAGTAAATTTTAAGTCACCCATCCAATGAGCAACCACTGCGAAAGTTGCTAACTTCAACGATCGCAGCCGATCGCGATCGTGCTCGCGTGCATTGTGTAAAAATACATACCCTAATGATGTACAAGAATATAAAGTTTCTCCATTTGATTTTAAATCTAACAATGAACAGCATGAAATTTTGATTGCATTGAAGTTGATTCGCGTTCGTGTTAGCAAATTACACATGAACCTGAACTTCCATTATCTTCCTCATAGTGCAAGAATTTTATTAAAAAACTAACAAAGCTTCTAATTTGTTACTTTAAACAAATTGTAATTCATTTATTTTGTTAAAAGGAATAATTTTCAATATTACTTGTGATATTTGCTTGTAAGGGTGTGTGTATGTTATGAGTGCATGGTTAAATTAAAGTTCAAACTAAATTAGATAAAAATATATTCCTACGTTGTTTTGTAACGAAGTTCAAATTGATGTCTGATTTTTAAATGAGTGCATTTTTCGCCAATAAACTGTTAACCAGTTAGGAAAAATTAAAAAGTATAGTAAAAAAATGCCTAATTATATTTGATAAATAAAGAAAAAAACAACGAGCGAGCCTTACAGTAGTCGCGTATTACATTTGAAACCTCACATTATATTAGTAAAAAAGAAATAAAACCTACTACAAAAGGAATAATCCATTTGAACATTATGTTCTCAAATCAAATAGCGCGCGCTTTCGCGACTTCCTGTTACAAACTTCCGTCCCATTTCACGATATCACTCCCACATATTGCAGGAAAGCGAGAGGAAAGATGTTACACATCAAAAAGATAATTGTGATTTTTTTCATTTTATTTTTCATTAAAAATTAAGGTTAAAGCACCTAACCTTGTAACCAGTAAACTTGTTTGTTCTGTTGATATAACTAAATAAATATTTTTATGACGTTAAATATTTTTATACTATATTAAAGGTATGTAAACTACTAAAGAAATACATAAAAATAATGCTTAATCCCTATTGTGATTGCATTAAAGTTGGATCGCGTTCGTGTTAGCAAATTACACAAGTAAACTTCCATTATACTCTGTGGTTGGGGTTTAATATCATTTTTCCCTGAGAAAATGCAGCCTTTATTGAGGGTTTATTTACGGATATTTTCAATAGCAGGCAATAAATTCCATAACAGAATTACCTTATTATTAATTTAATAAATCAAAATATCTTATTAACCCAGCTAGCTGTCGAATTCAATTAAATATTGGCAGTATACATTAACAATGAGCTTTACAATGGTATATAATTCGCTCCTGTACAAAGAACTTGGTATCTGTACCAACCCCCAAAGTGGCTGTTCTCCTTTCGACGGGTTACCAACCAGGGATTATTATTCTCATTTCATTTTAATAATGATGAATGGATTTTGCATTTGCTTGAGTCTGAACAAAAGTAATTTACCCTTACGTAGTAACGAAATGCTTTACCCCAAAATAAGTTACACAGATGCGTACTTTCTAATTATAAATAATCTTAAAGAATAATAATGTGTGAGTATTGAATGTACTGCATACGGGAAAGGTACTGTTTAAGAAGCAATTTCTCAAGTACCTACTTTTCACGATCTTCCTGCTCGTAATAAATGCTTCCTCATAATAAATGCGAATACTGTAAGTATACGTTGCAAAGCATGCTGGTTCCACTTTAGAATGCATAAATTATGTTTTCATTTGAATAAAAGTCAAGAACTTTACTTTTCTACGGCTACGGAGCCGTGTCTCCGTACCCGGTCCGGTTCATTGTGATTTTATTAAGCTCATTTTAAAAATTCCCTCTGTAGATTTGCATTTTTTTCTCTATATCTCAATCAATTTATGTTTTTTTTAACGTTTTTCAATACAATGAAATCCATAGTTCCCTATCCATATATATAAAATATATACATATAAAATAATATTATAAAGCGAAAGTGTGTCTGCCTGATTGATATCTCTTCACTCTAATAGGTACTTGTGATTCATTAGTTTCGTTATTTGTCAGCTTCGCTAATCGAATATAAACAAATAAATACAATAATAAATAAATAAATAGGTAGAAAATTTTGCCAGTTTACTGTTTTCGTAATCCATCAGTTTCCTCGTTCACTAATATTGCTAGGCTGCTTCATTAAGGAACCCTTATAGTTTCGTCTGTCTGTATAATTATTGTATACGAAGAAAAGTAAATCATTGAAGACTTCAAGCAAGCTGTATTATTCATATTTTCCTTAAAAAGCCCAGTCAAGGACTCTTACAGTAGTAAAACACAATCTAAACTAACTGACGAACAAGAAAACTTGCATACAAGAAAAGTAACGGGTTAGAACATGATCAAATAGCAAAACTGACAATATTAACTAACTGAGGATCAAGGAAACTTGCGAACCAGGAAACCAACTTAATGGGGAAAATGACAAATTAGCGAAACTGACAAACAAGGAACGGCAAATTCAGAAACTGTCAAATGAGTAAACTGGTGAATAAGTGAAATTGACGAATAAGGAAACTGACTAGCGGTACGCTAATAATGTTCATGCTAATATTTCATGAAGTTGCTTAGATAACTACATAATTGTAATAAAATTAAAGTTACTTACATGTTCTCAACGAATCGCCCATCTTTACTACGGCATTGGACTTGTCGCCTCTGCAGGCCCAGTCGCGGTGTATGCACCAAAGAATCCGCTTCCGGCTTCAGGTTGTATCTAAGATAAATGCAGAAAAACAAATTATTATTATCACAAACAGCATTCACAGACAAACACATCTTTACGTTGTCTCCCGAGAGCAGTAGGTGGGGAATATAATGTAGCGCTATATTTATTTCTAAACTATTTATGAATTATGAAAAGAAAGGTAACAAAAGTCCGTAAAGTGAGGTAAAAATTATATATTTTTCTTCTTCAGCTTCATAATTTTAAAGGCTATCCTTAATTACCCTTTATATAAAAACAAAATATATATTGAAACCATAATATAAATACAATGACAATAGTGCTCGATAAAAAACAATAATTGTATATTTTTCTCATTAAATTATTATTGTATAGTTGGTTATTTATAATTAAAGGTCTGTAAATGAGCGCTGGGATAACCACAACCACAACTTTTTTGCTGAAACTGGTGCCCATTGAATTTAGTTGTATTTTTGGAGTTTACTCCTTAAGAATAGATTTGCATATATAAGGGGCCCGGTATGAGAAAAATGTGAGGAGTTAAATCTATCGATGAATGACCTCGTTACGTTTTTGGTGCGCATCCTGTTCGAGCCAAAATGACTCTTAAATCCGAGAGCTTAGGTGCAAAAGAATTAAATTGAAATTACAGTGTATTTTGTTAGACCATAGATTTCTTTATTAGTTAGGTGACGTTTTGCCTATATGTAGCTCCAAACATATTATATTTACAAGCGTGATGCAACGAACTACAGCGCCATCTATTTTGATACATATGAACTAAAATTTTAAATGCACAAATGGCGTATACGTAATCGCCCACCAATGACAAACTGAGATTTGTCCTTACAAATATTTAACTTAACAACATGACTCTGTTATCGCCCACCATGACTTAAGGTAACAAAACAAACAAAAACACTAAGATGTACAATAACTTAAAATAATATATTTATGCACATCTGAAATTGACTATTGTAGAAAGTTTAATGTAAAATATTTTGTCGATTACTTATAATAAATGTATATGAAATGAATAAATATTTACCCTTTCATACAGTATCAATCTTTTTTAAGTTAAATAAACTCTTTTTGTGTCTGGTTAGACTATCGAACTTAAGGAGTAAACTCCAGTCGTGCGTCGGAGCTGACACACACAATTTTTTTTGGTCTTGTTCTGGTTTTTTATGTCACTCTGCATGTTTAATTTGTGGCAATAAAGAATTTTCAATTCAATTTCAATTAAACGGTGTCGCAGCGTTAATGCACACCTCCAAAACCTCCAACAGACTTGGCTATTGTCGATCATTGATGGGAAACGAAGAATTTTATTATTCTTACCGCACCATTGGTTCACATGTGTGAGCCAAACTTTTCCTTTTAATCTAAGGAGTCAAAGATTTAAATCGTTAGATATGCCTTTACCATAGTGAAGTTTTTACTGCACAAAAATCTGTCTACACTCGTGAAGTGAGCTATATCTCTAATCAGTGTTCATCTGAACACAGTGACAGTTGAACCCTTTTAATAAAAATACTGCAGTGATTTTTTGCAAGAAAAGTATTTCAAATGCCGTAGTGTGCCTTCCGAAAATGCACTTACAATAATGGAAATACAAGTAAAGCTAATGATGTAACGTTTCACTCGTAAGTTTTTATTGATATCTCATTAATTATTAAATTTATTTTCTTTTGTTATTTTAAATATTGAAAAATTTTCGGATAGCGAATGAAAGAGAAAGTAGTGTTGGCAATTACTGCAAGACAAAAAGAGCCAACACTATTCTCTCAGCACCGCGCTGTGTGTTTTGACAGCTGTGCGTTTGTATGCCCATGAAGTTTCATAAAAATGGTTCTAAATTTGAAAGAGCCTCTAATAACCGTTCTTCATTATTATTTTAGTGACGTGCATTTCGTCATAAAATCTATCGAATCGGTAATTTTAGGGCTTAGGATTAAAAACTATAGGTCTTACGACATCCTATAAATTTTCACGTTTAAAAAAAATAATTATAATATAATTTTAAGCATAAAATACCGCCATTTAACAGAATCTTTAAATTATTACGTTAATTAAATAAATAAATTGTATTTAATATTAATAAATAAGAACTGTTTTATATTACACAAATCTATTAGATTTATATATTTATATAGAAATACATATTAAACATCCATGACTGGAGTACAAATGCTCGTATTCATCACATAAACATCTGCCGTCACCGGGATGCGAACCCAGGACCTCTCGAGTACACCTAAAAAAAACCCGGCGTTATGCTAAGTGCGAAACATTAATAAATGCTAAACAAAAGAAGTGCGAAAGTGCTACACAGAACGCGGTCCAATCTTGTAGAAAATGTCGGAGTTCGATTGTCCCCCCTCTAACGTAGGCAGACAGACAAGGATGACAAGCGGAAGCAAATTTCCCGCGCGCAAATACTGAAAACGTACACCGGAATAATGGAGGACATTTCCGTGGCTTCGTGGTATTACATTTCAATGTCTGCCCGTCTATATAGATAGGACATTTTATAATAAATACTAGAGCGAAGAAAAGTTCTGTTTAAATGAATTAATATAAACCTACAAATAAAAGCCAAAGTTCATTCATTGACTAAACTTATAATATGAAGTAGGAAAGATTTCAGTGTTCATAAATTTTGTCCTGTTGTATATCTACTTAAATCATAGTATATTTTTTGTTGTCTCAACATTGGCACTGAATAATTTTGCATAGAGTTATCTTCAGAACTAACGAACCCGACCAATATTGGTCCCCCCAAATAACCCCAAAAATAAAGTAACGCTTTTTTAAATAAAACTAGCAACTTTTTATATTCTTCCATTAGAGCCTTCTAGAAAGTATAAGAAATTTAAAAAAATAAGTTAGGTGATATCGTTAGTCCATCTCAGATTATAGCTTGGTCAAGGGAAAAGGGGATTAGAACGGGATAGGGAGATTACAACATGTCGAACTCTTAACGATAAAATACATAAAATAGCTTAAAAGCTTAGCTCCAAAAAGCAGGTTTACTCACCACTTAAAAAGGTTTGCAATACTTTTAAGTGCGTGACATCAAAGATTTCGGGGTTACAATAACATCATGTCGTTTTTTTATTCATCACAAAAGCTTACCTTTCAATGGCCCTTGCATGCTCCTCTCCCAAGGGTCCGCATTCAGTCCACCGGCCCACATACACCGAATATTCTGAGTCCACGCCCGCCCCTGAAACAAACAACGTATTTGGGTCACGATAATAGTCAACATAACATACGCCACGCAACGTGAAAACAATTATAGGAATCTCCACAATTATTTCCACGGTTTGGTAGAAAATGAACAAAAAACGTATTTTTCTTTTTAATAGTTTGGCCGTGACGAAACGCAATGAACTTCACAGACTAGTATATATTTACCAAAAAATACAAAAAGCGCGCCGCATATTAATTTGTAAATAACTGCGTAACGAGAGAAAAGAAGCGAAGCGCTTTTTCCACGATGAAAACAAATGAAGATCGCATAGGTATATATATATTTTTAAATTATAATTCGTTTTCTTTTGTGCACACAAAAGAGATTTAAATGTTTATAGTAGGTTGTACTGCTTTATATAAGCTATAATAAAACCATATTAATCAGAGGTTGGACCTAAGATAATGTTCTTAAAACAATGTCAGACTTTTCTATACACAGCCTATTGTCTTTAATAGTTGTCGAAGTTTCTTTAACCTAGGGTTTTCGTATTTATTAAAAAGTTATTTATTAGTCGTTTAATTAAAAAGAAACCTTTGATAAGTAAAGTCTATAATATTATATAAAAAAAAATTATTATCATCAATTTTTCAAGCTCACACTTTTATAAGTTATCCCACTTTAATAATAAGTTGCGATCGTTGAAGTTAAGCAACTGTCACAGTGGTCAGTCAATGGATGGGTAACCAAAATTTTACTATATTGAACTCTTCCGTGCTTAGGAAGGCACGTCAAGCCATTGGTCCCGGCTGCATCTGCAGTCGTTAGCTCCCACCAATCCGCACTAGGCCATGGTGGGTCATAGCCCAATCTCCCTATTCTATTCATAGGGAAGACCTCTGCCCCAACAGTGAGGACATTAATAGGCTGGTGATGATGACTTTAAAAAAATAAAGGTACTATGTACAAACAAATGTCGAACGAAATGAAGTAATTAGGCGCTGCCCATTCGGAATGGACTTAACCGCACACACGAGTATGTTCGGGGGAATTGCTTATTAACATATCGTAATGCATTTACGTTCTATTATGTACGTAACTGTGTTCGTTTACGTTTCGGTAATAACGTGCTGTACACAGAATCGAGGCCTTGAGAAGATATCTCCGATAATATTTCATTTTCAACGTTATACGGTAGATTTAAAAAAAAATAACGGAAAAAACAGTCCCTTTGTAATTTGATGAATATGGAGATATAATTTTTATTTTTTAAGCATGTAACTGCTTGATGTTTAAATCTAAAGAAAATATAACTAGACAAAAATCCACGTATCCACCAGGAAGCCTTGCAGCTTAAGAATGGCTAGAAGAATTTCGATGCGGCCATCAGGGCCGCGGCAGCACAATTGGTCAGTGCATTCGCCCGGATAGCGAAGGGTGCGGGTTCGAGTCCCGTCTGCTGCCTGGTCCGCATGGAATTTTTTCTAGTTATATTTTCTTTAGAATATGGAGTTGATAAAAATTACAAATGTTACAGTTAACCTACAATAAAGGTTTGTAAAGAGTAGCATACGCATACCTTCAACGGTATAGGTGGAAGTTATAAATATATAGTTTAGTAGAAGTGAGGTTAAGACAGAAGGACCCCAGACATAAGATCCTTGTACGGAAAAAATAGTGAAAAGTTTTCTTATCCGCCCATTAAGTCAGTACAAAACTTTAAGCACGCGAAAACTTTTATGACTGACCTTTTCGTGACGTTCATGTTTGCACATGTAGCTGAGCCGACTTGCGCTTGGCAAAGCGTGAACGTAGATGTGAATGGATTAAACAGGTTCACGGGTGTTCGGGCCAGTTCCCCGATCGGTATCAGCATTTTGTCCCGCGATAAAGGATAGACAAGCAGCAACTTCCACATCCATTTCGAAGTAGGTTTCATTCACGAATGTGTGACTTCTGCATATTTAGTACACGGTGCGAATTCACACTATAATTTCACGGCATTAGTGTGGAGGCGGCATTATAAATAATGAATTTGTTCACGTCATAATTTTGACGTAGTAAATACAATAAACTTATTGAAAATGTTGCCTGTATACTGATAACACGATTGAATGGCTGCAAACTCCCACCAACAACAACCGTCAGACCGAGCCCCGACTTAATTAATTAAGTGCAGCGCGATTGAATTAGCTCGCGGCAGATTCTCCTCTCCTACTGAATATTAGACTGTACATTGAAACGGAAATATTCGATATAATTATTTTCATTTCTTTGCAATTATGTTTTAATAGAGGTAATAAAAAAAATCGAAGTAAATATTTCTTGTGAGGTAATAAACGGGAAATAGGATACTTCAGTGTTTTCGGCCTTCTCGCACATAGCTTTTAACTATTTAAAGGCGATGCTTGCGTTATATTCTCATAATTCTCATAATGGGCCCTATCAATATGGACAATATTAAGCTCTTCTAAGCCTCGAAACCTCGTCTGCGTTACCGGATCGCTAATCTACGGTGTTTGTTTATACAGTGACAGCTTGATATAAGCTGTAATAGCTGCAGACTAAGCTGGTATGAATGATACTCACATCCCATTAAGTTAAAGTAGTCCAATTACAACAAGTAAATTCGTAACTAAATCAGATTTGTGAATCGATTTTCACAAGTCGCTTGAACACAAATTCAGATCTTGAAGAAATGGAATTGACTGACATAAAACATAATGAGCTCCTTAATGATAATTCAATGAGATCGGTATTGCGCGATAAGAGGCATCGATAACTTGAAAGAAGGAAAGTCGATGCGATTGTTCCTCGAGTGTTATTTCAAAAGCGTGGATAGGATAATAATAACAATGTTCTTTTATTGGGACTGCTTATTCTTTTAACGCAGTAACGCTTTTCATGGTTGCCATTATTGATTTCTTTTGCTTTCACAACCGCTCGTGGTTTCTTTTGTGTTGTAATTCTTTGTGTTAAATAGTAAAACGTAAAAAAATAGGGTTGATGACGGGGTACAGTAAACGAAATTCTATTTAGTCCGTCAGTTAGATAATCAAAAAATAATGGACACGTATTTTTTCTTTGGGCAATCAACCAAAAAATGACAAAGTTATAGCGCGTCAAAGTTTGGGAGTAGGGGCTCGTGACGTCACTTTTGAGTGAATTTTCACTTATAAGTGTACTCAAACGTGACGTCATGTGACTTTTCAAATCAATATATCTCTGCAATGTTTATATTATGTGAAAAAAGAAAAAATACGTGTCCAATACTTTTTGATAATCTACCTGACAAACGAAGAAAAAAAAATAGTCATCATCCCTGCTTAAATGAAAAAAAAAATATTTTTACTTGCGAGTTTTAACAGCATAGTCGCAACGTGAATGAAGTAGAAAATGTGTTATTAAATATATATATATATATATATATATAGGTATGTATCTGTTCTATATCTATATTATATAAAATAGAAATGTATGCCTCGTGTGTCTGTACAGTCGCCATCAGATATATCTGAGCATACAAGATGACCAAATACATCTGAACAGTTAAAATGTCAATAAGTTCTATACACTACAAGTGACCATTAATATCTGATCATTCATTACTTCAATAATATCTGAGCAGATGCCTGTCAATAATATCTGAACATACAACTTTTCAAAAATATCTGAACAATTTTAATAGGACCTCTTAATTATTTATTTATAATAAGATGACGCTGGCAGTTAAACACTTTCCAGTTTTTATTCTTATCACCTCTGTCATGTGTCATGCACAAATAAATTCAAGCAGCTTGCTTACGTATTAGTTCATACCATAAATTAACTATAATTAATATGAGTTCGTACCGTATTGATGCGGAAATGAAACATAAAATAATACAACTAAAAAATGATGGTTTATCCGTAAAAGATATCGCCGATGAGCTAGGGATAGCCGTAAGTATCACGGAGAAAAATGCTAAAAATCAATTGCCCACAAAACATGAAACTTTATTCACAAAGTATAAAATTGTATTTATTTCAGAGAAATACTGTATATTTATGGCTAGAAAGATGGCAGCAAGGAGAAACATTAAATAATCATGTTTCATTTGGTCGCCCGCGTATTACTACAAATAACCAAGACATAGCTATTATAGATAAAGCCAAAAATGACAGATTTATAAACACTACACAATTTTCAAGCACATTCGAAATATCCACTAGCACCATTAGAAGACGATTAAAAGAAGGAGGTTTAAATAATAGAGTACCGGCAAAAAAACCAACTCTCACGCCAAGGCACAAAATGCAGCGGCTACAATTTGCAGCTAATTATTTAAATTTTAATTTTCAAAACGTTATTTTCATGGACGAAAAGGTTCTCTGCTCATCAGATAATGGGCGATTAAGTTTGTGGCGACCCGAAAACACATGTTACTTAGAACAAAATGTGCTGCCTAATCGCCGGAGTGGACGTATTTCAATTGGATTTTGGGGATGGATGTGCAAAGATGGTCCTGGTGAGCTTGTGGAAATAAGTGGACGAATGAATGCAATGAATTATAAGGAACTTCTGGAAGATACTTTTCTTCCTACAGCTCAAGTTTTTTATCCAGAACAACAAATGACATTCCTTCAAGACAACAGCTCAGTACATAATGCTCGTACAGTACAGACATGGATTAATGAACAGAGAGAACTAACTTTAATCAAACTACCACCAAAAAGTCCAGACCTCAATCCCATCGAAAACCTTTGGGGTAAAATGGTGCAAGAGTGGGATGGGAATCAATGTCGAACAACAGAAGCCTTAAGGCGACATGCAAATGATGTTTGGGAATCGTTCAGAGGTCGAGGTTTTTGTGAGAAGGTAGTTGGTTCCATGAGGAAACGTTTACAAGACGTATTAAATGCAGAAGGAGTTTACACAAAATACTAATGTTTCATGAGAAGTATATAATTGGTCAGCCTTTAAATAATTTGGTCGGCACAAAAAGATTTTGTAAGCAATTTAAAAAATCAGGCAGCAATCCTTGTTCGGCAAA